AGGAAAAAGAAAGAAAGAAAGAGCTAAGAACAGCTTCATATAGGCGCACAAACTTGTCTAAGACCACCGGGTCGGTTCGCTACTACCTATAACACTACTATACAACATTATTCTCTACGCGATTGGCATTGTTGAGACTCTCGGCCAGAGCATTGCTCATGCGCACAATGATTGCGGAGACGCCCTCTGCGGGAGGAGGTGACGTGCAGGGCTGTTTGCCGGGGAAATGATGCCGGCACGGCAGGCGCCTCGAGATCTATCTTTTAGATGAAATCGTTGAAAGGGAACGGGCAGTGCTGTACACTGGCGACCGGCGATACTTTTGTAGATTATCACAAATCAGATAAGGAACCAACCCACAATAATGAATCGGTAAGTACCTTTAAACCAAACTTGATGAGAATACTTTGCACGACGTCAAGACTACGCTCGTATCCTCCTTAATTGAGATTCATTTTGTGACCCAAATCGTTATCGTATAGTAAAGTTTCAGTAAATCTGCGCCGTGGAATCTGCAAAGCATCGTGCACGATTCCGGGCCGCTTCGGGTATTGCACCCAACGAATGTATACGCCGAAAATTACCTAAATCTATCCATTGGCTCAGCCGGTTGTTGATACATGGTACGGGCTGGCGACTGAGCCATGATGTTTTTGACAACGGGTTTAAGATATGTTATCAATACTACCGTTTACTGTGTGTGGTTTATATAGCGTCGGCCAATCGGCAGGCTACCCTACAATCCTCAGCTGGACGGGATGATCTGATCTTGGCGGGTCCCCTGGAGACACTAGGCAGCAGCAGCAGCAGCCGGGAATCATCCGTATCTAGATAATGCTACCCAATAATCCCTGCTGTTGATTGTTGGAATAACGCTTTGAAAGCAGGTCGCGTATGCAAGCATGTTCCAGTGGCGTACCCTGAGAAATTGTTTATTATTTGGAAAGCTTGTTTGGAAGGCTTGTTTGCCTGTCCTTAAAGCTTGTTTATAAAAGTTTCCAAAGCTTGGCTCTCTAGTTTTTCTTTTCTTCCCAACACCGTTGTTGTGAATCTATTACATAGCTTGGCCTTCATTCACATAGCATTCTTTCGATCCCGACGACAATGGGGGACAAAACGGGGGAAATGACCGTACCGACAGATCACGACGTCTTGGAAGCGGCGGACGCGTCAACGTTGCCCGACGAGAAGAAGCACGACACCACAACACAGACACAAGCTGACCCTCCAAGCCAGGCAGGACCACAACAACCGGAACAATCCCATCTCCATGGACTGAAACTCGTCCTCCTCATTACCCTTCTATACTTGGGCATCTACCTTGTAGCTTTGGAGCTCACGATGCTGTCCACCTTGGTCCCAATAATGACGGACCAATTTGGAAATGTGACCAACATTTCGTGGTACTCTTCAGCATATGTTTTGTCCTTGTGCGTAGCTCCCTTCCTTTTTTTCTTCCTTTCGGCGTGGAATGATTTGTCGAAACTAATTTAATGTGACCGTACCAGATGTGTCTTCACGCCTGTAGGGGGCAAGTTATACAGCCAACTACCCGTCAAACTCGTGTACCTATCATCAATTGGCACCTTTAGCATCGGTCTTCTGGTTTCCTCGCTGGCAAGATCGAGCCCCATGTTTATAGCCGGCCGAGTGATAAACGGAATAGGAGCAGCAGGCCAATTCGGAGGAGCTTTGCTACTGATCGGTCCTTCTTGCCGGCCCGAGATTCGCCCCGTCGTGACTGCGGGTGCCTTCTCAATAGTACCTGTAGGGTCCATGACTGGTCCTATTATTGCTGGAGCACTAGCGGCTCGTGCAGGGTGGCGCTGGTGTAGCTTTTCCCTCCCCCCATTGTTTGGTGTGCAACAGTTGTCGCTAATAACGCTGTAGGCTTTTGGATGCTGCTATTTATGAGCGGCTTTATCATAATTTGCGCCTCGTTGATGAAGCTGCCAGAGAAGGCCAGTAAGCCACCCATTCGACAAGGGCTGAAGGCACTTCCGAGTAAAATTGACCTAGTCGGATTCGTCTTGTTTGCCTCGGCTGCCGTGATGCTTCTACTCGCTCTGACGTGGGGCGGACAAGCTACGATATCTTGGTCATCGGCTACCATCATCGGGCTACTTTGCGGTGGTGTATGCTCCGCTGTGCTTTTCTGTTTCTGGTGCCGGTTCAAACAAGATGACGCATTGATCCCACCCTCTTGTTTAACCCAACGTTCAGTCTACGTGGGGAGTATACTTATATGTCTCCAGGGAGGAGCTACACAGGCAATCCCGTTCTTCCTGCCATTATGGTTTCAGGCCATCAAAGGTGATAGCACCGAAGAGAGCGCACTTCACATACTGCCATCCCTGATTTCCATGGTCATTGCCACCATGGCTTGCGGATCATTGCTGCGGAAGCTAAGATATATCCCGCCTTGGGCTATCATCGGCGGCTTGATCACTAGTATTGGGTCTGGTCTTTTAACGACGCTTACCCCCGAGACATCAACAGGGAAGTGGATAGGGTATCAGATTGTTACCAGTTTTGGGCGCGGATTAGCCTTCCAGATTGTGAGTAAGACAGTATTCCACATATGGCAATTAGATCACTAAATATCAACCATTTATAGCCAATCACTTCTGTCCAAGAATTTGTACCACCTGCCAAACACGCCATATCAATAACGTCTATGAATCTCTTTATGCAACTGGGAAATGCTGTATCGGTATCAGCTTCTCAGACTATATTCAACAATCGACTGCCTGCTCTTCTCTCTCGGTATGCACCCGAAGTAAACACCACCATGGTGTTGCAAGCTGGAGCTACTCAAGCTCGCCACCTTATACTGCCAGAGCAGCTGCCTGGCTTCTTGAAGGCATACAACCAAGCCATAACGAGTATCTTTGTATGTGACAGGCTGACTGATTCCTTGCTGTTCAAATGCTTACCATCCTTACGTATAGTATCTTACCACCTCTGTCGCAATTTTGTCATTCCTAGTTAGTTTCGCCTTGGAGTGGAAGAGATTAGACAAAGCGCCGGCCAAGCCCAAATCCAATGTTTGAGGTTTAAATCCTTCGTGCCGTAGACACGTCCTGTACAACGGCTATCATTGGCGATTTCGTAATTTGAACTGGTCCTAGGGACTCGGCGCTGTTCTAATCAGATCGAGGGCAGGGCCACAAGTCATATTTGTTCAACATCAGTCATCTCACGGATAGTTTCGAAAATGCCATCGAGTGTGGTATTGTGAGGCACTATTGAATGCTTTATTAACGTGCAAGACTGATTTTAATTGCTGCCTAGTCCGCTCCCTTGTGAATGACTCGTCTCCAAAATTGATCGACTCTATTCTAATAATACTTTTTGCCCCCAACCGTCTCTACTTTACTTGTATCATCCGGATTCTGGTCCAGAGCCAATTGCACATTGTCAGCATGATCTGCTCTGACCCGTACAATCTTCTTCCAAATCTGATCCGAAGTGACGCCGGCACCTACGTCTGCCGAATCTTGGTCATTGGGATTTGGCGTTCTCAGGGCGAGAAGAAAGAGATCCTGCAAGTCTGACCACGGCGCGACACTCAAGACCCGCACAGGTCCTCCCCACAGATGGATCTGGAGCAACTCCAGCACAGAGAGGACAGCAATCACGAGACCGTAGGTGAATACAGTGCCGAGGTAGATGCACATCATGGAGACGGCAAAATCCAGTGTGCGGCGTCGCTGGCCCGACCCGTACCCGTAGCGCTTGGCTTGCATGTCAATGTTCAAGGCTTGTTTAAACGTTGCCGTATAGTTTTCAAATGTCCGTTCTGGATAATACGTGATCCCCTGGGCCGTAACATTTGAATGCGTTTCGTTCAAGCGTTTGTATGTCCTGATGTCGCGAAAGTAGCCGTGCTGGTTCGTCAGGTCTACTAAACTGAGCTCCTTGTCTGTCTCGACCAGCCTCACGAACGGACCCGAGCCCAATGAGCTTCGCGAGAGACTTTCGGTTAGGTACGCTCCAAAAACCTTGGCGAGAGAGATATTTGGAGGAGTATCGCTGTGACCAAGCGGGTCTATGTGATCTGCACTGGTGCCGTTCTTTGTCTCATTATATCTTAGTTGTTGAATAAGCCGGCCGACGGTGGTATTGCTCAAATGATCATTGCTGAATTTTAATTCCGGGTTGGATATGGGAAACCAATCCCTCTCAAACTTGATGACCCGGATGTTACCATCAAACCTTTTGTGGTACGCCTCTTGCAGGTCATTGCCAGCGCTGGGTCTGGCCCGAAGAATGTCGTCAACTTGGGGGGTGTACGTGAATGTAGACCCCGCCCAGCTCGCCAACATCGTACACAGGTAAAGCTCACGGTCCATGTTATTATTCGACACGAGCCCACTCGTGAAAACAACCGAAGAATTGTCATGGTGTGTTGTGTATTCTGGGTTGAGACTATTGCTGCTCCAGGAAGTCGCATTCGGCCAGACATCGGCAAGAGAGGGTGGGTGTGATTTAGTATGTTCACAGTCGGCATCTCCAAAGCATTCAAGGCCCACTGGATACTTAAAGGATAGATATGGGCTCGAATTGGTGTACGGATGTGTCTCGCAAATGGACTGGACAAACGGCTGGTACTGATTGTCTCCTTTAGACGTCAACTGGTAACGGGGTTCCTTTGACACAGCGCCAACGCTTGTGGTGTTGATGAATTGTTGGAAAAGACCGATACTGTTCATGAGAAAATGCGGTGGGGTCGTACTGAGCATCCTGTCGCCTTTTTTGGTAATGTTCAGATATCGGCGGATCTTGGTAGACTCGGATTGGAATATCAGATTGTTTGCCAAGTCTGTGGCTCCCAAATTTTCAGCCCAGCCCATCAGCTCAGAATAGCCTGAAGCTGGATATTTGGACGAATCCAGGATATCGCAAGTTCCCAATTTTGTCCGATATGTATACCCATTATTGTAATCGCGCAAATGAACTGTCCAGACTTCGACGGACTCGTTGTAACATATAAGAGGGAGAGTAATGTTTTCAAAGGCCGAGTTGCCTTTGAAGTCGTACTAGCCAAGAGTAGGGCTGTGGAGGACAGCAGATGCCGGCCCAACAATGGTTGACATGATGGTCGCGAACGCGAGGAACTCACAGTGTACCAGTTCCCATGGTCTCGACTTGTCAAGGCCCTGGTGACGGAAGGCCGCACTCCAGAGATACGGCAAATCACCCACTCGATAACCGCCCGTCAGGAATCCGAGCCGGACACCACCTCCGACGAGGCGACGACGAAATATCGACAATGCGATTGCAGATAGCGACAAGACGATCAGAATCTCGTGCAGTTTTGCGGCGAGTTGAATCAAGTTGGCAATGATGTCTGCTTTAATCAACTCTCCTCTGATGACGGCGCCCTCTTCGGGATACCAATAAACTGGCATAATTCCTAGATTGACGGCTGCTACTGATGCGAGGATGGCGGGCACATGGATGAGTATCCCATGGAAGTGGTGAGTCCAGCCTGTTCGGGTTATTATTTTCGGCTCTTGGTTCGAGTTCGGAATATCTGTTGATCTGTACCCGTTGCATCCATTGTTGAGTGATAATGCCGCGGACTCGGAGTTTCTGAACCGACCGCACGAAGGCTCACGCCTTGTGTGCGATGCGTGTACATCAGGAAGTCCTGTGTTATTCTGGTTTCCAACATATGTACTTTCAGGTTGATGTGAGAGCAGAGGTCCGTGGTATAAAGTTGCTCCTTCATGGTATGTTTCTCGGGGGGTCAGGTACAATGCTGGATAAGCTGAAGAATTCCATTCTGACACCCTCGGCCATTGATTTGATAGATAATGACCTTGGTACGGAGAGGGCTGGAATATTCCTGGCCTTTGCTGGCTCATCTCGATGTTGTCCCTTGTTTGAAGCCATTGCTTTAGATCATGAATTTGTCGAATATGAAAATTTGGATTCCCTGAGAGAGTGATAAACTGGAGGATAACTAGACAGGAGATTTTTCCAAGTAGCAAGCGAGTGACATGATGTAAGTGACCAGTTTTCCAACCTTGCATTCTTCCATAACACTAGTTGACGCTGCCACCATTCGCCAAAGGTAATTGCTATTTGCAGCTGACGGCCAACATGAAGCAAGCTCATATGAAAAGATATGATAGGTATGGGTAATAGTTGTTGTATTAGTTGAGTTGTTCACGTCCAACAGAGGTTGGATGGTTAAAGATATATACATGTGTGGAGAAGCGCTCCACTTATTCCTACATTTTGACAGCTCAGACAGATAATGGAACTTTTGATACTTCAATTCATACATCTTGATTCATCTCGAAGATTGCACGGAGATGAATCTGAGGAGTCGAAAAGTACCAGTCTGCGAACGGACGAGCCTCAGATTCAGCGATTGATTGTGCGCAAGGCTGTGACTAAGCTTCATGGCGAAGCATTTTGTGCTTGCATGCCAACGTAGATGCATTGCCAACCAAATATGGTAGTAGCAAAAAGCCTCGACCGGCCAGACCGATGTCATGCACAGTATGAACAAGGCCAAGCATTGCGGGACTGGCCAGTAGCAGCGTAGAGTCCTGTCAAAAGGGTTCAAGCTAGATGAAAATAGGATTCGGGCTGAACGTTGCGCCATTGCACAGCAAATGCCAAGAGAGGACAAGGTTAGTGTTAATCAAGGTTATAACCGTGTGACTGTTCATGAAGCACACTGTCGAAGCCGTCGATCACCTCACGGAGCCGCTGGACGATCTTCTTTCCAGTGTCTCCGGTGTGGCTGACATTCTCGTTGATATGGACGCTCAGTGCCGCCAATACCACATTATAACAGGAATTGAGCCAGCGAACTTTGGCAAAAAGGAAGCTGAATCTGTGCAAGCCAAATGGGGCCAGGTTTCTGAGGCTTATGAGGCGTGGCTGGACATCTTCAATGCGCAGCGCATTTCTCCAATCACCTTTTCCATCATTGAGAAATGATGATCAGCATTGAATTGGTTTTTGATATCACGGCATAATAGTTCATGGGGAACTTTGGGTGTCTTGTGAAGAATGTTGGATTTGTTCCACTAGGAGAAGCTTTTTCTTTCCAATATTCCTCTTACTTTAGTTCTTTTTGTTGTTGATTATTCTTTTCCGTTCAGACTACGAAATTTATCTCTTTCGCATATCGCATAAGTTACTAAAATATACATATTTCTTCTTGTAAAACCTGTGTTCATTTACTCCCATGAACATTCTGAGTCTCCTTGAGCTGTATTTTACCTACAAGCCAACGCCCGTGGGTTGATGGTCCTGGTCTTCATTGAACCCCTTACACAGGCACTAACTCGACCTGAGCGCCTTTCGCATTAACACTTATTTGCAGGAGAGAGCCCTATCAGATCCTAATCCACCTCTTTGGGGCGTCGGACTAGTTCTGTGTCGATTAGGCATCGCGGTACATCTCTAGACTTTCCGCGACTCGCCCAGGACTTGTCAATGCTTGTTTCAACCTATTCCTCTCCCTACATCGGCAACGAAGAAATTATTCTTGAATCTCCAGCAAGCGAATGCGCCCCTGTCCGACACCGCCGGATCTCCAAGGATCTTCCTCCACAACTATTACAACTCTGGAAGCTCGGGATCCAAGCCCCGAACAAAGATCGCAATGGCCACACAACGTGAATTAGTACTTCACAGTACATCAAGCACTCTTGCTAAGAAGGGTCGCAATAGAAGCTTGAGATGGCGCAATGCGAAGGGTGAATAGTTAATTACCTTGGGGTAAGGCCATCACCATGAGAGCTGGCGGATATGCAAGGCTATGCAGGCGGTGCGACGTAGCATTCCCAGAATAACGGATGACAAGGCTCATCGGGTCTGTCGGATCGTCACACCATGCTTTCCAGCCTTGCGATGATTTGCTGTCGACGCTCGTTGAGCAATTTTTTCATTCGCGTCATATGAGGCAAGAACATGCAATGTCATGGCATAGGCTACTGCCAAGATTCCCATAATCAGTGGTGGATCAGCTTTATAAAAATAGAACTTTGGTCGAAAAGTTCCAAGCAGTTAACACCAATCCTTGACAGGAGAAAGATCGAGTGCCAGATGCAGGCTCAAGATTGCATCTCTTACAGCCTGCAGAGCTTCTATTGAGATAACAATTAGCACGCAAAGAACTAGAGCTGGTCGTCCCCAACGTGGAGAAGATTCTAGAGATCTCTAAAGCGTTGCTCAAGTAGCTCAGGGCTCCGACACGTTGATTATTGGCTCTTGAAATCACCTGCACTCAGAGTCTTTCACCATGGCTATCATAGATCTTGACCAGGGCCGTCGGCCATCTCACAATGGATTCACAGACAATTCGGAACTCGGTAAGCGCCTCATTCTTCTTGCTTATGATGAAGCTAATTGTGTGATACAGCCACGCAAGATGCTAAAGATATACTCATTGTCAATGAAGTAGAGCGCTGGAACCCCTTTGGAGATGGCGGTATCAGTGTCATCCATGTATCCGTCGGGGTTTCTTCGCCTGAGAGCCTTTCTAGACTTGAAAGTACCCTAAAGACTTTATCCCCTCCGACTGGCAACTCGGAGCCGTCACCAAAGGGTGTGTTGCCTTTGGGTGTTCCGGATGAGCAAGAAGTTGTCCAACTTCGCGCCCAGCTTCTAGTTGAGATATCCAAACAGGTCGTCCAGGTTCCCCGCCACGAAGTCGGGCTCTTGCTCTTCATTCCTTCTAAACCTGGGCATTTGGTCAGGTCTGATATCCTGGAGATCCGATTAACTGACCTTGCCGGTACACACAATTTCGTCAATTTGACGAGTCCTACTAGGCTTTTTTCTGGTGACGACAAATTGCCAGCTCATTAGATGCGGCGCTCAAGTCAGCTGCGAGTGCCCTCTTCATCTCAAGCAATGCAGTCCTGGACCCAGCCGCGTTGGGCCGCGAGTTTGAGAACCGTTTGTCGTTTCCAATCATCCAGCCGGGCCAAAGACCGCGAAAGACTCTTGCGCTGGTCGGCAGCGTCCGGAAGCCACTTGTTGGGCTGGGGTTTTTTAGAGCTGCGCGTGCGCTTAATATAGGCATCGTGCAGCTTGATCGCCCGAACCACTGGACTAGTACACCCGAATATGCATCTTGGGTCGAAGCTCAACTGCCCATTGATCGTACCCCTGATGATGGACTAGCAAGCCGTATCGTAGATGCTATCAAGGGCTACAACAAGCCGGTGGAAGGTCTTGTAAGCTTCTTCGAACCGCTACAGGTAGGCACAGCGAGGGCAGCTAAAGAATTGGGTCTTCCGGCCCCGCCTGCCAGTGCCTTCGAGATCGCCACAGACAAGCAGCGGACCAGCGCCTTTCAAGGCAATGCTGCGTACCGTGTGTCCAGTCTAAAGGAGGCGCTGGAGACAGTTGAGCAGCATCCTCAATTGTCATACCCTCTGATTGTTAAGCCCTGCAGCGGCCGGGGGTCCGAGGGTGTGTTCCGACTCGACAATGAAGCAGACTTGGTGCAGGCTTTTGATTCAATTGACTTCAGTCGACACGGTGCCGAAGTTGTCATTGAACCGTTTTGCGACGGGCCCGAGGTCGATGCAAACTTGGTGCTGAGCGACGGGGAGCTGCTCTTCTTCGAAACCTCGGATGACCTTCCAAAGGACGCTGATGCCGCATCGAAGCAGGATGGAGACCTGCAGACTTTCATCGAGCTCGCCAATGTTATGCCCTCGGCTTTACCTCATGATGAAGTCGAGATACTCAAGAACTCGCTGCATCAGAGTCTGGTTCGACTGGGCTTCCGCACGGGCTTTTACCATCTCCAAGCGCGCGTCCAGCGGTCACGAGCCAAGTACGTCACCAACTTGGATGGTATTACAGACCTTGCCAGTAATGACTTGATTGAGGCGACAGTCGAACCTAGTGCTTGGCTGCTGGAGATTAACGCACGACCTCCTGGACTGCAAGAGTCGTGGGCTTCTAGATCCACTTACGGAATCGACTTTTGGGGGTCTAGCGCTGCTCTCCGGCCTGGAAGACCAGAAAGACACGGCACGTCTCCTTTCGCTTCCGTTTAAATCCGGCAATCAGTATTGGAGCGAGATTGTATTTGTGCCTGTGCCGAAAGGCGGTATTTTCTCATCCGAGGATGTATGCCGTGAGCTTGTGGGCCGTCGTCCAGACTTGGCTTCAAATATTTCTCGCAGCCTGTGCTTCTTCGACAAGGGCGAAGTGGTCCCTGATCCCAAGTCCGGGCTTCTATCGTGGGTTGCGTATTATGTAGTCTTCTCCCGTAAAAGAGGGCAAGATCTGCTCCAAATTTCGGAGGAGGTGAGGCGGGAGACCAGGTTCTCAATTGTGTAGATAGGACAGGTTCATATCTGGACATGTGCTAAAATGAGTGTTTGCCTCATTGATTCGGTAGATAGCTATTATAGTTATCAATCTATAGCCGGAGCAGAACAAGTCAGGAGTTGAGTGTAGTGTTGAACTAAACAAACGGGCATATTTCCATGTGAAATTGCGTCTACCTCTAGTAACGACAAAGCCCTTGTGGTAGGTGTCTAGAAGGCTCTAAATCATATACAAATCAACGGTTTGAATAACATGAGACGAACAGTGTGCAAATGTGAGGCTACTGAATCTTAATCACTAAATAATTAATATTAATCATTGACCCCAAATATGTCAGTTTGTCTCAATGCGCATATCGGGGTATAATAGACCTTGTTCCGCGCGAAAGCATCTACCGCCTTTGTGACCACTAGTGTTGCCATGTTTAAAGCCAGGTCATTTTGCATTACAGCAAATTTAATGTTTGTCCGTGGCATTGCTGTTGGAATCGTTCAACTACCATACCAACTTAATGGGGGATGAGAAACAACTCTGTTAGTGACTACAGCGTACTACAAACTCTCCTGCAGCGTTCGAAAAAAGAAAGTTCAGAAAGAGGAAATGAAGCTTGTAATACAAAAGGCTGGGGTTCTAGCCTATAATTAGTATAACGTTCAGGTTATTTAAGAATAATACACTTCTCTCCGTGCTCGTTCCATTTCACCAGGGTCGTTAATCACCAGTTCCAGATTCCTTCCCGAAGTCACGCGAACCATGGCACGGCTTTTCCACACCTTTGAGAAGGAACCGACGCCTGCTCCCGTGTTCTGTAGCTCATCGGGACATCGTGACTTCCACGACAAGGCGACAATATCTTGTAAATCATCCCAGCCCGCCACCTGTACCGGGCGATCCATCTGCTCACGAAAACTAAACATTCTTGGAATGATCTTGCAATAGAGCAAGAGACCCAGGAGATAGGTAAAGACCACAGCAAGGTAGGTATAGACAACGAAAAGAGCAAACGTCAAGGTTTGTGAGGGTACGCCTGCCCCATATCCAAACTCATCTATGGTAAATGTCCACGATTGGTATGCCGCAAACTCAGCAGTGATCTGATCGAAATCGTCATAGCCGGACAAGCAAAAAGTGTCGCCCTCTTCTGAGGACGAAATTACGGGGCAGCTTCCATTTCCCCTGTCGAGCCGCGTGGGGACATAACCAGTGGGATTTACTGGCGAAATGTAGAGGAGTTCCAAGAGGTCAGGAGTCTGCTGCGTGATTACATAAGGGGCGGACGACAGAGTGGTTGCATGGGAGAGAGCGTTGACGAGGACTAGGCTCAGGACCTTCTCAATATTTGAGGATTGAGTGCTCGAGTCCTCTCGATACTGAAACCCGGTCGACAGATAGCCTGGATTGCCTTCGTCGCTTTCAATGGTAGGCCCCAGGAGTGAGTCGAGGATCCCAATCGTCAGTGGAGGGTCTTTGGCGGCGTCCCAGTCTGGGTCTTTCCATAAAGCAGCCACGGTATCGTTGACAGGTATGTTGAGCATATCGGCCCATTCGTGTTCTATCGTGATCATGACACTCTCCTCCAAGTCGCTAAATATTCCCAAGTTCCAACCGTCTCCGGCATTCGAAGCAACAGTCTCCACAGTGTTCGTCCGGCGGATCGGAAGACTGATTGAAGATGAGACCCAGTGAGGTATGAATGTGCATACACTGGCCCACCATCGCTGCCCTATGGGTTCTACCAACCCGGTATCTGGATCAGGAGGCCCGTAAGCAGTATACGGTATCTTGACCATGGCGGATAGAAGGCCATCCGTTGTATTGATCCAGCGAAAAATAGGAAACATGTTAGCTTCCGGGTCAAAGTCCCAGTACTGACTGTCAACTTGGCGATCCGTTTGATCAAATTCTTTCCAACTATTGCAGGCTGTATCGCCTAGACAGTCCAAGCCGTCTAGGGACCAGTATGGTAGTCCGCTGCTATCATTGCGGCGCAGTGCATCCCGGGCTTGATCCCAATCCCACAACTGACACTTGGACTGAACCTGTGAGTTATGCGTTAGTCATTACAGAAAATTCGATTTGCTAGCATTCGTCACCGAAAGTCTACAGTGGCACTTACCAGTGGTTGATACAGTTGGTTTGATGGTGCGATATTTACCCGAAAATCTTTTAACAAATCGGCGGCTTGCGAGTAGTACATGTCCACATAGTCGATGAAGTAGCCAGTGACTTCCAGCGCAGCAGAGGAAGCCGTCGTGGCCAAGGTGATCTGCCCATCGCTAGTTGCTGTGTTACTAATGCTTATCCATCTTCGTATCTCGGTTGAAGCCATATTTCCGGCTATGCTGATGTTTGGAATGAGTCGATTTGAGTCCCAACTTCCGATCCATAGATTGAATGTGTCAATACCATATGCAGGACAGATATATCCCTGGGAAATTCTCCTCCCCTGGCATTGGTAAAGTAGTCCGGTCCTGTTGAGCCAATCTACATCGAGTCGGCTGGGCCAAGAGTCAATTTCTGCTTGTGGTTCCAGACCAATGTCCAAGGACAAAGTGCCTGTAGGGTCATGAAACTCCCACCAGCCCGTGCTAGGTATCATCAAGATGGCGGAAGCAGGACCCATTGCGATGGACAGGAGTGAGGCCAAGGCGATGAAGATTGCAAAGGTGGCAGCACGGCTGCGGAAAGCCAAAAGCAAGCCTGAATGCTTGAGATAAGACAAGTCGCCAATTCTATAACCCGACGTGACCAGACCCAATGGCAAACCGTTGCCCATCAACTTTATTCGATATAGATCGAGGGCAATGTTGGACAAGGATAACAAGACCAGAAGCTCGTACAATTTTGCTGCTATCTGCAGCATGTGGAGTATATCGTTGGTATTGAACTCATGCCCGTTGATCCAGATTGTCTTTTCAAAGTCGAACCAAAAATGAAGCGCAGAGTTTTGCCATAAAAGAGCGAAGCTAATGGTCAGTGCCGGAACGTGTGTCACCATGAGGCTGCACAATTGTTTGAGTGGACCTCTTGTCAGCTTCTTGGGTTTTTCTGGAATTTCTTCCCATTTGGTCGATGCATCTGGTGTTGCGACGGAGATTGTGCTGTCGGTCCTCGTCTCTTCGCTTAGGTATTGCACACCTTTGAGGTCGCGGTCCGAACAAGTAGATGACTCTTTCATCTCAAACCCCAGAGGCCCAATCTGGGGACAATTCACTTGGGGCGGTGTTGACATGATGATGATGAAGATCTAGTGACGGATAGCCCTTCAAGAGCTGAAGCACATTGTAACTCGAATGGATGAATATTGAGGAGGATGCAGTGGTTCGCCATATCTGCCTGCGAGGTAGTGGAGGCTTCTTATCTCAACTTGACGCCATTCAAGGTACCATCGCAGCTGAATTCATATAAAAAGGAATAACCCCTACGAGGTTGCAGTGCACACACGGATACTACCTGCTCGGTTCCGGGCTGGGGGCTATTTCTATAATCTGGCTCTCTTGTGTCGTCGCAGTTTCCTGGTAATTGGCTGAGCTGCCACGCCAAGCCGGAACCCTATTTTTAGCGCCCGTGATGCGACCCTGGAATCCTGGAACCCTTGATGTTGAGCGAGCGGGCAGCCACCTACCTACCTTGCATACCGGTCACTATATTGGACAGAATAAACGAGATGCCGCTGTGCAAGTTCTCCAACGCCTATGACGATATCGTGATAGGAGGGCGATTGACAATCCATTGTGTACGGAGAGTAAATGACCAGCGCCGAAATTATGCCAAAGTTGAAGAGTTGGTGAATTTAATGCTCTTCAATCCAGGCCCAAGAGGCAGGATTTCCTATTTGAGCAATGGCATTAGAAAACAAAAGTCACGTGACGAGGTTAGACATGTTTGCATGCAGATCGCTGCCATTCAAGAATACATCGAGGTTGGTAGCTCCCGAGTCATCAAAACAATCACAGAATGATAAACCTATCTGGAATAACGGCAATGCCTTGAGGTGAAGAGAGAAAACTTCACGAGCGTAGAGCATCTCGAGGGTAATTGGCTGAGTTCAGTTCTCGCGCACGCAAGGAAAAATGGTCCATTCGAATTTCAAAGTCAATGATAGAATGATACAATCGTTTTACAGAATCTGAAGATATATTGAGTATGCTTAATCTAGGCCAAAAAACTTATGTATGCACAAACGGGAAGGACAAGCTTTATGCAGCTGTTCATAAATGTCCACACTAGCTAGTCACAAGTGGCGTATTGGTCCTTGAAATTTGGCATACTACAGACTACTATATGATATGATCCACTATGGGGATTTGACATGATTAAAATGGCTAAGTTTGGGCTGAAACTGATGGCACTTGTTCCTTAGCTTGAAAATCTGCTCTAGATATTCTCCTATTTATTGGACTGAGTCCAGCCGACTATAACAAAGGAAAATCACAACAGCGCAACTGATGATTGACCCAATAATAAACTTGTCCCTTCATTCATGCTCAACTTGACCATGGATATCCACCTAGTCCAAGATTGGAGGAGAAAGCATGGCAGGAAACAAAGCCACTAATTACAGACCAAGATTCGGTACTGCCGATATTATTGCCCGTGCACTCACTCGGCCTGTGGACTCTTTGGTTTGGTGGAGTGCCTCACCAGAAAGTACGTCTGGATATGCGGACAAAATCAAGCTCCCCCTAATAACACTTGCTCCATTCCTGCTATATAACTCTGTCCTTATTTTGACTACACAAAACCAACATGTGTACTCCGTATTTGGAACTGAGACGTACGGCACGTGATGGCGGGTAGTTGAACCTTGTGACTCAAATTGTTGACGTTGGATTACCCGTGTACTTTCAGATTTTAAGGTTGCTCTGCAAGCATTCCGTCGTACAACAGTTCTCACGCATAGTAGTCGACAATAATAAAGACGGCAGACGTTTGATTTATTAGTCTGAATACTAGTGGGCGGATATGCTGCTAGCACGCTTCGTGTTTAAGCCGTACCTCCGCCTCAAATGATGATCTCATGTGGTCGGTGGGTCTAACGTCTAGACTAGGCTGAATACGAGGAAGCCCGTTTTTCTCACGACATTTCCAATTCATCATTATGGAATTGTACACTTTTGAACTCACTAAGGATCTAAAAATAAAATAAACCGTTCAAACTTAAATATGCGGCATGCCTCGCGTTATATGGGAAGTCAGCTTTGGCAAAGCATCTCATTGTGTCTGGAAATACAGCCACTGATACAGACAAGCCACATCCATCATGAAGCTACGAAATGAGCTGCTGTGTATATTGAGTACAAGTGTCGCGACTTGTCTCGCATCGTGTGCCTCCTCGCCCTTGATCGACTGCCTCAACGACAAAAACGTACCGCTCAAGCTGTCTTGCGATACGGACTGGAACGACGCCTCTTCTGCTTACAATGTCCGGCTCCCGGTGACTCCGGCTGTTATTGTCGTGCCCGAGGTAGACACGCAGCTGGGCGATGCCGTCGCATGCGCCGGCCAGAATGATGTTCATGTTCAGGCTCGGTCGGGCGGTCACTCCTACGCATCATACGGTCTCGGCGGCGTGGACGGTGCCATGATAGTGGATTTGCAAACTTTCAACTCCGTAACCATGGCTTCCGACAGCGAGGACGAGGTCTTTGTCGGCGGTGGTGTTCGCTTGGGCAACATGGCGCAGGCAATCTACGATGCCGGCAAGCGAGCCCTGGGTCACGGAACTTGTCCAGGCGTGGGCATCGGCGGACACGCCACCCATGGTGGTTACGGATTCTCGTCGCGATCTTTCGGATTGGCGGTCGATCAGATTACTGCACTGGATGTTGTCCTTGCCAATGGCACCATCACAACTGCCACCTCGGACAGCAACCCTGACTTGTACTGGGTATGCAAGCAATCTCTTTTTCTCCGTTACGAGATTCTGTTATAGTGACACGAACTTACATTTTCATAGGCTCTACGTGGCGCTGCAGATTCCATTGGCATAGTCACTGGTTTCCATATGAAGACTTCGCCTGCCCCTGAGCAGGTCGTGAACTTCATGTATGACGTATCACAGTCAAACGCTGCCAACGTATCGGCTGCTGTCGACGCATTCCTCAAAGTGCAAGACTTTGTGCGCAACGCTTCGTCCATTGACCGTAACCTCGGTCTCGGTCTCACGCTGGGTAAGAACAGTGGCACTGTCATCTTCCAGCTGGAGGGAACTTATTTCGGCTCTCTGGAGGAGTACACTGCGAATGTGGAACCCCTTCTCCTCCAGGGCCTCCAGGCATCGACAAGCAATGTCAAGCAGTACGACTGGCCATCATCACTTGCGGCACTGGCTGGGTCCAGCTTGACGCCCCCATCACCGTACAACCTTCACCAAAATTTCTTCGCCAAGAGTGTCATGGTTCCAGAACCTGGAATGACCGAAGAGGCTTTACAGAACTATTTTGAATACCTTTTCAACGGTACGTATTAAGTCGTTCATTTGTCATCCATGGAAACTCATGTACGGTTTACTAACATGATAATAGGTCCCACATCTCCAACCCCATTCTACGTCCTCATTGACCTCTGGGGTGGTGCAGACAGTCAAATCAACACAAAAGACACGAACTTCGCCTCTTTCCCATTCCGGGATACTCTCTGGGTCGCCCAACACTATGCCTATTTTACCGAAACTGAGGAATTCCCAGCCGAGGGCATCACCTTCCTCCAGGGGCTCAACGACGCAATGACCGAGAAGCTGCCAGCCTCGCACATGTACCAAAACTATGTTGACCCTACTCTCACTCGGGACGAAGCACACGCCCAGTACTACACCCCCGAAATTGTAACACGGTTGCAACAGATCAAGGCAGCTTATGACCCGGACAATGTCTTTGTCAACCCGCAATCGATATAAAAGTGCTCAGAGGGCGGGACTATGGGGCCTTTTACAAAATATTAGTAATGCATAATTGACGATCAAATAATCATTTACATTATATCGATGATTCGAAGTGAAATTAGAAGTATCGCACTGACGCATTCAGTACCTACCGCAAATCACTTTCTCGGGTATATAGTTCGCTCTTGAGCACCTGTCTTGTGTAGACTAAAGATCTCATACATTTTTGAATGCTTCCTCGGTCACCTCGGCTTTATCTTCCGCTTCAGACATTGGCTCAGGTGAGAGGAAGATTTCTCCCAAAAAGGTCCTCGGCGGCAGGTCTATTGACGGGGCTCTTCCACGACTTCTATGCCTTGCATTTTCTAAAAGGTTTCTCATCTCCGAGGAATTATCGAGATCATCTGAGATTCTTTCCAAGGGCTCCTGGCCCTCGGCATCAGTTTTCCGGGGGTCTACTCCAGCCGCAAGCAAAAGTTTGACAACTCCAAGATGACCATATTCGACAGCGTCGAGGAGAGGCGTATCTTCAACATCGTTCTGACATTTGACACTGCAGCCGGCACCGATCAGGAATTCCACGATATCCTCGTATCCATTGCGCGAAGCTACTTGAAGTGGAGTATTGCCGGCGTAATCGGGACGATCCAGGTCTTCGGGACGCTCTGCCAAGTGTCTTCTGGCTGCCTCATAGTCGCCCTTCCCACAAGCCCTGGCAAATAAAGTCTGACCATGCGCGGCTAAGTGTCTCTTAGTAGGATCGGAATGGCCAGCGTTGGTTGTCCCTTTGTTTTTAGACCGCAAACTGCGGGTGTGCTGATGCGACCGTGGGCTGTCATTACTGGATTTAGAGGAATCATGATCAATGGACTGAAGAGGGGCATCTACGACCCCAGCCGCTAGTGCTGCAGGCGGTGAAAGAAATCTCTTGCGACGTGTGAGTCTATGTTGTGAATCGGATTCGGAATCACTCGATTTATGAGAGTCAAGTAAGGTGTCATCCGGCATCTGTGGGCTGGATAGGAGGCTTGAGGATAGTTGCTGCCGTTCTTGTTCTTCTGACACAATGGTTACCTCCTTCCGAAGTGTTGCTTCAAGGTTTGCTGACTGCATGCTGGACTGTATTGCGAGCTTTATGGGATCTTGATCATCAGGTAGCGCATTCAATAACGGTGGGACAAAATCCCACACGTCTGGCCCGAACTCGTCTGGTTCGAACTCGTCTAGATTTAAATCATCCGAGTCGGAGTCCGGAGAATCAAGCACTAATTCTGCTTGGTCAAAAGCATTTCTTACTGTGCTGCGAGATCTCCGGTTGTCGATGTCGCTTTTGTAAGCATCTTCTTCCACTTGATCGTGGACGGGAGGGAGCGATTTGATAGCCAGTGATCGAAGGTGTCCAACAATATGATTGATCAAGTCCTCCGAAATTCCGGGACCCTTTTCATTCTCCTCTTGCCCTCCACAGAGAGGGCAAAACTTGAAGAGTGGCCCGGATGAGCGGGTGTTCTTTTCAATAATGAAGTCGATCTGGGCATCCGTGTATTTCCTTTCATGATCATTTTGCAGGTGATTCTGGAAGTCTCCGCGGTCGCCAAAGGTTTTGTATGCATGCAACTTTGAGGAACAAAACCAGGATCTGGTGTGCTCACGCATATGCCGAATCCAATCCTTTGTATGACTGAACAGTACATTGGGCTTGTCACATGGGTCAAAAAGGCACACAAGAGCATCCAGGTCGCCAAGAACATGTTTCCTTTGATACATTATCAATGATTGAATTTCCCGAGAAAAAAAGAAAGGGTTGTTGAAATACCAACCTCCATTTGTCTGCATTGGTCACTTCGTTGCTAGGGAGTACATAAAGACAATATGGGCAGGTAACATCCATCATGCCTTTGCTCTGAGCTAGTGGAGCGTCGGGAAATACGAGACTCTCATGGGCGCCCAGATCAACGGATCTGGTCTGAGAAACGACCGAGGGGGCAGACGCGCGTTGGAAAGTATGCGGTGTAAGCGTGGTGGCGCTATGTACTGCAGAGTGTAGCTGGCTGTGTGCAGTCAAAGGTTTCGGGGCGCTCCTATCGGCACGCATTTGCAAAGCGGTGTTCATCTGACGTGGAAAGGAAGACGGCATCTGCGTTGTTGGTCTGGCAACAGGATCCGGGGCCTTCATGGGATTGACGGAATACCGAGTCCGTCTGTACAAGATTCGCTTTCGTCTCAACACCATGGTGGAGGCTAGTCGTTCACGGATGGCTTCGCTGCTCTCTGGGAAGCGGTCTTCCAGATTCTTCATAAAATACCATTTTATTACTGCTTCCAAGTTGTTGCCTTCCTCGTCTGTCATTCGAAAGGTGGCGAGCGCCTTGTCATTCTGGGTCTCTCGGCTTGCTTTGCGGATCGTGTTTGCTAGGCTTTGAAGTAGGGTGACTTCGGACGCAATGGAGATGGCCGCTTGCTCGAACCCTCCTCTCGCCAGCGCCGAGAATTGCTCCTCAATTGGGGCATCCTGTGCATTCAGACGATTAATCAACTCTACGCCTGCACGGCCGATATGATTAGGTTTCATTTCATTGAGAAGTCGATGAGAGAACAAGTTGATGGAAGTCAGTCCCGTGGATATACTTACATTCAGAAATACGACTCTGTAGCACCGTCAGGATGCCCAGTATCAAACGCTGTACTTCAGGGGCCTCGCGGACGCGATGATCCATGCAATTCCTGCCGGGAGCAAATACTGCCATGTTGGATGTCCAAAGGGAAAATCGCGCCATCTGATCTTCAATAGCCGAGTACCGTCGGCCATCGAGAGACAGCGTGCTTTGAAGCAGCCGATTGAACTCATCCAGGCATGTACGCGCACTCGCCGAAATAGGAGTAAACAGCGCTTGAGTCGACAGAACATTGGCTTCAGACATCGCTGAGGACGGCGAGCCGCGTTCAGCTGGTCTTCAAAAAATGAGCCTTTTGGCAGAAACGACGTGTGAGGCTGAGGGATCTGGTACGAATCATCGAGGCCATGGCTCTGCTTATCTTGCATGACAAGCTCATACTCCCCGCTTTGTGATATTGCGAGCAGTACCTAACATGAGCGGGGCACAGCTGTGGCACTCTGCCTCAGCACAGATCACCTAACCTATCCCCTGTACAATGCCAAGCCACTCTCTACCTACCTAGGCAACCGTGACTTACGATATTTTGGTACCATGTCGTGTAGAGACTACCTAGTATAGTGCATTGTATCTAGGCATACTTTCAAGCAGCATTATTGAAGGATATTTATGTGGCACGGCATCATCACATCAGTTTAACAGAAGTGGCACCAAGAGTGTCGCATCAGCTTGTCTTGTGTCTAGGGATCATTCGACATCAAGCGAGGTACGAAATCTGACCCGCGGTCTTGACAGGCTATCCGATCGCTTTCGCTTCTGCATTTCTGCACCAGCGACTACATCAGAGCGAGATGTTACATCAATGTGCAGTGGTTGACCCCCACTTGCGAGATCCAATCTCTGAACCAAGACGTCGAGCTTATCGACTGAAAGGCTGCTAAAGGCGTTCTCTAGTTCGTCTTCCAATGGGCGGACTATCTTTTCGTAAAGGACACCTCTCAAAGCGTATTCATCCATCGGCTCTCCATCATCAGACAAGCCGATTTTGAGATCTAGGCTTGCGGAAATGGCTGATCGCGTTTGATCGGTGATGTCCTGATGACAGTGCTTGAAGACGTCTTTCACCAAGAAATACCGAGCTCCTATATCCATATCATCAGCTCCTGAAATGTTGTATTGTTCTGCCAGAGAATTGAGGCGTCTTGCTTGATGAATCTCGATCAACACAGCGGCCAAGTCTACCAAACAAGGATAAGGTGGCAGCAATAGGAGGTCATCGGGGTCAATGTCTTCGTTTCCATACCCTCCTAGGAGTCCTGCTGAAGTTTCGCCGACATTGTGATCAAGATACGATTCGAGGTAAGGGCGAAGGGGTAAACCGCCACTTGTTGAGAAGAATTTGACGTTTGAGGAACCCCAAGGTGACTGTAGCCATGGGGTGCCATGCAAATGGAACACGGCATAAGCCAAAAGAACACTAAGGATCCTTTTTGTTTTCTCGTTGAGCAAATGATGTTTTTCGACAAGGAATTGTTCCAGAGAGATTGGTGGTTTGGACTTGTCCATTTTGAAATTGGTTTCCTCTGATTGCAGCTTCCAGAGAGTGTCGCGATCCAACTGAAACTTGAGACGATAGTCTGGTAGTCTTGAGATTTTCAATATGTCGTCACATAAGCGTTCGACCACTTTAGACCGTCCCTTACCAGTACGTTCTTTTGCAGACAAGGCAGAAGAATTAGCATCGTTGGGAAGCTTGCGACTTTCTCTCGTTTCCACAGCAGTTGTCTCAACATGAGCTTCCTGCCACATCCTCTCAATTCCCAGGTAAAGATCAAAGTCACCGTCTTTTAGTTTGGCGCGGTGGGTCTCAAGACAAACTTGCACAGAGAATCCGTGTGCGGGATCACAAGAACAGGGTCTTCTGGAAGAAAGAACTTTGAAAAGCGTGTCAGCAGCAGGCCAGATCTCCTGTGGCGGCTTTTGTCGAGTTTTTCGATAGGGAGATTGTTCATCCTCTCCCGATATGGTAGCATCAGCCCTTTCGCTAGAGAAAGAGGCGGTGATGAAGTCTTGTAGGAGATTTAACAAAGCGGCACGATCCGTTTCTGTTCCGAAATTGATGCATCTTGTGAGCGCCTCGACTTTCCTCAAGTTGGTGTCTTGACTGGATGAAACGAAGCGGTGCAGTGCTTCCAGACCCGGAAAGACCTTTAGTCCATGTACATGGCTTTCCGCTATATCTTCAGAGATGGTCAATTCCAGGCGAAACAGGATATCTTGAAGAACACGAGGGTCTTTCGGTAAACTTTCTCTATCACCCCGATGTAACATGAGGCAATACCCGCATAGGGTATAGTAAAAGCTCTTCATGTCAGTTACCTTGGTCTCGTGTTGTCCCAAGAGTTCACCGACGAGCGAAAAGTCCTCGAGCGCTTGTAATAACCGTGATTTTAGCGAGAGCTGCTTCTTGCCGTTCCACCTTGGCGCTTCGCTGGCCATTTTCTGGCAATTTTCCTTGTTTACATCGAGATGAACCTTCCCTTCAAGCTGCTTCGACTGACCATGGCCATCCACCAACCTAGCGTCTCTGCTAAGGGGCACAATCGAAGGTGATTCCGGCCTATCAGCTGTCAATTGACCGTGTTGCCCATCAGAGCGCCAGCCTAGCCAACTCGCAATGGTCTGTCGAAGTCGAACCTGCGCACGCTCCCTGCCCTCGCCATACAGCAAAGGCATCTGAACATTGAAGATGCCCAACATACAATAGGCCATGTCTTCTTCGCGTGTCGTCTGGCGCTTTTCCAACCACGACATGCGATCCAGCTCACTGAACTCGCACGTCGGTTGTCCTTTTAGAGCATCAATCGCGATACCGGTGATGTCATGAATGAGTCTCAAGAGTGACGTTTTATCACCCAGGCGCTGCCTGTCAGAGGAGAAGAACTCGACATATTGTGGAGCAACTAGCTCTTGCAACGTCCAACCGCGGGTGAACCACTTGCTCCTCCGAAACTCTGACTTCCACGCTGTTTCTGGTGTTGCGTCGATTGCGCAGCTGCCATGCACCACGTCGGCCAGATACACGTAGCATTTCTGTGCTTTCTGATACCACTGAAACATGGAATTGATGGCCTCTGTCAGTTCGGCAGAGCTGGTCTTGTCGATGCAGCATGTGTCTACCCAGAAGTACTCAATATCGTCCAACTTGGCTTGCTGCCCGCAGAACAGGATCTTTTGGTAGCCCGAGGTTTGTCGCCAGCTTGCATCTTTCCTTGTCTCCATCAATAGATCTTGCAGTGTGACTTCGTCATCCTCGCTCCCCCAAGTGTGAGAGAGTATGGCATATGGAGGAATGTCGCGCGCCAGATCCTTGGTCAAAGTCAGCTCGCCGGCGGCTCCAAGCTGGAGTAGGCGCATCTTCCACGCCTATGCTGAGAGAGGCGGGCGGCTAAACTCGAAGGTTATGTTGACTATGTGTTTTTTGGCTTCCAAGACATGATTTGTAGGGGAAAAGGTGTCGCAGTACTGCTCCAAGTCTTGCGAATTCAACAAGTAAGCCGACTGACTGTGGCTGAGCTGGCCACTGCCTTGTGCCGAATGCGGGGCTACGCCTGGCGAATTGGAGATCAACCTCTGAGGCTTTCAATAACGCGATGTCTGGCGCAAAACTCGCATCCTTATACTAGATAGAATACTCATACAAGTATAAATAGCCTGTAATTGACCAACACTGTTCACTGTGCTGATTTGGTAATTCCCTTTTATTGGGCCGCTGCTTGGGCGGCATGGGTACTATGTGGACGCACGGAGCACTTCAGGTTCGAAAGCAGGGACCCAACCCTTTTGGGAAATCCTTGTTGTAATTTTGCTTCTACTGTAGTATTCGTTTTATTATATATAGATTTTGAAATAACTTTGTTGCCGGAGGATCATCAGCATGCCTAAATACTTAAATGTCTCTCAGCGCGATATAGGCAATGTGCTTGTCTGCTACATACTAGGTTAGGTAGTTAGCATAGGCACTACCAGAGAGTGTCTCACTCACCTCTACTAGCTTCTTTCGCTAAATGCTTGCACGCCAGCTTCGGACATTCGAAGCACATAGAGCAGAAGTGAAAGAATAAATTTCGTCTACCCTGATTGAATCAATATTTTTAATCATCATATCATTTAGGCTTGATCAAATTACCTTATAAATCATTCTAGATAGATAATACCTGTTTCATCATAGTTTGGGGGTGGGTTTGAGTCTATGTTAGGGTTAAACTTTCAACCCGCGTTAGGGTCACAACTCAACCCTAAATAAGCTTTCTAAATCAACTACAGCGCAGCGTATAATTGATGAATGGTGATTCCGGTGTACTTGGGCAATTATATACCAATTATACAACAGTAACAATTACTATAGTGCAATGACTGGAGCTGCCTTTGCCAATGGCAGGTGCCTTCTGAGACTGGAAGTCTAGGTATTCTTGCCTGACCCTCCAGTTAAACTATCATATTGACGCCCATAGTAGCCAAAGCAGACCAGTATTTTACGAGTCTTCAGCACTAAAGACACGTTGCCTAATCCTAGGCGCTCATCCCGACAGATGGAACGAACCGCGTCAAGTTGAATTGAATAGCAATTTTTCTTTTGTCCTCTACTTTGTTAATACAGTACAACGCTCAATTCTCCAAGCTTACTACACTGCTTCAAAACCCTGCAGCTTTGTCAATGGCATTCAGCCAATACTGCACCACATCACCAGTTGGTTCTGAATCTATGTCCTCCTCGGCCTCACCCTCGCTCCACACAACGCCAAGTGCTTCTGTACCTTTCTTGTATTCTTCAGAAAGTTGGCGGCCAGAGATTGCTTCGAGCTCTGCCTCCATCCGCTCCAGCCAGTGATCCGTCAAGAACGTGCTCATGTCAAACTGATTCTCATCATCCATCATCGTGTCAATCATGGCGTCAAGATCGAAGAGGATTCCCTCCAGCAGCTCAATCATGTCAGCTTGCTCATCTCGTACATGCATTGTATCTTGCCACTCCTCCACAGTGACTGAACAAGTATATCTATATTTCCCGGGCTCATGATGACATGTGTGGCTCATTTCCAAGGTTGTGAATGTGAAGTATCGAATTGCTTCTTTCCATTCATCCTTTGACAACTCAGTTAGAGACATATCGAGATAGTTCAAGAACGGTTCAATGATGGAGATGATGGACTGGCCTTCTCTCGCTGATTCCTGAGCAATCAGAGCTTTCAGCATCATCAGGAATGGTGTGCATCCTTGCTTCGAGCAACTACACTCGCAGTTGTCGAAGAGATCGACGGGCAGTACTTCTTGCAAAGACGAGAGAATATACCAGTCAGGATCATCATAATCGCCCATATCCGGTAGCCAGTCTCCGATGTATTGAAAAACAAAATGCGCGGTCGTCACGCGTAGTGATTTGCGATCAGCACCAATCCCTGAGTGATTCAGTTCTCTGGAAAGGTTTGCTCCGTGATCGACGAGCCACTGAATCATTCTCAGATTCTCACAGTTTGCAAGGGGTGGCAGTCCGTCTCCCCTTACATCATCAAACTGCCCGTTGAACTCATCAATGTCTTGAAAACCATGATCCCAGAAGACGTCCGCATTCATAATGTTTTTCACGGTATGATAGACTGAACGGCCGGGGTAGCAAGTGGATGTGGCAGGCTTTGTTGTTTGTGTGAGCCTCAAAGCAGGAGAAATTTGGACCCCATTCAAATCAAGTAGTCCAAGGACGGCGGCTGTCTGCGTGTCGAGTGTGCGTACGCTCTCAAGGTTCAAGGCAGCGATATCATGTTCCGGAAGCTTCTCCAGAGCCAATCGCTTCAATTTGTCTCGTCGATCTTTCAATCCTCTGACCAGGATCCTTTGGCATCTTGTTGTCATATCGCGGTACAAATAATCGAAGGCGCCAATGTCGACGGCACAACCAGCCTTGAGTAGCATTTTCATTGGTGCAGCACAATGGCATCCGTGGCAGAGGCTATCCGAGAATGGTCCTACACTGCAAAGTTGGGCACTTGACACTAGTGCATAATGAAATGCGGTTTATCCACTGAAATCGGGCTTGTTCAGCTGAGACGGACCCAAAGCTGGTAGCAGTAACCGTAACATATCGGGTTGGCTGGCACTTAGGTGCAATGGGGTTTGACCCCAACCATTGACTTCCATAATACTACGGGGATCTGTTTCAAGCAACCTTTTGACTTGTTTGCCGTCACCAATGAGGACAGCCTGGCACAATGGACCGCAGCCACATGCTGCCAATGTTATATTAGTTACACCGAAAAAAAATTTCTTTTCTCGTGGGGAAATCTCTACCTTCTGCAATAAGTTGAGACACTCTCTGCAGGCTGATTGATCTAAACAGATAATCATTCATACTCATGTGTCTAGATGAGTTTTCTTGAAAGATCATCATGGCCGGTATATCGGCGGCTTTGCCAAAGAGAATTTCCACAGACTTGGCGGAATCAATTTTGAAGGAAGCTGTCAGTGTCTTCATTGGTGACCTGGATTCATATTAGAGCGCAGACACAAAGTAATAGAGAGGATAGAATCACTTACTCGCCATTGGTGTCATAAATATTGGAGGGTATGTCAAGATACGTGACGTTTTCAAGAAAATCAAGAACCAGTCTCTCGAAACGGACCGAATCATTTGATCTCCACTTTCGTAGCAAAAGGTCCCAAACCTAGAAGCAGTTACATCAGCAGTTTTGGAAAGCAATGACATAAGCGAACATACCAAACTAGTTATCGGATAGATCAAGGTCTGGTTGCGACTATTCACATCGTTTGGCGATGCCTGACCTTTTCGAAAAAGTGTTTCGAGTTTTGTAAGGGCCCTTTCGAAGAAACCTTTCCAGGTAGAAAGAATAAATTGGCGTCGATCATTCGAATCGCGCGACGCTTTTTTCAATATTTGGATGATTTGGAAAGCAGGCGCAGCATCTTCATCCACGGTAGGATAATAGGTAAAATTTGGTCCAAAGCTTGCACCGCCGGCACCAAATTTGCACGAGAATGTGAGCTCGATGGCCTTGTGTGCGAGCCAGCCAAGCCCAACCTGCCTCATGCCCCATTTCTGCTCAGTTGTTTTCGGCTGCTGCCAAAGGTCGCACGTAGGAAAATGGTTTTCCGACCAACTGTTGTCCTGGTAAAATATGAACCCAGACCACACGGCTTGTTTGCGCTGGAGTCGGTGTCTTGGGTGACAGGTGCATTCCCGAGAGGAGCGGAACTGCAACATGGAGGTAGAAGACTGGCGATCCCTTGCAGTCGTTGTGAGGACAGACGTTTGGGGTTGGTCGTCGACATTCCATATGTCTCGTGCTGGCGAGCCTACGTCCAAGTACTCTTCGGATACTTCCTCGAGGTAACTCGGTCTCGATATCATCTGATTGAATAATCTTGCCTGTTTAGATTGTCAGATCTTGTCGCTTTGAGAATAGCGAACTCAAATATCGGCCGGGCACTTGCCTTGTCTAGCTGCGTGAGCTGCAAAAGTTTAGTCGTAGCTCCATGGTTGAGGGCATTCTGTATTTGTATCGCATCGACCTGATCTCCTATCCGGGACGATTGCGTTGCAAGCAGGCGATTCGCACGAGTTGCATCTTCTCTGATTACTCGTATGCCTTGCTCTGACCGTATTGCTGTCTGTCCAAGGTCAAGTAATGAGAGGCCGATGCTCTCAATGGCCGCTCGCAGTAGTGTCGCCTCGTTGCGAATGTGAGAAACGTCATTCGCAAGTGCGGTAACCTCAACTTTGGTCTCAATGATCTCGGCAACCGCATCGTTCGAGGTAGATTCAATCGTGCGTAGTGTTTGGCCCTGCGAGATTGAACTCTCCCTGCGCCGATGATTACTATATTGTTCTCACTATGCAGTCTGTAAACGAAGCGGCACTCACAGTCCCAATATTTGCAGGGTAACCTGCAGACTTTTGGAGGCTTGATCAACTCTTGCTTGCAAATTTGTCAGTCTTGATCGGTTGAATGCATATGTCAACCGTTTCTTTGATGCCTTTGCTCTGTCTAGCAAATTGGGGTTATTCCTTGTCTCGTCGCATAGTTCAGCTACGAGGCGTCTTAGTGCTTCCAACTCATCTTTGCACAGTTGTATACACGCGATGACGGCCGTAGATGAGTGTTGATTATGGGCGACCAACTGAGGCAAGATATTTTCAAGAGCCTGTATCGAAGTCTTGAGGGTCTGTTCATACTTTCTTGCGGAGTCGAGTTCCTCTGCACGAGATTTGATACCATCAAGATACTTGGTAATGCCGCTGCAGACTTGGAAACCGAGAGAGACCAGCCCAGCCACTGAGGCCGCAATGGACAAGCCGTCGGCCATACGGAGCAAGCCGCGCTGCTTCACAAGATGAAGCCAGCTTATGGGTCAAATTGTCGCACTTGGGAAAAGTTGACTCTGTTTAGAGCGGAGGGAGGGGCGAGTCTTCGAGGTTCCAAGCAGGCTGCCTTGGCGAACTGAATCTGCCTTGCAAATGCGCCACTGCAGTCCAGCACACCAAAACTGTGAGGTGGCTTGTTGAATGCACCGGCTCTGACCAATCTGATGTGCACAAGGACTGCTGTAAGCGCTGCAGCAGGCGGTGATTGGTGGTGAACTGAGAGCCAATGAATACCCTGGACAACCAGCTCTCTTTATCTCCACTGCTTTACAAAAACACCACAGCCACTTTCAGTCTGTACAAACTGATAGATCCAAGTATAAGCAATTATCAGAATCACATGACTATTTCCTGCCCAACTACATGCATGTCTTGTGATCATGACAAGAACACCGAAGCAGACTCTCTTTCATGGGACGCTCAGATGTGGACGTATGTATGTTTATTTCAGTACCATATTTCAGCATACTGACCAGGTCTCCTTGCACTTCCAATAGAAACTATCCTCAAAGTGACATGATTGAGTTCCCCCCGTGTAGTCTGCAGTGTCTCATACTTCTGACTCCGTTGCCATCCTGATGATTCAATCGCTGACTGTGGACGTAAGAACGGCCGTCGAAGTCCCGACTTGGTCAAGAATCGTAGGAAGGGGTCCATTCATACAAATAACAAAGTCGCCTGAAAGTATAGTGCTGAAAGTCCCATGACACACCAGATTAGCCTCTTTCTTGATACTCCTGGTGTCGGAGGAGACAGAGGGACGCAGCTCACCCATTGACAACATGATGCAAGCGCAACTCCGAGCCCGTCGACGACAAGACATCAAAGGTAAAATCGACATCATCACACGGATACCCCATCCCGGGCACGTCATAGTCCACCACGGCACAACCCACAGTGTTGCTGCTGTCGACAGCGAGGGTAAAAAAAATTTGCGGTTCGGGATTGTTGCCTCTGTATCCAAAGCCAGAGATGGTCATGGTCTCATTCAAGGCTACTGCTGCCAGCGTCGTCGTTGCAGTGACCAGTGCGGCGGATGTTGAGAGCGACATTATGGAAACAATTATTGAGTCTTGACGATTCAATGAGCCGGAAATAGATATGAGGATTAAGCAGTTGTACGGGAAGTTTGTGGTTTATGAGCAAAGACGTAGGCTCAGATACTTCATGGGGGTGTTTTCTTTTCGCAGTTCCCTTGTATTTGCCCAATGTATGTAACGTTGCATCACTCTTTACCCGAAAATGCAACATATACCCAATATCTCAAACTAGAAGACACTCCCTGAATCCAGTTGGAGCGAATTTTCATCCGACTTGGCGAAATACAGACCTGTCGTCTGAGTATTTGCAGCTTGCACGTCTCACAGTTGCAATGTCCGGGTATCTGCATGGAGCGGCTTCGTCACGAATCTCCCCACGGAAATTGAGAGACTCAAAGATGGACAGATGCTGCCAATACACATCAGAGAACCAGATGCAGTGAGAAATGATGATATGAAAACAAATCGGTTGGTCCGCATAAGGGTTGCAACCCAAGAGCTGCGAATAGATATCGCAGCGGTCGTTCCGCCGAGACCTAAGCTGCCGAAACGGAGCGAGCTGATGGGACGACAAGCACCATCTTATTCTCTTTCTTATCTTCTCTCTTATTTAAATTATTTCCTGCGTATTTTAAGTTTTTTCAATAATTTGCCCTCCGGACAACTGTAAATATAGCCACTAGGAATAATAACAATACCGTTGGCGCATAATCCCGGCTAGGTCGTGTTAATAGAGAACAGCAGTCATCACGTCAAACACATTTATACCACAAAGCAACACTTTCACATGCTCAGTCTTGTTTCCGAGTCATGTTCTTCTGAATCTAGTATTAACCAGCAAAGTTTGCTAGTCTTCGTAATTACAGTCGCAACTTCTGGGTCACTGATGTCAGGTTGAGTTTTCCTTGATACAATCAATGAGTGTCGATCATGTCTCAACGATGACAAGACCACCGAGGCCAGAAGTGCCAAATCAATGCCTTTCTCAACGCCCCAAGACCATATGCTTCGCTATGCTCAAACGTCCGCTATTTCACGCGAGTCGATCTCATGTATGCAGGCTGGATCGCGTGTTCTTGTTCCTGTGATCACAATTCAAGATCTCTGAGCAGCCGTGTCAGGTCTGATATTTGTTCCTCAGATACCGGTTGGTCCGTTTCCTACTCAACTTTCGACCTTCTTTGGGCGGTTCCGGGAGCGGGCGCAGGACGTGGGCGATTCCTCCCGTCTTGTTGGCGACTACCGCTCAGCCTAAGGGCAGCAAAACGCTTAGCGTCTGGTTCATCGTTCGAAAAGGTTGCAACACCGTCACTCGTCTTGGCAGATTCACGAGGGTTTGCTGGGTTATCAGGATTGACAGATTGGACCCCGCCTCCACTAGGCGAGCGAGGACGCTTCAAAGTGTGCGTAGGAATGTTCTCACCGGACGATTGAATGATAGCCTCCAGCGTCTGCCATCCGGGCATCGAGAAGAGTTGGTACGTGTCGGCAAGGTCGTGCTTTGTGGCCACACGGCACAAAAGAGCTTCTTCCTCCTGTGCAATGTTAGTGAGCCCCAACCTAAACGATCATGAGAGGACAAATACCTTTGAAAGCACGCCCATGTTGTGAATGAAGCATAGGAGGTGAAAGTCGGAAAGCTTTTGCTGGCCATCCTTGGTCTTGAGGGCCTTGGCCACAGCACTGGGCTGCTGCGTCTCGCCCATGATCTCGCGGTTTTCAATCGGGAAAGGGCTCTCTTTTGAGTCCTTGAACAGGGGCTTGGGCTCGGTAGGAAAGCCGTGAGTCAAGGTGACATATAGATATTCGACAGGGAAAGCAGGCTTTGCATTTTCCTGAACGTTGGCATTGTATTCATTGATCTTGCGGAAGAAGACCTCGGGTATGAATCTCGTGCGGCTCTTGGAACCGTCCTCATCCTCCTCTTCCTGCACAAGCATGACGGTAGGATCGGCCGACGGCTCGATGATATCGGCCCGAACCATTTCTACAGCCTCAAGAGATGCTTGATAGGCGGAGATGGCAATCTGGCCAGTCTCATCACCTGATATGATGCAAGTCACGAAATTGGAGCCATAGATGCCAGTGTCACTCCATTTCGTGGGCTTGGGGTGCTGTGCTTGAAGTCTTGCGGCATAGCAGACCTCGAGTGAGGAAAGGTTGTACGAGTCTGCATGTCTCTTGCAGATGACGGAGCCGTCGCCGACACCCGAGTCCAGCAGGTCGGTAAAGATAGTGCCCACCGGCTCGAGGCCGCATAGTTTGGCAACAGCCGTGATTTCGTGCTCGTTGTCAAAGGGATTCAACGAGACACCGTCGGCCTCATCCACCTGTGGCACCTCATAGATAGCCTCCACTACAGCTTTAACTCCCAGTGGTATTTCGGTGTATTCCTCATAGTGACCGTAGAGAAGTCCGACTCTTTGAGCGCCAGTTCTGCGCCAGGCATCGATAAATGTGTTGACCAGGTCAAATGAGGCGAACTCGACATGGTCGACGGCACGCCATGTCTGCGGCTGTAAGATGATGGAGCTCGGTTGGCACTTTGTGCAAATACCCTCGGGCCAAGCTGGGTGGCCAGACGGACAGTCCTTCTTGACTCGGAAGTAGGGCTCCTTCAGAGGCGGAATGAAGGAGCTGCCCAGCTCGGGCTTGTTTGTGGCCGAGTTAATCTTGCGGAGGTAGGAGTGGAAAGATAGATATTTGATCTTCTTATCAGCTAGGTACTGCGGGTTGAAGGGGTCGAGAGGCATGCAGTAGTCGCACATGCCCTTCGGTCCGTGCTTGCACATCTTATCGCGTCCTCTTGGGATCTTGCCGTCTTTCTTGTCCAGCCGATCATCCAAGGCTGACTGTTTTACCACCTCCCACGGGTTTCTGATGAGTGTCGGCTCTTTTCCTATCGAGATTGGCTTTGTGGGGATGTCTTCGGTCGGCAGGATAGGCTTGCCGTTGAGTCTGTTTGCGGCGGCAGGAACGGCGCCATTGGAGTCGGTCTCGCCGTTGGCTGTGTCGCTCTTGTGGTCATAGGTCAGGAAGATGAGATCACCATGCTTGAGACCAATCTGGCTGAGTTTGAACTTTGCAATCTCTACCAGCCGTTTCCGCTCGCCGCCCGAGGGGGTATTGGACATGGCAATAGTTTCGGGAGCGACGGTCGGAGGAAGCTCCTTGACCAGCTATTCACAGTACAGTCAGCGTCATGTATGTACAGTTCGGGCGTCCGAAAGGAAACTCACGAGACGACCCAGGTCGCCAAACGTATCACTGGGGTCAACCGTGACCCTCTTCATGCCATCAGGCCCCCGTAGTCGTAACAGCATCTTGGGCAGTTGAGTCTGGATTGAATAGGTGGTAAGTGGGGGGGAAGGAATAAGTCTTGGAGGGGTGAATGTGAATGTGAATGAAGAGGGTAAAGTTATACTGATTGCGCAGCAACAACGACGATGCGGAAGGAACAAAGACGAGTGCACAGGAAAAAGATGCGATTTGTAATTTCTGTCTGTTCCCCCGTAGACAGTCTGTTTGGTTTGTGGTTTCGGTTTGAAATGTGAATGTGGCCAAGAGAAAGTCACAGAAACGATGCGCCAGGCCAATTAATCACCTAACCTAGGCATGAACAAGATGGGAAAGTCGCCGCGCGATTGGCGTGCATGCGCGTGCCCCGTCTGGTCCGTCGTGCTTTTGGGGGGAGCTTCCAGGCGCTGACTTGAATGACGTGGGCACCCGCTAAGCTAAGCTGTCGTCAATTGGCCCAAGCTCCCTTTTTTTTTCTAAGCCAAGCGCTTTCAAAGTTACCGAGCATTGTTTCATGTCAGTTGCTTGTGGTGAGATTGTTACCTGAGTTACATGCATAGGCACCTACGTAGTAGCTATGCAGCTCAAAGAGAACCTACTCAACTTGAGAGTCTTTCAATCTTATTACTTGCATAGTATACAACTCACTGTCGAGCACAATAGATATCATGACAATAATTATACTTGAAAATCATAGGCAACTATTTTATCTCTCTTTTTTTCCTCTGCGAAAAAAAACTTTCACTATTGCCAAACTAAACAAACTTCCGAAGAAAGACTTTCCGCAAAGTACGCCTAAGCAACCCATACAGCCATTCCTCTCACACAAGTCAGAATCCCACCGATGCCACGCTTGTCTGTCGATGGCAGTATTGCCGCCTTGTCTCGACAGTCTCTGCTATCCTGTGACCTTTCATGCCGGTTTGAACTCGCCCTCAATCTCCCATGAGAAAGCTAGTTCAATACCTGCTGGGATAGAGTATCCATGTCTACTCCCAACTCTCTGACTAGACTGCTTCCTCCCAGCACCCAGACTCAGACTGGTAAGCTTGCTGCGTGGTTTTGCTCGTTTTGTGAATGAACCGAGGAAGAATCGCTATTATACATGATGGAATCCACCTCAAAATCTCTCAGAGGCACAAAATATTTGCGCGTACTCTTCTAACAGAATTCATACTGTTTGCACTGGGATATCCCTTTGCGCAACTTGCGCTTGAGACCGACAATTCTTCTGTCATATCCCTCAATGCAACATTTTCGGTCTTGGCACTCATCTTGCCGCTTATGCTGCCGAATCTACAGCCGATGGCTCAGCAGAGGATGCTTTCTGTCACATATAGTCAGTACTGCTTTTGCGACAGCGTTTTGGCGACACTTACCTCTTCAGTTGGCTTGTCCTCAGCGGCGGCCGAATCGGCCTTGGTTTCGCTCTTAGGGGCTTCACTGGCCTCCTCCTTGGCCTCGCTCTTCTCCTCCTTGGCAATTTCCTTGGAAGCGGCGGCATCGCCATTGACTCCGTTGGTGGGCTCCGGGGCCTCTTTGGCAGCTTCTCCAGAGGTGCCATTTACACCGTTAGCCGGAGTGCCTGACTCTGCTGGCAGGGGGTCTGCAGCCAGGATCCCATTCCACTTGTCGAGGAGAACCTGCGATCGTGGCTTGAAGTTGAAATCTGCCTCCTTGGGGATCTCGGGAATCTTTAGAATTGCCTTCAGCACCTTGTTGATCTTGGTAGCGCGAATGATGCTAGCTTCCAGATCCGGAAAGCCTTCCAACTTGACCAGGAAATCGGACATGCTCTGCATATCCGACTCCTTGATGGGACCCTCGCGAGGAATGAGGCCCTTCTGCAGTCGGTGGCGCAGGAATAGAATCTCCTTCTGTAGTGCGTAGTCAGCGATTGAATCTCCCAAGCGAAGCAGGCGACAACAAGCTTGCAAATACATACCTTCTTACGGTCCTGCTTCTCCTCAGGTGTCAACTCTGGCTCCTTGGGAGCAGACTCCTTCTTGGGCTTCTCGCCATCAGCGTCCTTGGCGGGCTTGCTCTTGGACTTGGCCTTGGGAACCTTTGCCGTTGACTCCTTCGGCGATGAAACTCCATTAGTGGCCGCCTTGGGCGTAGAAGAGCTAGTCAGCTTAATCTTCGGCTTCTTGACAGAGTCAGAGCGCTGGGGAGTCTGTCAACCTGGGTCAGTCTGATGGGAACTCAAGAGTGCGATGAAGGGCAGTTACTGACAGCATTGTTCTCTTCCTCTGCCTTGCGCTTCTTAGTGGCCTTCTTCTTTTCTGATCCCTCACTCTCCTGGGCCGAAGCATCGGGCATGTCCACGTCCTCGTCTTCAATCTTGGGTTCGCTCTTCTTAGTAGTCTTTTCCTTCTTGGCGCGAGCACGGGCAGCCTTGGCTTCTTGTTCGGCCAACTTGGCCTCCTGGAACTCCACCAGAACGCGCTTGTAGTCGTCAATGCTGTTCTGCTCGGCGGCAAGCTGATGCGCGGCGGCGAGATCCTTGCGCATCTTGGGGGTCACGAGATCTGCCACAGTTTCGAAGTCAAGGTCATCGAGATCCGTGTTTCGCGTCCAGGAACTAGTCTCAAAGTTAGTACTGAGCCAAATGATACCAAACTGGCGCGTTTCGTGGCAAGACGCAATAGCAATGTGGGCATGAGTGTGCAAACTTACAATTCGTTGGTTTGCAGGTACATGACTGGATATGTCCTGTCACCAACCTTCTTGCCACCATCGGCGTAGTCGTCACGGTAGGTACCATCAGGGCGCGCAGCCGTTACGGGTCGCGAAGTGAGCATGTTCTGGGGCAGCATCTCCTCGTCGCAAACAATGACGGGCCACGGCGGGAAGCCCTTTAGTCTGGCGAAAAAGTGATCGCCAGGCTTGGCGTCGAGATGCTGGATCTTGGCTTTTGACTGCTTCTTGTTCAGCTTCTTGCTTGTGCTTGCCACTGCTGACTTCCGTCGGTTCTTATTGGCAGGGGTCGAGGTAGTGGCCGCGGGGGCTGCGGCATTCTCTTCGTCGGCAGGCTTGTCCTCTGCTGCAGCGGCATCGTCGGCAGACTTGTCCTGCTCTGCCAGCTTGTCGGCTCCAGCCTGTGTTTCGGTCTTGGATGCCTCGCTCTTGTCGGCATCCTCTGGCGCCTTTGCGGCGGCATCAGTCGCATCTGCATCTTTCATCTCGACGTCCGAGTCAGCGGCAGGCTTTTCTTCGTCTGTTGTGGGCTTGGTTTCTGCTAGATAAAAGATGCAATTGTAAGCTCCTGTGCGCGATGAATGTGAAGAAAAAGTGCTCGGATGCACAAGAGACGACAGAACTCACCCGAGTCAGCAACTGTCTTGCTGTCCTTGTCCTCGGCGGTAGGGGGCGCATCGCCGGACTTCGCGTCAGCGGGCGCAGCAGCAGCATCCGAAGAGGCGGCAGGCGCGTTGGTCTCGGAAGTCTCTGGCGCCTTTTGCTCAATGGGAGCGGCGACTTCGTCAGACATGATGAAGGGAAGTGACAATGGACGCGACAATTGGTATTTGGTGAATGTATAGATGCACGTGTGTTTTGATGATGGACGTTGGGAGTTTATGTTTGCTGGCAACGGAAAGGATGTTGCGTGGGTGTGGAGTAGAGATTTTGGTTTTAACGCTCGACGACCGCAGGACGCGAATTGAAGAAAGATGGAAAAGGGTTCCACTATTTGTGTTGAAGCTCGAAAAGCGTGTTGCTAAGACGAGACTTGACGGGGGGGTCCGTTTCGTTTCCCTGCGGGTCAGGCCAGGGAAAGAAAAATAGTCGTAGTAGCAGCAGTAAATTGAAAGTGCAAGCTGTGACGCGCCGACCTGATGGGGGCGTCTGACAACACTACTATTGATGCTACTACGCTTCTGGAACTACCCAGGTGGGCAACGTCGGTGGTAGGCAACCTAACGTAATGAAGCGTACTAGGCAGGCGGGCAGGTAGGTAGGCAGATAGTCAGACGGACAGGCTGAAAGAGAGAGAGAGAGAGAGAGAGCAGAAACCAACACACAGACAGACAGACAGACAGACACACGGAAAGACAAGACAAATAGACAGGGCGGGCAGCTCAATCCAACCTCTTTTGACTCTGGTTGGCAGTTGCCAATCGATCAATCAATCAATCACACGATTAAACGCAATGCGCCCTCTCCTTCTTCTTCTTCTTCTTCTTCTATCTGATGTTGATAAATGATGAAACAGAAAACAAACAAAGACACACGGCGATGAGGGGGGAACACAAGAGAAGAAAAGCACCGCCGCAATTGGATTGCCACTTTTTGTCGTGTATGTTTTGACTGGCCTGATGACGGACAAGAAAAAAAAAAAGTCGGACAGAATTGGGAAAGGTGAGAAGAGGGAGAAGAAAAAAAAAACCAAGAGGTTCAAGGTTTCCCAGGGTCGATCACACTTATGTTATGGAGCAAAAACGCTCAGCAGCCAAGGAATACTTCTGTCTGGCTGGCTGGCTGGATACTTTTGATAAACGCTGTGTGCTTCCACACTGCCACCTGCATCCAACCCATTTCCCCTTAGTGGTTGGGAGACACGCAAAGGAAATTCACATAAAACGAAATGGAAACCAAAAAAAGAGTATCCAACAGACGAGGTCACGTGTGCTAATGCTTCCTCGGGTACAATAGGCTGTTGGTTCATCTCCTTGACTGATTTGCCTGACTAACGGATCAATGTCCAGATGACTGACTGACCGACCAACAGGCGAGACCTTATCGGTCAGGACCCCATCCTGATTCCTGACAGTCCTGTCCTGGGCCCTTGCGTGACGGCTACCTCAATTTCCGCCCTCATTAGCAACTTCAATGAGATTTACCCAGAGCGCCTCTGCAAACACGGGCGTCTCATCTCCAACACGTTCACATTTGCATACTCAAGTCACGCCCCCGGCTTTGAGTCTCACAACACGCCCAGCCAACTCCATTCCCTTCACCACATGTTGGCAAAACCAGCATAAGTGTTGTTAATATCTGAATTCCTCACATGTCTCAGGGATACATCGGTGGCCCTTGCTATTTGCATACAGTAAGCGTGATGTACAATCAAAACATTTTGTTCGCACCTTTTAACACAACCATGAACGCCCAGATATTGTATCTACTATTACTCTTCGTCTTCCTCCTCCTCCTCGTCATCGTCGACGTCCATACTCTCGCCAGCAGTGACAGAAAAGGCCGGCTCCTGATCGACGCCAGAATAGCTGTCGCTCATCAAGAAAAGCTTGAGGTCATGCTTTCCGGGCGTTGGTACAGTGTATTCGAGTTTGACCTTTAGTTGTCGTCCAATCGTCACTCGCTTGATGGCAAGCAATGTCTTGGTGCTTTCTTCGCCAACCACCAGCCACCAGTTCTCCAGCTTCTTTGCTGGGTAGAACGGCGCATGTACGGTTGTGTCTACTTCTTCATCCTCTTCGACCTCTCGGTCAATCTGTACATTCAAATACGCCGGTTCGCCTGCCCGAATGTCGTCCTCGTCCACAGGTTCAAAGTTGAGCGTTATATCTGGATACTTGTTGTTCGTGAAGTTCGCCGCTTCAGCCAACTGCTTCTGTGACAGACCCAGACGCTTGATAAGGGTTGCGTAATTGGGATTCTCCTCGGGGTTCATGGACTCCATAAAGTCATAGATGTCATTGATTCTATGGGACAGGTCAGTATTTGCATAAGTGAATGAATTCGTGGCAACATACTCGAACTCATTCGCCACCTTGACGACGTCTGGAGTGAAATGAGGAATCTGCTTCAAGGGACTATCCCGGTCCCACATGGCCTGGACAACCATTTGCGACATTTCCATGGCATTCATGGCATTAAGATAGCCTTCAGAGGATAGTACGTCAACCGTCGCGCTCAAGAGACTGAGCACCTTTGAGATGATAATCTCCTGATCTTTGGCAAGATCAATCGGCAACTGCATCCGCGAGAAGTGAGCCTGCAATAGAACGAATGCCTTGAAGTGTGGTGAGTCGTAAACAGGCTCCGCCATCTTGACAGGCACCCGATCATAGATGCGCCGGAGCAGAGTTTCTTCGTGGCGACGGATCTGGATAGATTCAAATTCAGTGGCCGAAGTGATAATCTCCAAGATGCCCTTCAGCTTAGTCTTTTGACTGAGCGACAACAGGAATGTCTGCATGGTGATGTACGAAATGTTATAGTATGCAGCAATCATTGCTGCATTCTGCGGCGCAACAGAGCCATCATCCTCATCAAAGTCGATGATCTTTGATTCAGTCAGTTCCTTGAGAGTAGACTCTACCAGATCAGAGAGGTAGGCATTCAGCGCGTCAGGATCCTTGCTCGGCAAGCTGTAGTAGCTTGGGTTGGCCAACAGGCGACGGTAAAAGTATGTAAAGGTTGTCCAATTGATTGCATCCTCTCCAGACTCAATCATCTTGGTGCTGACTTCGGTGACAAAGGCGTCGTGGACGTAATTTTGAAGATGGGACTCCACAGGCAAAGCCTCGTTCAGGAACTTCTTGAAGTACTCGCGGCGAGTGCCCGGCACCATGAGCACACCGCGGGCCCTACCCTCCCTTGAAGGTTTCAGAGCCTTGCCAAACATCTGCAAAACTTCGCTAAGTGGGTAATCAATGTAGCGATGTTCACGACCTTCAAAGTATTGCGTGCCCATGACGACCACGAGGTGCGCTGTACAGTCCAGTTCCCAGCAAACATCGCGGGAAGCGACAAGGATTTGAATGGCGCCCTGGTTGTACAGATGCTTCACGATTCTCTTGTCACTCAAGCTGAGAGCTTCATGGTAGTAGCCAACACCATGCGACAGTGCCTCTGCAAGAGCCTCTTCATGGATGCGTTCAAGCAAAGGTCGGAGCTGTTCGACGTCAACGTGCAGGAAGCGGTCTTCATCGTCATCTGCTAGGCATGTGGCAAGGATGTCTCGGGCAGTGGATCGAGTTTGTTTTCGACTGGGAACAAAGACCATGGCTGGTTGACCAGCAGACATCTCAGTGATAGCCAGGTATGTCGGTTTTGCCATGGCGAGCATGAGAGAAGGGAAGTGGGGAATCGAAAAGGACTGGATTCGAAGCTCCAGCGGTACTGGTCGAGCATGGGGACTGAAGTTGTAGGTGTCTTTCTTCTTGGCATCAATCCACTCTGCAAGATCTCTTGCATCGGCCAACGAAACACTGAGACCAATGATTCGCATGTCAAGTTCGGCTTGGGTTCTGATGTAATGCATACGCGAGACAATGATCTCATAGATGTATCCAGCTTGACCACCGAGTAGGTGAAGCTCATCAGCAATGAAAAGCTCGACCGTCAGGATATTCTTTCGTCGCTGCCACTGCCTCGACAGCACATCCCACTGCGATGGCGTGGCTAAGATCAGATCTCCCTTTTCGAGGAGCTTGAGATCAGTCGCTGTCTCGCCAGTCAACTTTACTATATCCTTGCCACCACGGAGATGGCCCAGTCGTTTTTGCCAATCTTGGAGGCGGACGTCGATCTGCTCTTGAAAGGGAGCAATGTAGACGGCACGTCCATATTCTGGTTGAGCCCAGTGCCTTAGGATGGCGAATTCAGCGCAAACAGTCTTTCCGCTTCCAGTAGGAGCACCGATAAACACATTGTCATTCGTCGTGTAGAGCGAGTTGAATGTTTGCGTTTGGATCTTGTTGAAGTACTCCCAATCTTCATAGACATGAGCATAGTCCTTTGCCTTCAGAGCTGCTACGGGTAGAGGTTGAAGAGAAAGAAGTTCAGTGTGTGGAGGGAACTTTTGTGGCAGGATGAGCTTTTGAAAGGAAATTGGCAGCCTGGTTTCTGAGTGCATCCAGCGATCTGATATCACGGAGATGAAGTAGTTTGGCGGCATGGGGTCGGTAATTGGGACGGTGAAATCGACCAGATGCTCGTTGGACTCGGAGAGCGCATAGTCCTTGCGCAGTAGGAATGTATCATAAAACAAGACTTCCTCGCCATCGCAATCTTCAACCATGATCCAGAAACTTTCTGCAGTGCCGTGCAGCGCATCGTCCCATTCAAAGTTGGGAGTAATGCTCAGCTCGACTCTCAGCAAAGACCTGGTCATTGGCTGTGCTTGTGCTTGGATCTCGACACGCGGGAACTTGGAAACAAGTTCACACACCTTTTTGCCATCACGCGGCAATCCAAGTAACTGACCCATTCGAGGCGGGTCGAGGTCAAAGAAACTGCTCCATGGCACATCAATTCTCTCGGCCTTTGCGACAATGTGTCGCTCGTTGGGCTTCAGAGGAAATTGGCGCAAAGGAGTCATTGTAGGCCACATGCGCTTCTCCGCCATTTTACACAAGTCGAGAGCAGTCTTGCATACACTTGCCCAGCCCTTCTGCATGGTGATCTCAAAGATGGCGCGCAGAATACGACCAGCAGATTGCGTAACATAGACCATATCGGCCATAAGCGCCAGGCCCTCGAGTTTGAGGCGGGAAATATATGCCTGAAGGAGTACATTGATCTTGGCCATGGGTTCCTCGATGCTTTCCTTGACAGGAATTGGCACCCTTTGAAGCAGTTTCGCAAGCTCGACTTTCTCGTCGTTTCTGACCGGAATGTACTTGAACTCTGCACTCTGAGAGAACACTCTAAACAGCTCAATTGTCGTAATGGATGGCTGAATGAGCTTGTTGTAGGTATCCATGGACCCGTGGCTGATGTAGTAGTGGGATGCGATGCGTCCGAGTTCTGTGGCCTTCATCTTGCCCGTCTTCTCATCATAAGTGATCAAGTTAGTCTTTTTCAAGACTGCGGCAGCTGAGTGGATGAGATCCACTCGCTTCTGCTCCAGAGCTTCGTCGTCTTCATAGTCGGTGCCAACGCTGTATAGACCGGGAGACCGAAGCATTCGGACAAACAGGTAAGTATATCCAAGCCACTCCACACCCTCGTCTCGTGTCCGCACGTTGCCCAGAACGATTTCGGCATTCAGGTTGTCTATGAGCTTGCTTGCAAATTGACTCTCGATGGGTAGTTGCTGATTGAGAAGAGACAGATAATACTGCATCTCACTTTGTGCCGTGATGATGATACCCTCACCATACGTGTCGTACTGAGGTCTACCGGCACGTCCAAGCATCTGCAACACATCTTGGGGGCTCAATTCTACCCAGCTGCCCTTTTCGGGGGAGTAAACCGAAGTACCCTTGATAATCACAGTGTGGGCAGGCAAGTTGACACCCCAAGCTAGAGTGGCAGTACAAACCAGTACCTGGATCAAACCCTTCTCAAACAGATCTTCAACATCTTGTCGGTCGAGGCGGCTCATTCCAGCATGATGGATACCAAAGCCATAAGGGATGAGGTCCTTTAGGTCCTGATCAGTGGCAGTCTCTGCGGCCTCTTTCAAGACTTCCGTAGAACCAGAGTCGTGCCTGATAATCTGATTGATTGTTTCCATCTCTAGAGCCTTGTCCCGAACGTACTTGGCAGTTTTCGCCGTCTCTTTTCGGGAGTGCACGAAGATCAACATTTGGTTATTGTGTTGTCCAACATGCTCAATGACCTTGTTGTAAGTAATGTCATTCATGGTCTTGAGTTGCTTGATCGCCTTCCTGTCTGTAACACCAATGAACTCCTGCTTCAGTGGGCAAGGACGATAAGAACCATCAAAATGGAATAGATCCTTATTGACATCCACACGGAGGAAGCTCGCCACGTCTCGGTAGTTTGGTAGTGTGGCTGACAAACCGACTATCCGAACGGGATCTCCGGTTTGCTCAGTCTTCCTGATCGTCCTGCCAACGATGCTCTCAAGCACGGGACCACGATCATCGTGCAGCAAGTGAATTTCGTCAATAACAATCAAACGCACCAGGTTCGTGTACGTGAGATCAGTGGCCTTTCTTGTAATGACATCCCATTTCTCGGGCGTAGTAACGATGATTTGCGTTTCCGAGATTTGTTGCTTGGTGAGCTGGCGATCACCCGTCAGCTCAGACACGGTAATGCCATAATCAGCCAGACGTTTGCCGAAATTGCCAACCTGCTCGGATACAAGGGCTTTGAGTGGGGCAATGTACACAATCTTGAAAGAATCCAGGTCGATCTCGCCAGTGTTGGGGTCTCGGTGCTTGCCAATCTCTCGCAAAATGGTCAACATGGCAACGTTTGTCTTTCCAGAACCAGTTGGAGCGCAAATAAGCATGTTGCCATCATCCTGGAAGGCAGATGGATAACACTTTGACTGAATCTTGTTCAGAGACTTTGCGCCCGACGAGCTGAACGGCAGCCTTGCCCACTCTGGCATGTCTGTGATCGGAATGTTCAGATCTGAAGGGTCATTACGCTTCTTCGGAGCTGGTACGTGGATCTCTTCGTAGCCTTTGAAGGTACGTTTCGTCGAACCCTCGGGAAGTCTAACTTTCGGATTGGTCATGAGATGGTTACCTTGATCAAAGATCAAATTCTCCAGGTTAATGAGCTTCCGAGGCTGTAAACCTCCCACAAGCTGACCATCACCACGCTCAACTTTGGGCGCCGCCTCGTTTGTGAATGATGCAGGAACATCAATGTCCATCTTGATTTCCATCTTCTTTTGGCCTGCATTCGACTTTTTGCCTCGCAGCTCATCCAGTATCCACCGTACGCCTTCAGAGGCCATTTCGCGCTCAATAACACCGCGATCTTCGTCATTCTCAGCTTGGGCTAGTCGCGTAAGCCAAACGATCTTTTCTTGGTTCTGAATCAGCTTTTGCACAACCTCGTGGTGTTCGTAATCAAAAAGCTCCATCAGGTCGTTCTCAATTTCGCGAAGTTGTCTCTCCTCGCCGCCTTCCTCATCTGGCTCGCCCGAGAGAATGTGAAGTGCCAATCTAGTCTTGTCGTGTTGTATGTGTTCATCCGGGTAGACTTTGCCGATCTCTCGTTGCAGCCAATATCTATCGATGTCGCGTGCCGGTATCCAGTTCCGTTCCTTGGTTTGCCCGGTCTCCTGTGCGCCATTACCCCCATCGATCACCATCTCATTTTCGTCTGCGAGGCCTGCTGCGTTCTCGTCGCGATCCGGGCCAGCTTCGCCGTCAGCTCCCTCGACCCCTGGCATTTCCTCTTGGTCGTTTTCGTCGTCATCGGACGAGTCTTCACGGACTTCATTGACCATTTGATCCTCTTCATCCTCGTCGTCGAAAACAACAGCGACACCTTGACGGTCGTCGAGTTCTGCGTCGTCATCGCCAAGACCGCCGGCATCTTCCATCTCCTCGTCGTCCTGCGCATCGTAGTCGGTGATCTTCTTGCCCAGGTTGACTAGCTCGTTGAAGTCCTTGGGGTTCAGAGACGTTCCCAGAATATCATCAATTTCCTTCTTCTTGTCGATATCCTTGACATCATCGTCCTTTAAATACTCCAGGACGACGTCGGCAGCACTTACGACGACCTCGTTCGGGACGTCGCCCAAATGCCGCGCGGCAATGGTCAATATGAATTCATACGTCTGCCTGGTCGCAGGCGTCCGTGGTCGGTATCTAAGGTCCTCGACGAGTAGGTCAGCTGCACCCAGAATGCCGGTACCTCTGGTTTGCGCCGGACCAGCTTTCCTCCGCTGCTCTCGCGCCAGGATGTCTGCTCCTTCCTGCACATTTCCTCTCTCTATCGACGGGCCCGTAGCTTTCTTTGGTTTGGGCGCCGTGTCGCGCGCAACACGACCGCCCATGTCCTGGATACTGAGGCGACCTGCGAGCGACTCGGGGTCGCCCGTGGCCTCGTCGGTTCTCCTAGTAATGAAACGACGGTCCGCCTGGAGAACCAGGTTGGACATCGCCGAGTACTTGTACTGGGAGACATCGCGCGCGTGGTTGTCACCCATCTTGGCGGTGGTTTCTGTCGTGATGTAGCGGCGCGTCGCTGTGGCCCTTGGTGGGGCTTGTTCAAGGTACAGAGGTGCCGACCGTGTTGTTCCAGATGGCGAAGCGCCCTCTTCGTTTTGGGAATTAAGTCAAACGCATCTGAGGGCTGTGACGGTTATTGGAACGCCCTATGTACGAGAGATTCGATAGGAAATAAATATGGCGCCGCAAGTCGGATAATACTAGCCTTATATGCTATCCGCCGAATCTTGAGCTGGTTGTTGCCTTGACTTGAAAGCTGTAGTTTAGGTAGATAGAAATTTTGGTAGCAGCAAGCATCAAACTAGGTACCAGTGTGGCGCAGAAAGCTCTCCCCAAACTAGGTGCGCCACAGCCAAGATCGCGCTTGAGTGTCTAAAAATTGCCCGATTGGTCGTAGCTTGATTTACCATTATCCCAGGAGATGAAGGCACTCGCTGGACGCGTTTGTACAGTTTACCTTTCACAATATACAAAATCATTGCCCTCTTTCCGATGATTATTGCAAATTCATAAAAAGCCCTGGGTCATACGCATACTGTGTCTATATTTTTACAATAAGCGAGACAATTCCTACGTCAAGCCGCAGACAGTCTCCGGGCTCCAAGTAGCATTCAAGGCTCATGAATTTGGTCCGTTTATACCATGGAGGGCTTATCTCGAGATGAGATATTGGCACGATGGGATGAGATCATCAAATCTGGCGGACATTGTTCTCCAGAAGAGCACAATTTGATTCAAAGGATGATTTCTGCCAACCTTGCGCAAAGCTTTGGAGGTCGGGAAATCCGTCGCCCCCTATCTCTAGTCGACCCTGATCTGTCAATCTCGGATCAAAAAGAGCTTACAGCCATTCAGCGGGACTATGTTGCCAGTGTTGAACGGTACGCATCTCACAATATGGTCTTCTTCAATACCTTGGAGCAGCAAAAGGAGCTTGCAGGAAGCATTTCGGAACGCAGAGAAGCCGAAGAAGAAGAAGAAATGGCCTTGGACAAGGAGATCCTAGAGATGCATCTGGAGGTGACACGACTGGAAAAGGAACAAAATCGTCGTGAGACTGTCATGCGATCCCTTGGAGAGCTCGAAACCATGCCTGCCGGCCAGCCTGATTTCCTCAATCCCGAGATCATGTACCGGGATTGTCGCCCACTTCCCGAAATGCCAAAGCAGATGATTGACGGTTTCGCCATCGATCACTCCGCCACGGAATCCAGGGCTGAAGAACTTTTACAGGACCTCAAGAAGCACGTTTTGCGGAGCAAACTTGTGGCGCAACGAGAACAGCTTCTTGATGAGCAAAGTGAGGCGCGGAAGCCGTTCAACGTCAAGGGCTTGTCACCCGAAGCCAAGTTGTATGCGCTCAACGCCGTGAAGAACGCCTTGATACAGTGGATTGAGACGCAGCTGGCGAAAGCGGGCGACGATGGAGCGGACTCGGACCTTGATCAAGAGCCCGTCACCACCAAGACGGAATACGATCACGAGGCCGTCATGGCAGGCTTACAGCAGAAATATCAACGGCACATTGAGCTCAGACAGAATATCCTCGATCAGCTGGCTCAGATGGACCACATCAAAGAGCAGCTCAAAACCACTGCTACCGATGCCAACTCGCACCATGCTCAACAGAAGCCAGTGGTATCGAAAGAACCTAGCCAGTCAGCTCATACACCCGATGCATATCTCTTCACGCCCTACATTGAGCAGTTCCAAACTCTAGCTCGCCAGCAAAAGGCAATGATGCAGCAAAAGTCGCATGTCAATACGACCTTGGCCAAGCAAAAAGAAGACACCATCCAAGCACTGGAACATCTGGCTGGAAAAAGCCGGCTTCTACCCCGATACCCGATACCCAAAGAGCCAAACGAGGCTCAGCCCAACTTTGAGGACGCCACAAGTTTGATTGGTAAAATGAAAATCACCGAGCAAGTTCAACCCTGGCTCTATGCCGCGGATGAAGCCAAACTCGCGACTCTAGTTGAAGTGGCCGAAAATGTCGAGGTGGGCATGGAGTCAGTGAACGAGGCAAGAGGTTATATGGCGCACATCTGCAAGCTACTGGATATTGCGATTCCAGGACAAGGACAAGAAACAGCGCTGCCAGGCAATGCAGACGCCGAAGCGACTTCCAAGAATCCTGTCAAGGCACCAACCAAGGGAGAAAAAGCCCCCGTCAAGACGATATGGGATATGCTAGATGGTAACTTGGGATCCATTAATGAGTAATCATTAGTCGCAGCGGGCAATGCAATAGACTCTGTAGATTCTGTAGATTCTGTGGCTTTTATTTCAAAAGTCTGACATCCACATGGCAGACTCGGCTTACTACCATGTCGTCTTGGATATTACAACTCCACAATGCTGGGTATATGCCGCTACCAGCCCGTTTTGAACGCCTGACATGTCCGCTGTCATGTGTATCTGCTCTTTGACCCCGACATGATTTCGTCGTTTCTAGCCTTTGCCTGCCAAGATGTTCGATATCCTGAGCGACAGGTCCAACATTGTTAGATGCTCATCAGCACCATCCACCAACCTCTTGTCAATCTCTGAGAATATCAAGGTGATCTTGTTTTTCTGAATGTCAGGGATTGTTTCATCTTGAATAACAGCTTGATATAGCTGGATATATAATTAGCAGTTTACTCTCTGAAGAACAAAAAGCTCGAGAACTTACCTGAGAAACGACCTGACTTGCGCTCCATCCATCAGCAACCATCTCCTCGACTTCTTTTGCGACAGCCGGGTAGGTAGCGGACGCTGCGCGAGGTTGCATTGCTTTTTGCAGCTTTTCAATCGTATTTGCAGGAATGACGCCGGCAATCTCTTCAATCACCCGGACTGACACGGGCTTCTTTTCCTCGTCCACATCCATCTTGTCTCCGCGGTCTCCCTCGTCGTCCTTCTCAATGGCACCCACTAACCTTGCCGCACTCTGCAAGAATGTGATGGCCTTGCGCAGATCGCCCTCGGAGCACTTGATCAGCGCGTCCACGGCACCGTCTTCTAGTGCGACGCCTTCCTTTTCTGCAATCTCTTCCAGCCTCTTCTTGGCGTTTCCCTGATCCAAGCTCTTGAAGCGAAACTTGCTGCATCTGCTAGCCAGAGGATCAATGATCCTCGTGACGTAATTACAAATGAGGCAGAATCGCGTAATTTTGCTGTATGTCTCCATTGTCCGTCTGAGTGCCGATTGGGCGTCCTGTGTCATACTGTCGGCCTCGTCGAGAATGATGATCTTGAAGGGCGGCACAGGGTACCGGTCCTTGTAGCCAGGCGGGGGGTTAACGAGCTGCATACGGGCAAAGTCCTTGACCTTTTCGCGGACAATGGAGATACCACGCTCGTCGGAGGCATTGAGTTCTAGGACACGAGACTTCATCATTTCAGGCCCGTAGAGCTCCTTGGCCAATGCCAGAATCGTCGAGGTCTTGCCCGTACCGGGAGGTCCGTAGAAGAGCATGTGCGGCAGGTTGGAGGCTTGAAGGGTGCGTTGTAGTACGTTTACGGTGTGATCCTGGGCAGTAACATCGGACAGGGTCTTTGGTCTGTACTTTTCTACCCAAGGTTGCTTGCGTGCGGTTTTCTTGTTGTCTTCGGGTTTGGGCACGGAGCCGCCATTGGCAGCGGCAGCGGCCTTGCGGGCTTTGAGGTCGAAAAAGCTCGCCATGGCGAGAAGAATTTGAAGTAATTAATCACACAAGACTCCAATTACCCTTCTATCGCATTTGTATTCGCCAACAAGAGTTGCAATGTTGGCGGGTGTTACTTTGGTGCTAGGCAAGTCTGTGAATACGGTACACCGTGAGAATCTTTGACCAAACGCGTTTGGCATTGGAGAGACGCGACTCAATTAAAGAGTGGGGTCCTTCTATCTGCTCTAACCTAGCTGCTTACCTTACCCCTGCTACCTAACCCGCAGCTCCAAGCTCTCGCTCCAGGCTTCAGCTCCAAGCTCCGAGTCTACCACCAGATCCTGTCCTGATGCCTTCTTTATGTTGGTGAAAATTGCAGTGAAGCTTGAGGACCTATTGAGGCCGTGCAAAGCCTCTGAACAAAGCCCAGACGTTCTCTCATTCGACTGACTGCTGTAAGATTGCCCCTACCAATCGAGTGTTGGAAAGACCCTCATTGCCTTTGATTGATCCGTTCGCTGGGCACTTTTGTGCACTGCACTGATTCTAGGCTACCTGTATCATCTAGACGCGGCAAGCTTCGGCCGAAAAGCAACATGACTGCATCACTGATTGACTGTATCACTTCCGCCCGCTTCCCACGATGAGAGCTCAAGACAGATCAAAGACGTTACGCATGAACCACTTCTTGAATGTTTATTGTGACGAGTGGCCAACTACGACCATTGTAACAACACTGTACTTGTCAAACATGACATCTTAAGCGAAGAGTATCTTCCCGCATTGCGCTACCACCAGAGATCGACGATCTGGGGGTCCATTCCGCAACTGCTGGTTGGACAATGCCCGATGCTCTACTGAGTAGTTTCCCATCAGCCAGGTTTTTTTTTTTTTTTCAGTCAAACATTGAAACTTATTTTTTTCCCTTTTGCCCATCCTTGTGAATGTCTCTTGCAGATGACCCAGAAGGAGCAAACTCTCCTTGCACCCTAGCTCATTCCCCCCTCCAAGGCGCTAAAACTGAATTTGTCCTGTCTTTTGTGTCTTTGTTATTGTCTTTCAGCTGCAAGACTTGGCTCCGTCAATGCTTGAAATGCTAGTTTTGGTGCGGCAAAGCGTAGCGGGGCACAAGCTAAGATATATGTATAGATGACGTATATGACACCACCTCTCCGACCGGTGCACCATGGAATTCGCTAACCCCCAAAAGCGATGATGATGCTGTCGTGGGAGATGCGCGTGATTGCGGATTAGTTCTTGCCTGTTGAAAGGTCCCCGAGAAAGCCTAGCTAGGATTCGGTGTCTATGTTTTGTGGCTGGGTGCTTTCTTACAACCGTTTCTCTTCCTTCCCACTTCTCAACCCAAATATTCTCATCCTAATAGTATGGTAGCTATCGCCAACCTCTATCACTTGTAAGCCAATTCAAGGTGCTGGAAACCTTGTACCGTGGAGTGCTCTACTGCTGAGGCTTCAATCATATTTATATTATTCGCATATATACACATTAAAGGTAGCAAGCACCTTTGTGCGCCACTAAATCACAATGTCCTCCAATCTATGGGGAACCAAGAAGGATCAAGATGACGAGGACCACCGCAACGGCGCCGGAGGAGCAGCTCGAGACTCTGAGGACATGGACAGGGCCCCAGATGAACACACTCGCCTGCTGCCGAACCGCCTCGAATCGACGCATTATCTCAGCCCCGACGACCCGGCTGTCTCGCCGTACAATTTGTGGTCTGTCCGCTTCTTGCGGTATCTGACCATTTTCCTGACCTTGGCCACCTTTGTCTGGTGGGTTATCCAGCTCGTCTCGCAGTTTGTCACGCTGCCTGGCTTCCACACGAGGGGCTCCGGCTTCTTCTCCTTCAGCTATGCCAGCATCACTTTGGCCAATCTGCTGTTCACCCTGATTTTCTTTGCCATCCCGGCAAAGGCGGTGCGCATCATGAGTATTCTCATGGGCGCGTTTTTGCTTATCGACGTCATTTTGGTCACGGCAGTTGACAAGACAAGACATGAGGAAGGTTGGGTGGGAATGGTCAGTATACTATGTGAGTATTTCAGATTCCTAGTAGAGACAATTTGGCTTCTCAGTGTCTGACCTTTTCTGCAGGGGCATTTGTCATTGCCATATGGGTCCTCGCTACGGACCGCCTTGTTCTCTGGGGAAAGAATGAAGAGGAGGAACGGCTTACTGGACGGGCTGAAACCCGACGGAGCCTGGGCGAATGGACCGCGGTCCTCATCTCGACCATTGCCATGGCCATTTTCAATGTTGTCCTCTTCCTCATGACTTGTACACTCATCCTGCGCGCACTCGACGCCGGCTTGGCTCCTCCAGGCAAGTTGTATGCCGTCGATGACGACAAGTACCATTTGCATGTGTTCTGCAAAGGAAACAGCACCGACGCCAAGGGCACAAAGCTGCCGACAGTCCTCTTCGAGGCCGATGGACCGGTCGAGCACGGTCTCTGGCAATTCGCCGATGCCGCTATCAACAATGGCTCCATTAGTCGATACTGTTTCGTTGACCGTCCGGGCTTTGCCTGGAGCGACACGGCGCCCTCCCCTTCCTCCGCCGGCATGGTCGTCGAGGCTGTCAGTGAGGCTCTGGCTCGTGCGGGCGAGGACGGTCCCTGGGTCCTCGTTGGTTCTGGCGCTGGCTCCATCTATTCGCGCATCTTTTCTGCGCGCCACGGCGACACCGTCAAGGGTCTGGTCTTGCTCGACCCTTTGCACGAGGACCTGCTTGGGTTGATTGGTGCACCGGATCGAGGATTCCTCCTTTGGCTCCGCGGCATCTTGTCGCCGCTGGGCCTCGACCGGGTCCCTGGCGCTCTGTTCAAGGGCCGCAACAAGGAAGACCGCGTTTGGGGCCAGTCGGCCTACCAGACCGGCAAATACATATTTGCCAAGCTACAGGAGAATCTGGTGGCGGAATCGCTGACCAAGCGCGACGTTGCCAGCAGCCGTGCCATCCAGTATCGTGACACGCCCCTGACTGTCATTAGTTCCGGGCAGCAGGTCCGTGAAGACGACGAATGGGAGAAGAAGCAGCGGGACCTCACGCGCCTGACTGGCAAACTGCGCCACTGGGACATTGTGAATAAGGCGCCGCATGAGGTCTGGCAGACATTCGAGGGTCGCGAGACTGTCGAAAAAAGGATGAAGCAAATGGTTTACGCTTAATTACCATGACGACGAGTTACGAATAGTACATGATAATCTTGGGTTACAACGCAGAACCCCTCTCTTTCCCTTTATCCTCCTTTTCTGTTTTTTTTTCCCATTACTTTACCTTTTTTCCTATCGAGCATACACTCGGATTGGTTATCTATAGATTGTTCACGAATTGGATAACGGGTGTTGTGGTTAGGTGGCATAATATCGTCTTGTAAGCGTACTCAGATTGAATATAATACCCCTTATTTTTACTTCAATTTGGAATTGATGGTCATGATGCTTAAATGTAATGAGGCTTAATATGTTATATTCTACCTCTTTCATCACAGAACACCAACGACGGGCTGTTCTGCATGTGGACACAAAATGAAGAAGTGCCTCTCACAACAATTCCATGATCAACCCTACTCGGACGCCTGGTATATCACCCTCAAAAACACGACAGACCGTACTTCCATCATACATTCAGCTTAACCCAGTCGGGACCATGGATGATACCAGGACTCCTGCAACCCTCATACACGCGTGAAAACAATGAGACAATAAGTGAACGCTCCCAGATGCTCAGACAGCAGCTACCAGAAAAAGACATGAGCCCTCGCAAGTAATTTCAAACCTCCGTAACGCGCTGGATTCCGTAAAACTGAAGTGGATTGCCAAATTAAGATTCTTCCCTAGGCTCTTTGAATGGTAGGCTGCTGAGTGATGAATGCCGGCTAGCGCTTGATCGGGAACCGCCAGACGAGCTCGCTATCGTTTGGAAAGACTGTCTAAGTCTCTTCTTGCGTTCTGTCTCCTTTCTTAGGACGTCTTCAGGGTCAAGGCCACGGCCGGATGGTTTGATTGCCTCTGGAGGCAAAGTCGCTGTAGGAATGTGGAGTTTTGCGGTAGCTCTCGGATCGTCGGGGCTAGTACCAGCACGTTTGAATGCCTCTTTCTTGTAGTTCTTCAGAGCCTGTGTAGATGGCTCAGAAGTTGATAGCCATTCTCTGATATGCGACATCCACCCTCCCCTGCTTTCCTTACCCTTGCGGGCTTTCGCTCCATCTTGCCTACCAACTCGCAACTCTTCGCTCGAAGTGATGGAGCGGCGCCGTATTTGCTCCATGACAAGACCTCGGCTGCCTTGTCGAAGGGCTTTAATCGGTGAGATGACCACAACGGTGTGGTCCTTTAACCCAAGCTGGTTATCTTCAAGACGAGAATCCTTCCTGTGGGCTTTCACAACAGGTGCTCCTGAACTTGAGACAGGCCTCCTAGACCTCTCGTCATCGAAGTCAAACAATTGAGAAAGCTCGAGCGACCTGGCAGCTCTTTGATGACCCAGCAGGCCACTTCGACAACGAATTGCAATGTTGGACGAGTGGCTATGAGTTCGCTCCTCGCCTGATGTATTATCGACAAGTTTGGTTCGCTCGCTTTGAGTAGTCTTCAACGTATGAGATTGGAGCGACTGGTTCTGCGCCCTCACGTTTCCCTGAGACGTATGCTTCTTGTTTCCAACTTCGATATTTTCTCTCAAGGTGGTGCTTTTTGTAAAACTGTTCGATGGCCGCAAATCGATAGGGCGGCGATCCTGCTGAGAGACGGATGGAATGGGGTGAGAGCGTTCAACACCAACTTTCTGAGTAGTTGTATTTGTAGATGGTAAGTAGGAGTTTTTGTGCTCTAGTTCGACAGTACCGGCTCTCAAAATGTTATCTGGAGAAAAGCTGCAAATAACACCACGCTGATTCCAGGTGGTCGGACCAACGAGACAGGACGTAGGTTTTGACGCAGGTCTAGTATCTAATGTGATACTCGTAGGATATGAAAAATTCCTCAAGACTGGATTTGCGGGTGTCTGGGGGGAAGTTGGTGTTTGTGAAGGTAAGGGTAGGTTCTCTGCGGAGATCTCCAGGATATCTGAAGTAGAAGCCTCTAGCTTCGTGGGTCGGGCGAAGCCACGCATAGTTTGACAGAAAGCTCCGACTGGCTCGGTGCGGGAGACGATCAAAACGCGATGACAGATTAGAAAACTACGACGACTTTGCCCTAGTCCGCAAGTGCTTCGTCGTGCCGAAGTGTGTGCTGGGAATCCAGCCAGCTGGGTTCAAGCTTGAGCTGAGCTTGCTAGAGAGTGGGGATATAGCGTATAGTCGAAGTGGGCTTGGGCGGTGTTCGCACTTCACGAAAGACCCTCCAGTGGCGCGAGATCTAGCGAGCAAAGTTTATGAAAGTAGTGTCTGCTAAAAGAGTCCCGCTCGTCCCGGTCAAACGGTGTGAATGGGCGGACGGTAAGGGATCGACAAGCCTGGTAATTAAATCTCGGGAGAACCGCCGCTGTCAAGATGGGACTTTCGGATTTGTTCTAGACTTTGTGGCCAGGCATGGAATGCAGAATACGGCTGGCTATAAAGAATGATCAGCGTTGTCATGAGCGTGAGACATCTTTCACGTGGTTGGTATAGAGTGAATACCTGACTGCCTAGGAATTTAATCGTCGACGAAACAGACCTAAGCTGTTTGTTGTACAGGCTCAGTAGTGCTGCGAACCACTTGATTACTTACAAGACCATTTCTCCAGCTCCGACAAAATGCTCTGGCGTTGATAATGCCTTTGGCGACTTGATTGGTGGCATGCACAATTGAGTTACTGGTTGATTCTTGGCTATGGCGCGGTGGCACACACGAGACACACATGCAGAAACCATGTGGAAGGAGACTGACTGGAGAGAGCGGAAAAAATGCGACTATCTACATGCAGAGCAACCCGAAACGCCTCCAGTGGAAAGGGTAGACGTCACGTAGTGCAAGCGCAATAAAGAAAAGAAGGCGCGATGCAAAGGCGCCACATCTCAATGTTCTTCTTCTTCTTCTTCTTCTTCTTCTTTTCGATTGCCAGGTCCCACTTTCCTTTCCATCCAAATCATCCTTCTGTGATTGACGCACTATTTCATGGTAAGATGCTAGATATCCGACCGGGCCATTGGAATTACCTCCCTCACCGGCACCTTGTATTATTTAATGTACATGGTAGACTAAAGCAGGATTGAGAATCAATGGAAGTCTTGACTAGTCACATGTGCCGACATCCAAGAAACCCCAGATCTAGCCATTATCTGGCTTGCCTGGATACTTAGCTCAGATCATGTCGATATTCTTAGACCTCTGTATTCCTGTACAACCAAGGGTTCCCTGTAGAGCAAAAAATGTGCAATTCCGGGCGGCTGGTCTACTAAGAGTAACACATTTCCTCGAGCCCGCTAAGGATAGAGAGCCTAGATGAACGAATCTTGGTACTAACATCTCTCAACTGCTCCAGCTGCCCTACCTAGCGTGTTAGTGGGCTGACCGAGCTGGCTTTTCAGCTAATAGTCTTCCAAATAGCGTCCTTCTAGCTGGCGTGGAGCGAAAAGCAAGTTGCATTGCGGGTTCAGAGCTAAAAGGTAACACCGGCCGACTTGTGCGTTCTCGTCCAGGTGACAATGGCTCAAATGAGTTGTCCCATCTCTGGTGCAATCTCCATTGGGCTGAGGCTGATATTGACAGGCAGAGTTTGGTTCTGTATCTGGGATAGTTAATGTCGGGATATTTGGCAACAAGTGTCCCGAGACATTGGCGAGAGGTAACCCAAGTCCAAGTCTCTTCTCAGTCTTGTAGTTTGGACTGGAACTCCCTCTTCCATGTCTTTTCTCGAAGCTTGCAGCAGGTGAGTAATCAGGAATGCAGATATTGGGCATACCTCACTCCAGCCATCGCCTATCCTACACGGCTCGCAATTCAGGACTCAGTTTAATCAAACAGGTTCAGCAAAGCTATTGCAAGTATCGAGTATTTCTGAAAATGCCAGTCTTGGATACGGCACAGACGAGTCACGCCTGGCCTGAGATCCAGGATTCATGTTGAAATACCCTCATGAATGGCATGAATGGTGCATGACTAATCGCATTGATCACATCACAATTGATGGAGAAATCTAATTTTCCCAAGTCTTTCCTAGTCCGTATATCGTTCCTCGTAAAGTCTGTAATCTTTAACAAATACCCAAGCTCGCTAAATCTTTCCAGTCCTACGCCAATGTAATACACAAGATCCCACCTGCGTGCCGATATAGTTGCTCACAAATCAAGAGAGAGACAGTGGCTTTCCTCTTACATTCACATACACATGAAGGCAGAAACCACCAGACCCGTCGCGACATACAGCATGCTATAGCTTGTTGCCCTCCCTGCTTGATTACTCGGTGTTGGCGACGGGCTGCTAGTTGTGGTCGGGGAGGAGGGCGTACCTGTGCTACTGTCGGCGTCGCAGCCATCGTCATACGCGTTTCCAGTATCCAGGTTCGTCCCGCTCTGGTTATTGTACGCCAGCCTGATTAGTGTATTGTCGTTGGCGTTGTATTGAGGCCAGCCGCCGCCGTATGATAGGAGACCCTTTTGCGGATCCTTGGCGAATGCTGCCCACGCGCCGCGCATGTACGACGATATATCGTTTTCAGCGTCCGTGTTGGTAACGACGGACTGAGGTACGGTTCCGAAGAGGATCGGTAGCTGTGCCAAGTTTCAATTCAGTAGTGGGCCGAAGTATGTATGATTAGGGGAGAAGTAAAGGGAGCGAAAAGTACACTCACCTCACAGGTATGATAAGCACCGCTCGGCGGATCATCAGTCAGTATCGTGTTGGGAAAGGCCCCAAAGTACCTATACCTCCATACGGGAGCTCCAAGCTGTACAGACGCTTGAGCTCGCGCCGCCACGGGACATACAAATATGTCCTGCTCTTGAGCGTCGTACACGTCCTCGGTCGCCTTGAATTGTGTCAGCGCCCGGGTCAGGCCGGGCTCAAAGTCGGTGTGCCCAACAAGCATTGGCAGATTTGCGGGCGTCGCGGTCGAGTAGTCCGACAAGACTAGCTTGTCGTCCACAACTGGTCCCCAGGTGGGCTCGGTTGCAATCGCTGACAAGACCTTGGTGGCTGGCAGTTCCTGCATACAACTTAGGACATCGGATGAGCTACCGCAGCCGGCGTTCGAAGACGCGCTTTGCCACTGATCTGTTGCCGTATCTTGGTCCATGAAGCTATTCGACGTGGTCACACCACTCTGGCTGATGAAGCCTGTGACAATGGGATCGTCGGTCCAGGCATACGAGTAAATGTCGACTGAAGAGCCGCCTGCACTCTGGCCGAAAATCGTGATCCTATCCGGGTCGCCCCCAAACCCTTCAATGTTGTCTCTTATCCACTCTATCGCCAGTCTTTGATCTAATAGACCAAGGTTCCCTGTTATGTCCGGGTTACCCGGAAAGCCGAAGATATTCATACGGTAGCTTGAACATCGTCAGTCATTGGTTACAGCTCTGGTCGCTCACAGTGATGCATACTTGAAGCTCACGAGTACGATATCTTGCTCGTCGGCAAAGTACTGTCCATTATACCATGATATGCCCGATGCGCCAGTCTTGTAACCACCGCCATGTATCCATACCTGCTGAGCATAAGCAAAGTTGTTCTCTTCTTTGATTCAAGTAATTGACTTGCCAGCACGGCCTTCTTGTCATCTCCAGTCTGCGGCTTGGTCCAGATATTCAACGTCAAGCAATCCTCGTCTTGGCTAGGTATGGTAGATCCATAGTCCATGAGCAAGGCAATACCTGCATCGGTAAGGCCAAGACCAGACAAGGCACCCTGACGCTTTCCCGTACCCGACAGTGACAGGAAAGGTTGCATACAAGCGTGACCAAAGTCGGTAGCAGCAATAAGGCCGGTGCCATTGAATCTAACGCTCGGCTGGAATCGCAGGTCATCTATAGGCGGTTGCGCGTAAGGAATTCCCAGATACTCCGAGACCTCGTCGGCATCTGCTGCAGCATGGCCCTTGATTGATCCGCTCGAGGTTTGGACAATCTGGCCAACCCTCCAGTCCGTCACGGCTGCATCGGTGATTCTGATGAAGACTATTATATGTAGACATTGGATAAGAAATGTAGTGTAGGAAACCATCCTAGGTATCCAAAGTGGTGGTACTTGGATATGGAAAGGTTAGTGGTATATAGAGTTACTTCTCTACCGTACTAGAGAGCTCACTATACTGTTTCGCAAAGAGAGCATGGGATTGCGTGATATTCTTGGCAGAGGGCGAAACAGAACATATGACTTGTAAAGAACAGACGAAAATAGCCAGTCTGGTCGGGTAAAGTACCGACAGCCACTAGGGCACTTATAAGGCATCGGTGAGGCCTCGCGCCCAGTTGTGTGCGGGTTTCAGGAGCAGAGAGATTGATATTAACCCGCCCCCATCTCACATGCAAGCTGTGGGAGGACCGAGCGATTGGACGAGTTGCGCTGGAAAAGAAACATTTGGGGGTTACATTGGGTTGGATCGCCCTGCGCGAGACGCTGGAACAGGGATGTACAAATGAACCTTCAAAGATATGTACTGCCACAATACGATAGGCCGCTTATACTATATGGCTTATAGGTGTAATGATACCGAGGTGATATCCAAGAGATTACAACGATGAGCTTGATATGCTATAGACGTGCGTGTGTTGGACAGAGGAAAATACGTATTGCCTAGAATGGCGTTATTGGATTGCAATTCTTGTTCAAAATATGATTTGTCTAGAAACATCAAGATACATTGCGGTGGTATTGAAATACTGGAGTTGAAGAACCATTCAGCCGAGATCCCGATTCATGATCCGATGCTTCCATTGGGTTGGGATGAAAATCATGCGATAGGGCTTTGTTACTACAACAGGAAGGTGAGTAGTACACCGAGGCGGCAAGTCGCGACGAAACAGGATCAAGAGCTAGGACATCAGCAGCGAGCTCTGGGCTGCATCTAATCAATGGAAATGTAATGATGATCAAACTACGTCATTATTCAATGGTATTAGAATCTCATAAGAGTTCCTGTGGCAGTGAGCTGGCTTGTGAATAGTTTGCTGCGTTCGATATTGGTTGGTATAATTACCTACATTATGTATACGGCCGGAGACGGGTGGGTCCATAGGTCATGGCCGAGGCGACTGCTCGGGGGCGGACCTCCGCCTGTACTGTGACAGTTTGGTTACATTCACGTAGGTCTGTACATATGCAAACGGTCAAAGCTACCTTGAGACCTGGAGTGATATTATTCCCGGTACCATCATACGAATACCTGTCTACCTGATTAGCTAAGTGCTGCAACCATTGCCTTTCGGTCGCTTGTGGTGCTGAGGTGTCATTGCCAAGGCCCGAGGCTGTTCCTGTCATTTACGCCTCGTCGTTCGGCCGAGGGAGAAAAACAAAAAAGGAGGGCGATTCCTTTGATTTTTCACAAACAAATGGTTTGCATATTGTGATTGGTCTGAGAGAGTGGTAATTCCTTTTGAGAATTTACTTTCGGGTGTTGGCTGACTTTGATGTGGCGCCGACCGCTACAAACGATGGTTCAGCGAATCTTCCAATGTCGTGCTCTAAGGGCTATTGGGAACAAATATGAATAGATATTTTCTGTAGACAAATATTGAAAATTGATTGTCTTTTCTATCACATTACCTAAAATTCAACAGAAACCTACTTTGACGCATTAGACCGCCGAGTGAAGATTGTAACGTCGCGCAGGTACGTGGTAGAATAGATGGCAATTTCGAGCTATTCCTCAGATCGATAAACAAATACATAGTATGTTTACAAGTCAGGGCTTCGAAAACATCATGAAAACAATTCGCAGACGAGTTTGCAGGATAATAAAACCCCTACGATGCGTACCAGTAATTTACCTTCTGCTAGATTCTAGACCCTGGCAACTTGGTGCCGATTTAGAGTGCAGATCACTAAGGGGTCCACTGTTGTGCAGCTGTCGAACCCCGCCACCTCTAGCTCTTGACCTTGCGACCAATGAAATCACACCACTCTGGTCCTGCCGCTGACTATCTGACGCATGTTTGCCCAAAATCTCCCCATCGTGGTTGCAGCGTTGTTCCTGCCCGTAGGCGCATGGTCAACATTGTTGATTACTACAACAATTCTGATTGTAAGGTACTCGCTCGTCAGCGCTGAATAAAGATTTCAGCAGCATACTTACTTCTCTTGGCATATCATAGCGCTGTGTCCAGATTTCAAGGCGCGTGTGTGTGTGCCCGAAAGTATACACACCGAAGACGAATCGGGCTGTTGGCCCCAACGGTCTAAATAAAAATATAGAGAGGGAGGTTCCAGCTAGAAGACTTGAGCCCAAGGCAGCCGGTATGGCAGGCAACTCGGCCCCAGGCAACGTCCAAGAGACTCCGGTGCCTGTTCCAAAGCCTCAGATTCTCCAGGCCCAAAGCCAAATTCACCAACCCAACCCAACAGCACCCTCCGTTCCAACTGTTGCAGGGGCTCCTGCCTCGACAGCCGTGGACAACAAAGGACATGTTGCAGCTGGTTCTACTGCTCAGTCTGCATCCATGACACAGCCTCCCAACTTAGCAGGACAGGCACAGGTGAATCCGCAGCCTATTTCCCGTTCTGCGTCAGTTCCAGCCGTGCAGACTCCGGTTCCAGCCCCAGTCCCACCGCTCATGGCTCCGGCGCCAGCTACAGGGGTTCCGGCACCGGCATTGGCATCGGCATCGGCAGCAACACCGGCAACAACAACGCCGGCAGTGCAAGCAGCATCTTCTGCATCCCCATCATCAGGACCGTCAAAGGTGACACTATCTACATCAAGTGCTCCTTCCAACACAACTGCAATCACCTCTACCCCACCTCGTCCATCTTCCCCAGAAATTCCCGTCGTGGAGCCGTTGACTCCTCCTCTTGCCCCCGTTCAATTTCCACCTCCCAGACAGAGTCATACTTATCTAAACCATCCAGCCGAACAAACTGTCATCCAGCCACCAGCTCCCGCGCCTTTGGACTTTGACAGCAATCCAGACGTTCTGGCTCTAAAGTCGACCATGGCCATTCTGCAGATACAAGCAGCCAAGGCTAAACGTGACATGGTGGCTTTGCAAAAGGCAAAGGAGGCAGCACTTGCCGACCCAGAGGCTTTCATGAAAGATTTACAGGAGGGAAAGATCCAGATGGGCGGTAGCGGACTGTCGGCATCACTGGAACACGATGATGACTCAGATTCGGATTCTTCTGGCGATGATGACGAGGATGTAGCCATGGACTTGACAAAGGATGAGCAAGCGAGTGATGCTGTTAAGAGTGAGCCCAAAGCTCCTGGATCCGAGAAAAAGCCAAAGCCGCAACGAAAGCCGTGGAGCCAATTACCTAATAAGCAAAGCGTCGCGCGCATGCCGGCCATCAATTGGAGTCAGTACGCCGTGGTTGGAGAATCGCTGGACAGACTTCATAATGACCAAGTGGCACGGCCGGCTCAGGGCACTCCAGCAACACTTGCCGCCGATGGCACGTATGTGTTCCATGGTGAAGGACGTCAACAGGAATTCAATGGTATTGCAGCACCATTTGATCCCCTCAAGGATCAACTGGCGAAGAAGTCGAAGCCTAAGACTCCAAACCGCCAGGGATAGAAACCCGGCGATGCGTCGACAGAAAAGGCAAACAGTGACCCTTGCCGCTCGCCCATAGCCTCAAGTGTGCCGACGATGCAGCCTCGCGTATCGGTGCTTAATCCCGCTATACTTCAGACTCTAAAGACTAAGCGTCGGCAGACAAGGAGAAAGAGGAAGAGGCCTAAGAAGACAGAGGCAAGATCATCAAGTCTTCGGTACTGGATCGTGCCCCCTTCCGAGGATGTAAAGCCAGTCACACAACCAAACTTTCGCAATAGGGACTCGAACGGACGGTTTCTCAAGCATGGCGCTTGAGATGGTGCATTGGCTGCCAGGCCCATCTCCCAGGACAAACATGTGGGTTATGTCCCAAGAAGGCGGTTTCAGAAGAGCAGAAAGGCTGCCAGAAGTAGATCTGGTAATGTCCAAAGCTATTGACTTGGCGGAGGGCTAGACACTAAACTTTTTGCTCGCGTGGCAGTAAGGACTCGAGGAATGAATTGGCAATCTAGCATTTGAGCTAAATCATACACATGGGCTCACAAAGGCTGTCAAGGCTTGTCGGGTTCTAAAAGGATAATTTCCAGTGGTCATGAGGTTGTTCCTTGAGTTGGGAACGATGAAACTTTGACCAAACAGCATTCGAGATACATAACTCCCTTGCGAGCTGCTAGGATAATCCAGAAAAATGCTTCACCAACCTCTTGACTGCTCGTGATCAAAAACGTGACAATAAAAGTGATGATGAAGGTCGCCTTGTATTATTTCTGGGGTTCTGTACATAGCTGCCCCACAAACAGTTCGCTACATTTCGCTTTCAAGAGGTATCTAGCCGTAAACGAGGTCTACCGAAACACACAAGACGTCCCTAATACTATCACAGTGTGGCCTTGATTGCCTCCGCGCTTGCCTCGATACTCATAATGGCGCAAAGGATAAACGAGGAAAGAAGGCAAGAAAAAAAAAAGAAGAAGAAAAGACTATCGTTTGCAGGACTCCAATGCAACCAGCCATGCCTGCCTGTGTTTGTGCTTACTCCAAGCACTTATGCCATGCCATATCCGGTTCCTCCGAAACGCCGTGGTTTCTCGAAGAATTGTTCTGTCGCTTCTTCGAGAAATGCAATGCACACCTTGGACGCAAGCTTGAAAGGTACAAACTTAAGTCTAAAAAATAATAATAACAGACTCGGGAAAGATGGGAGCGTCCTTGACCGTAGCCATGGCGCGAGACGAGGAATGAAACAAATCGATTAGCAGTCCTCCAAGCTTTGCTGTACGGATCTGCGAAGTCGTCTGTTGTAAAGCTTGCGATCATCCGGTCCACCCCAGAATAGCTTGTGCGCTTCTGGATTTGTCAGAGTCCTCGGGTCGTAAGGAGGACACTCTTCCTCGAGGGCATCAATGATGGCTTCGATATGATTCTTAACATCTTCCCGCCGATTGGTCTTGGGGAAGTAGCATGGTGTTCCATCGCGGGCGATACGGTGATGGAAAATCTTGGTCTTGAACTCCACGCGCGGTTGCTCCTCTGGGAAACGAGGGCTGAATCGGATAACCACGTTGAATAGACCGCCATCGAGGTTCGTCATAGGTCGTCCGATATAGGTCAAACCCCAGACAAAAGGGTTACCATCCACAAGCTCAATATGGTGAGAGACGTCGTTTCGCTTGAAGGACTCCTTGATCTGTTCAAATTGTCGTCCAAGGTTCACAGCGACGGTCGAGTCCTTATGCTTTGGCAAGAGACCCTCCTTGGCCCAAGATTCAGCCTCCTCGTGGAGAGCACGCTTGATGTTCAGCAGTCTTTGCTGTAGCTCGCTGTAGTTGAACTTGCCCTCCATGTTATTGTTGAGGCCTTCGAATGGCATGCGAACAAAGGTCGTGCCGTCCTTGAACTCGGTCTTGGCTTTCTCGATTGACTCCATGTACGAATCAAAATACCATAGGAATCTCTGCTTGATGAGATCCTTGAAAGGCTCCCACGGGACGGCACTCTCGTCCACATCATCGAGATCGTCGTCAAAGTCGAGGCTGTAATCCTCCTTCTCCTTGATCGACGCAGCCCGCGTGGCTGCCTGAACACCATGGGTGATGCCCAGGAAATCCTCCATGCGCTGAATCACGGAAATGCGCAGGGCTTCGTGGCGAATCTACAGAAGAGGCCAATTCAGTGGATATTCTCAACAAAGCGCTTCCAGTCACGGCCATGGAAAGGTACTGGGCTTACCTTGGCAACATAGTCCTTTTGATATTTCTTGTCGCTGGGAGTGTTTGCATCCTCAAAGCCGGGCTCGTTCTCGTAGGGATTAGTTGACATGAGACTCTGTATGGACAAGAGAATGGATTCTAGACCCTGTGCTGGCGACCACTCCTCGCCCGGCTCGCCTCGCCATGTGCCCAAGATGGACAGACACACCTTGCCGTTGGCATATATGTTGGGGTTGAAACGGCAGCGGCCGCCATTTGTGGTGGTGGCAGTGACGGAGGGGCTCTTTCTGGGGTATTCCTTATTGAACTTGACAGCAAACTCGAAAAAGCCGAATTCATAAGGTGTCTCGTGAGGGCCGATGATCAAGGTCCGGACATTTCGCACATCGTGATCACGGAAAGCGACTGCCAGGGACAGGTCAGAGTGCTTCTGAATGTCGCTGATCTCCTTGGAGATCCGGATGATACTTTGGTCTGCCATGGGGGCTAGGTGGTAGAAGAGGAGTAGTAGTAGTAGTAGAAGAAGAAGAAGCTCAAGTCTCAGTACTGCTGCGATTTCTGCTGCCACTTCCCTTCGACCCAGATCACACAGTCATCGAACGAGAAAGGGAGAAGGAGGGAGGAAGAACCTGAGAGGGACGAGTTGCCTGCAAGAATATTCACAAATGCGCTGCGGGGATGAAGGTAAACAGAGGTACGGGCAAGGCAGGCCGCCAGGTGGACAGCATGAAGCAGGGACAATCAACGGCGGGAACCACTTGTGTCTCAGGCAGAAAGAGCGTAAAGTTTGTATGCATGTGAGGTAAAGAAAGGATTATTCGCTGGAGGTGCGGGAGAAGTATTGAACAATCCCAGGAAAGATAGTAGCCAGTACCGCTGAGGAGCGGATTCTTTCGAGAATCGAGCTTTTCTGCCTGGGGTATTACAAGGTATCTGCAGCCTCCTGCCCTATGGCCTAAAGTTTTCTCTCTTTTTTCCCTCTTTGCGTTTGGGCGAGATCCGCCGATCAAATTAGATTCCGAGTTTGAAAATGTGATGCGATTGGGATGGGAATCAATGTCTTGCAGCTGCGGAGGGGTTTTTGGAGGGGTTTATCAGATGGGACGCGCTGCCCGCTCGTGTATGGTGCGGTACCTACTCTAGACGGGCGAAGTGGGGGGGTGTTTTTTATGGGACGACGATCTTGGGTTAATGCCCGGCCGGGGCACTCTGACTTTGTATCAAGGTCTGGTAGGTTTCTGGATTACACAGAGCACCTAATGTAGGTAAAGTCGAGGTACATAGATAACTGCCGTACATGTCATTAGCGTAGCGGAAATTGGAGACTTTCCGACTTGGCTCGAATCACCTAATCTGAACATAGAGCAATGAGTTGTCTATAGAGAATTGTAGATGAAAAACCTGGGAGAAATCCCAAAGTTTTCGGTAATCGCCTAGTCAGATATACAAGGCGCTGAATCTTGACTGAACCAGTGACACGGGATTTTGGCGATCATAATTGTATCAGCTACAGAGAGTAACATGCGTGTATCTGCAACTCTGCCACGTTGAGGAATCTTGAATTTGTTTTGCTTGTTAGGAAGTATACCTACACAATGTACCCTATGAGATATGGCCAGGATCTAGTAGTAATTCGCTTAGCACCGGCGCCGTACAGAGTACATATCCAGTGGAGTCCCTTGATCATGTTATCAGTCATGTACCCAAGATAGGAAATAATTGAGAACTGGGTAATACAACAATATCAAAAGTAGTTCATCCCTGGAACTACTCGATAATCATGCTTATACAAGCTGATTTGAGGCGACTACCTCAGCTGCAGCGTGTGAATAGTGTCACACGTCTTTGTGCACGACTACCTACGGTATGTGTGAATGTACGAATGTAATACCCGGCCGACGAGGGGCCTAAGACCATTGATGTGGATCTCAAGCTAGCATCCCTATTTCGGCAAAAAAAGGGTACCTGGGCGACCTGGGGCTACAGCTCCGATGCATGTACGTACTGTGTATGGATACTACGTACATTTTCTACCAGGTATAATCTAGTTTAGGCGATTGTCCCTGAACACACCGCAGCTCGCTCTCAACGTCGTGTAGGCAGTGACTGACAATTCTTCGACAATTGCCCTTCTCCCCCGACTCCAATCGAACAGCGTCATGGCTACCGAGAAGACCCAGAAGCCCTCCCTGGGCCGCGTCCTCGTCGTGGGCGGCTGTGGCTTCCTGGGCCACCACATGGTCAACGTAGCGCTTCGCGACTGGACCACGAGCGCCGTGTCCGTCGTCGACGTCCGCTGCCAGCGCAACCGGCGCCCCGAGTCCGACGGCGTCGAGTACGTCGAGGCCGACATTACCGATGCCGACAACCTCGCCAAGGTCTTTGGCCGGCTGAAGCCCGACGTCGTTATCCACACGGCCTCGCCGCCCGCCCAGGCCAGCGGTGCCGTCTCCGATGAGCTGTTCCGCAAGGTCAATGTTGAGGGCACCCGGGCTGTGGTTGCGGCTTCCCAGCAGAGCGGTGTCAAGGCTCTGGTATTCACGAGCTCGGCCAGCATCATCAGCGATAACCGGAGCGATCTCATCAATGCCAATGAAAACTGGCCCGTCATTAGGGGAAAGAACCAGTCAGAATACTATTCTGAGACAAAGGTACTGTTACAATATGTCTTATATATATCTCTCCCCAATCACAAGGATGTTGAATTGACACAATTTGAAACCCCCATAGGCCGAAGCGGAATCCATAGTCCTTGCCGCCAACCGCGCCGAAGCGTACCCGAACCTCCTCACCGCCTCGATCCGGCCGTCTGGAATCTTTGGCGAGGGCGACGTTCAGGCCGTCTACCACATTGTCAACATCTACGAGCAAGGAAGGACGGGCGTCCAGGTGGGACCCAACACCAACATGTTCGACTTTACATATGTCGAGAACGTGGCGCACGGACACTTGCTGGCGGCGCGGGCGCTGCTCTTGACAGCACAGAGCAAGACGGTGCCCCTGGACCACGAGCGCGTCGACGGCGAGGCCTTCTTCATCACGAATGGTGAGCCCGTCTACTTTTGGGACTTTACCCGCGCCATCTGGCGCGCCGCCGGAAGCGACAAGGGCACCAGCCACGTCTGGGAGATGTCACGCGAGCTGGGTCTTGTGCTCGGCTTCCTGAGCGAGGTTGCCTTTGGCATCATGCGCAAGCCGCCCACTTTCAACCGCCAGAGAATCATCTACAGTTGCATGACGAGGTATTACGACATTTCCAAGGCTCAGAGGAGGCTTGGCTACAAGCCGCTGGTGAGCCTGAGCGAAGGCGTCAAGAGGGCGGTCCAGTGGACTTTGGACCAGAAGCAGGCCAAGGCGGCGGCAGCAAAGAACTAATTCTTCAAGAGAGACACATAATTCAGCGCCAGAATAATATTTTGTAATACATGATTGCATATAGGTGGGACTTTGCATTATTCAACACCGTCATAAGCGCTGCAGAGACCGCTTATCATTAATACCAATTATAGAGCCATTGTTAATTGTACCAAAGCTCAACTTGAAGAATAAGAGTATATCTTCAACATCACTGACCCTTTCCTGCCTCGGATCTCACTTGCGAGACAGTGGCCAAGTAGCCAATCTCGGGATACACTGTTAACTGACTACGGCTCATAGCCGTCACGGACCAGATAAATCATCAAGTCAAGGAGTCAAAAGTCAATCTCGTTTAGAGTATAAAGCTTCCAATGAAAGCATATCACGTTTGCCGCCATGCTCAACTCTTCCCAAAAACATATCTCGAGAACCCTTTACTGACGCCGTGTCCATGCATGAAAACAAAAATGTAGATGATCCGTAGCCGCTTCACCCGGAGCTGGATTCCTTGTGCTCAATCGGACCGCATAATCTCGAAATATCCCCCTTTGCGTTTCCTCGGCCTCCCTTCTTTTGTTTTGAGCTCCACGGTTGAAGTGATGAATGTGGTCTATACAAATAACTGAGAGTTGCACGTCGCTGCCAAGTGCTGAGCTAATAGCAGCCTCGTAGGCAATGGCGCAAGGCGTGAGCCCAGAAGTGGTGATAAGTCGCGATGATGGGAGGTTTTAGCGGAATTTTTGCATTTCCTCGAGAAGTTCAGTCAGATCTTCATCGCTGATCTTGTCTGTGAGCGATGGAATGAGAGTCTTGGCCTCATCTGCATCGGCGCAGCACAATGTTCCTGTCTCGTCTGTCAGTTACCGACATTGACAGAAATCCTTGGCCATAGTCCCACGCAACAAAGAAGGTTCCGGAACCACAATCAAGTGGGCAACGTACCGAGCTGCGCTCGCTCGAACTTGTGAAACTCCTTGTGAGCGCTCAAAAGGCGCTCGACTGCCTCCACATTCTCCTTCTTCTGAAACCGCGCAAAGTTATCCAGGTAGTCCATGGTCTTGGTCAGCATCCTAGCGGAAAGTCCAGTGTTAGTATTGTGTTTGTGATTGCGCATACACATAAAACTGCTGTGCATTTCTCCATGATTTAGATGCAAGCACGGGTGGTCGGTACGATGTTGTTTGACAAATGCAGCACTCTAAGCGACCACGTACTCGTTCTTCTCGACATCCTTGCCTTCTATCCGGCGCTTGTTGACCAGCGCATTGATGACGAGCGACGCCTCGGACAGGGTCAAGGTGTCAACATCTTGGAACTCGCCAAGATTCAACACGCTCGAGGCCTCCTCATTGCCAGCGGGCACAGGCTTGCTGCGCGAGGTTTGTTGATTATTCGTGCGGCGAGTGCCGTTGCTTTGGTTGGACATTGTTCGTCGAGTTGTGTGTGTAAATGTGCCGAGATTCGTGTGGGCGCAAGTAGCTGAAAGCGGACAATGAAGCAAGTAATTGCGCGCGTATCGAGAGCAGGCGGAGATCGCTTTTCAAAATGGGAATCGATATTGTCCGCGCTTCTCGAAAAGAGTATAGGCGTGCGCAGTGCTTTCGAGTGCGAATGTTGCGGGCGATGTCGCAGTAGTATGATATTGTAGTGCAAGTAGATATGTATGTAGTTGGGCAAAAAGTCCGAGTCGATGAGGGTCGGCCAAGCTGAATCAAATGCGGCTCTGAATAAAGTTGACAGGGAACCTTTTGGGGGCGGAACAGGCAACGCGGCCTAGCGCATTTTTGGGGGAAAGATGGGGGGAAGAATCCCTGCCCGCCCTGGTCCTAGGTACTGGATAAACTCCGGAGTGAACCACCGTAACCACTGCAAAGCTGAGCTCTACAGCGACCCCAAGGTACCTAGAGGGACAGGCAACACTGAATTGCCGTCTGTCAACTTTGGAATTCGTTGCTTGCGTGGTCCCTCTGCAACTCGGCGCTGGAGATGACAAGCCAAGCTGGTTGCATCCGAATTTGACAAAAGCGCTGAATGAGATAGAAACTACTTCATTGATCAGGCCGATACCTTTCATTTATCAATCTCATCAAAGTCATCCTTGTTCTTTGAGAGCCAATCAGTGGCAATGTGAGCACCATCTTAAATCGATTTCGCACTCTTACACTGACAATCAGCCTCAGGGGTGTACTCGCACTCATCATCATCAACAAGGCCGGCGGTCTGATATACCACCGCACCTTTGCCGAAGGGCTCAACCAGCTTACCACAAATGACTATTTGGTTCTTGCTGGTACTTTTCATGGGTATGAGATTTTATATTGGCTTCGCCATTCGCCCGATAGCCCTGAGCTCATGTCCAGGTTGCATCTGGAACCCCTCGCTGCCTCCCAAATGCGCAAACTGCAATGTCTAACCCTCTCGCAGAGTCCACGCCATCACAACACGCCTAAACCCTTTAAAGGCACATCAACCCCCAACGGCTCCTGGGCAACGTCCGGAACCGCCCAGCGGGTTGGAGGTGCTGGAGACGGAGAACTTTCGGATGCAGTGCTTCAACACGCAGACAGGAATCAAGTTCCTCCTGTTCACCGACACGCTGCAGACGGGCGTGACGGAAAACACCATGCGCAAGGTCTACGAGCTTTACGCCGACTACGTCATGAAGAATCCCTTCTACCAGCTAGAGATGCCCGTACGTTGTGACATGTTTGACCGCAAGCTAAACTCATATATTCGGGAGATAAATAATTCGAGGTGATGAGGGTCAAGGACAACAATGAGCAGTCGGGCGGTCTGACTACCAGCGGGAGAGGAAATATCTATGCAGATCATGTACGCATTGTGAGGCGTTTGGGGAGTCCTTGAATTTACGGCGGATTTCGACACGATTAGGAGGGAAATGATTGGTACTGTCTGTCTTTTGGTATATGAGCATAACCTTGTCCATAGAGTCACATTGCTTTCTATGCTCTATTATCATACAAGTATAGCAAGCCTAACTCCGTCGCCAAGCCATAATCGTCTCCGTGCCTCTTGATGTTGAGCAGCTCACAAGACATCTATGAAGTGTCCATCCTGTCATCGTCCTTATCCTTCTTGGATGATCCGCTTGCCTCGCCATCCTTGTCCAGTAACGGTTGGTTCTCGCCTTCCTCCTGAATGCCTTCTAGATTTGTCTTGTTGGCCGCATTCTCATCGGCCTGTGCCTGCCGTGCCTGTCTTGCATTCTCCTCTTCCATACTCATACGCAGAGCAAGCGCCAACTCGGGATCAGCGCTAGGATCGAAGTCGAAGCCTCCAAAGTCACCACCAGCACCTCCGCCACTCTCCATGCCTCCCGAACCGCCAGCTCCTGCATTAGAGCCAAGCATGATGGGGGATGCGATGAGTTGGTCACTAAGTAGCTTGCCGCTAGGTGGGATGACCACTAGATGCGATTCCTCGTTGCCCTTCACTACATTGTTGAATGCTTCCAACTTCTTTTGTACTTCGTCGTCGTCGAGGTCGCCGAATAGTACAAAGTCTATGTTGATACCGCTCTTCTTCATCTTCTTGGCCAAGGTAACCAGCTTCTTCTCATCGTCATCGACTGGGGAGCAAACGAAGACGATAATGCGCTGTCGTTGGGACTTGTTCTGTCGATGCTTCAGGGCCAGCTGTTCTTCGTGTTAATCTCTACTCTGTTCGTAGCATGTGACGGAACTGTAGCTTTGCTTACACTAGCAATCTGGATGCCGGTGGCAAGGTGTGACTTTCCCGAAATCTTCTTCTTCGTTCTGTGCAAACCTTCCAAAAGCTTTCCGCGTTCTGTCGTGAGGGTCGAGAGGACTTCCGGTCCCTTGCCGCCCATGCTCATTAGGCCTACTGACGATTCCGGGTTTCCTTGTGTGATGGAGTCGAACAAGATGTTGATCGAGTCGGCTTGGGAGTCAAATCGGGTGGGCTGGTAATCTCCATTGCGTGAGCTTTCGCTGTTGTCAGTGATGATCATCACAGCTTCAAGAGGCATCTTGGCGGCTGTGTGATGGAGGAAATGGGGTGATGATTTGGTTGAAGAGTTGAGGGTGAAGTTCGAATGGCAGCTGGATGATGAAGGCTGGAAGCTCTCAAACGTAAGGCAATCGCAGCCTTGAGTAAGGGAACAGCAGCGGCACTAACGAGAGCTCGGGCCAATGACAGAGCAGCAAGGTACCTGGTCGCTGGGGCTCGACTCTATGGTAAGTACATCTTCTAACATTCAGCTCGATAATCAAGCTCTCGAAACTATGCGTAATAATTTTGAAATACACCAAGATTAAATAAATTATTTACATGTTAATAAGGAATCGTTGCTACCTTGATAAGTAATACGGCACGCCTCTAGCCCGGCGCGACATTGGAGGGCGGATCTCTCTGGTACATGGAGGTTATGTCATATCGTACCCCTGCTGAGACCCGCCAAGCTTTTGGACCATTCGCACCACCCGCTAAACACCATCGGGGCACTTTGTTTACTTCCGCCCGAAAGGTGCTAAAACCAACATCGTGTACGGATATCGATCACCATTGGCATCTGCTCATTTTGCGCCCAGTATAACATCATCGCAACAACATAGAGGAAATCAAGCATCGACCAATTCGGCAAATCAAATAACAATATGGCTCCAGCACTGACGAGAAAGCGCAAATCGGAGGAATCCCCTGGCTTCGCGACCGACAGGACTCTGGTGAAGAAGAGAAAGGTAGACTTGACCGTCGCGCAAAAACAGGCACTCATCGATAATTTGCAACTTGAGAGTACGGAATCGCTTTTACTCCCATCGTGTTTCACTGCTGATTCTTTATAGTCACGGAACGCGCCCGGAGACTGAGAGCCCAATATAACATACAAGCGCAGCAGCTTCGATCACGCGTCGAGATGCGCGTAAATCGCATTCCCACAGCCATGAGGAAACTGAAAATGGGCGACCTGATGGCCAAGCACTCGGAACCCCAAAAGACGCGTACTCGATCTCCGTATGTTGCCAAACCTCCACCTGTACCCCTCAAGGACGGCGCCTCGCCAAAGCCTATCCCACGCAAGCCTGTATCCGGAAGTACTCAACGTGGCCAGAAACGCTTGAGGTATGATGGACTGAAAGCGATAGGGGTATTCTGTGTGCGGTGGTAGTACTAACTGTCACGCAGTGAGACCATAACTGGAAGTGAGGACAAGGAGAACTCAGTTGAGCCTACGGTCATGCCTAAGAAGAAAGGGCGTGGCGCACCCGCGGCCGCAGCAGCTGAGGCATCACGCAATGTGCCAGGACAGGTTCTTTCGCCGGCTTCTACCAACGCGCGGGTTCTTCCACGGGCTGCCGAGAGGCCTGCTTCCCCGGCCAAGAGTATGCTGTATTCCTCGTCGTCTCCGGCCAAATCCATGATTGCCCGGCCCGCCTCCCCGTCCAAGGCCATGGGTACGAAATCCTCCTCTAACCTAATAACCAACATGGTCCAAAAGGCTAAATCAACTCGTGGAGCTACAGCAGGAACCCGAAAGGCAACCACCAGCTCGAGTACTACAGGAACCGCTTCGAGGTCCAAGAAACCAGCAGTGCCATCCGCGTCCGCCACAGGATCGACGCGTGGCAGGAGGAAGATCAGCCAGACGAGTGAGTCGAGCGAGGCCAGTACCGGTACCGTGGTCAAGAAGACCACGGCAGCATCAAGAGGGGGGACAACTACAGCAAAGAATCCGCCGGCCGTGAAACGCTCCGTGATGAATACGATCAAGTCAGCCACAACCAAGAAGGCGGCTCCCGTTACCAAATCGACGACAGGAACCTCGACAGCGGGCAGGACATTACGGAAGCGGCAAGCAGCATAATGTCGATGTTCTCAAGGATTGTGGGTTGAAAATCAAGGAACTTCGCCCGCTTAGTATCTGGATTGTGGTTTTCCAGCCTTGGTAAAGGGCACACGACTTTTGGTTTTTTGCATTGCAAGCACATGACTTTTTTGGTTGGCGTTTTCAGGTCTGTTCGAAAGGAATTAGATACTGGTAGGAGTATTCTCGACACAACAAAAGGGCTGAGTGGCACTTCATTTGAAGGAGCCTCTTATTTATTTCCCCGGCTTTCTCGCCTTCGTCCTTGTAGACCGTCTCGTCGTCTGGATCATGTGTGGTATGTTTCAATTTTTATGGTGGTATTATCGTCTATTGCCGCCCAACCTCTCTCGTAGTTTGAGGGGTATGTGTGTTCATTGATCATGAAGGCTTCTTCTTGGCCTTGTCATCTACCAATTCAATATTGTCCTCTGGAATCTCCTTGTACTTCTCCAACAAGAACTCTTCAATCTCGTCGCTGACGTCGCCCTGCACCACGATTTCCTCGCCGCCGCTGGGGACCTTGGTGACACTACTGCCAGTAGCGAACTTCTTGCCAAACTCCTTGGCGACCTTTTTCAGATCGAGCCCAAAGGCCTCGAGACCAATGACGGCCGTGACAAACTTTCGCTTATTCCGCTCGACACGCTTGATGGTGACGACGCTGTTGGCCATCTTGGAGGCCTGTTTCTGCTCGGCCTTTTCGGCCTGGGCTGCCTTCTTCTGGGCGTCCTTGGCGGCGCGCTTCTGAGCCTCGAGACTTAGGGAAGCCGTCGCGGCCTCGAGGGCCTCGGGTGACCAGATCTGGGCGTACAGCGTCGGGTGCGTCTTCTCGAGCCATTCCTGACACTTCTTGGGCGTGCCGCCGTATTCGCAGTACTCTGGGGGTAAGGTGCAGACTAGGAAGAAGGAAAACAAGAGTTTGTCAGTTTATGGGGGATCGTCTGGTATGATGATATAAAACTAGAGAGTATCGCGCCTTGTCGGTTTCCAAATACTGCTGCATCTTCAAAGGCCCAGGTATATGAGGCGTTTCCAAGTTGTATAGAGGGCCTGGCATTGAGACTTCTACTTACCACCACAGTAGGTCACATGGCGAGACTGCGGCTCACCGAGAGCTTCGGGCGCCTCTGTATCTGCCATTGGTCGACTTCTTTTTGCGCAAAACTATGTTCGCTTCTTTGTCGTCGTTTGGAATGGAGATTGAAGAAAGTGGAGGGGTGCGCTGTGTTTTACACACAGGTAGCGTAACAGGTGCTAAAGGTAGGTATTCTTTTTGCTGATGTTTGGAAGCTTTCCTGATGACTGCGGGGTCGTTTTGGACATTGGGCAAGATAAGTGATGGACGGATGGCGGGGCAGTTATCGAGGGGCGAGTGACATCGACTTGCACTGGTCTCCTGCCTTGCACAAACTGCATTGCAAAACTATAATGTATGTAACTAACCTAACCTAGTCACATCAAATCCCTCGGGCAAAGTTCAGTAGAATGCCACTGAAGGAGGTATTTCAAATGACCAGCAAATACAATGATTGCTTTTACCTTTGTTTTTATTCTTGCAAATTCTCCCCCATCTTTGTTTGCTATTTTTTTTTTCTGTTGGTCATAGTAACTCTGGTAATTTAAGAAGGCTGCAAAAGAATTTCCATATTCACTAGATCTTGCTAGAAATATGTTTGAAGTCGTGTTGGACACGAATTTATACTCGAACCGAGCTATAGGCCCTATCCATGTACCGTGATATTACAGGAAATCGGGCTCGGCTGTCATATCTGGTAAATACTTTTAGTTACGCCGACCATTTTAGTAGTGTGATGCTGTCGTCACGTTTCTGCTTTGGCCCTTTTACATGAATGCACGTAGATTGTGTAGGTCGCTACGTGCATTGTACAGAGTACATTAAGGTACTATATATATATATATATCCCTTCTTCCCAAATCACATTGTCGACTGCTAATAGTCAATCTCCACACTGCAATGCATACAAGACAAAAGTAAGCCAAGTACAACAGTCGCTTAGCACGGCATATAATACTATGTGCACATTATTTTGACTACATACGGCGGCCACATACAATGACGTGATGCAATTTTATTCTTGTTACTGCAATGCTACGGGCGCTCACCAAGCGTAACATGTCCGTCATACAAAAGAACCAGTGTGTGCTATTTACCGTACAACCCAGCGTCTATTATGGCGCATATCATCGTTATTACAATTAGTGCTAAGAAGGGGAAAATGGCAGACGAGACGAATTCAGGGGGTCCGATATTTGGCAATACTTTTGGCGTGTCTGTGCTTCTCCTCCATTGGTACATTCCCAACATGAACTAATGAACCTCCCATTTCAGCCCACACAATGTTGGATTCCACCGGGTATTCCTTCTACCACGAGCCTTGAATGAGTGACTGTACAAGAATTTGGGGATCTCGTCATAACAGAGTTGACAAGGCACCCAATATACATGCATGCCCATCCTATTTGATATAAGCTGCCGGGTACAGATTGACCCAGAGACCAAAAAACATTGTGCTCTTTTTTAAGCTTGAAGGGCAAATTGCGATGTGTCGACCTAACAATCTTGCACAATGTTGGCGATGTGGGCATTCTAAGAAACCGGCCCATCTGATGTCAACGACACGATGTCTTCTTCTACTAGAATTCCCAATGCTACTAGAAAATTATCATCATGCTTCCAGTTGATGCGACGATCAACAGTAGGACACCAATGTGCTTATTAGCCAGCCAGTTCAGTTCAGGGGTTTTTGTTTCGTTCCATTCCGTCCAGATTCAGGAGTAAACTGCAAATGCTGGATAAACAGTGTCCAGTGCTGCTAATGGTTGAATGAGGATCCATCTGATCTCTGTCGACAAGGAACCCTTTTCCACAATGGCTACTCGTTGAAGATCTTCCCCCGTGGAAACTGGTGGCATTTCAGCCTCGTCGAGGTCCTCTCGAGCCTCTGTCTGTCCTTCTTTGCTTCCATATCTCCATAATAATGCATCGTCACCAATGGCAATAGCCTGGTCAGCACACTCGGTGCGTCTCTGGTCAGGTTATCGGAATGTAGATGCTGCTCCTTTGTGTTATACTGGAGCTCCGTTGCTGGTGCTTAATGTACCTAGTTTGTCCATCGCTTTGTTTGTGCAAGGCGAACGAGCATGTGTGCTACATTAGAGTTAAGCAAAGTAAACAAAAAGATGAATCGGGGACGAATGAGTAGAATTAAATTCACCGGCTACTCTGTACATTGGAGCGATATCTGCCTGTATACATGAACCATCGACAGACGTGTTAATGGCATATCCCATTGCCATTCTTCTTTTTTCGATGTAGCAGTTTGTCAAATCACCTCTCCCTTTCACCTAAACTACTTGGTACCTAGTGCCTAGTAATTGGCTGGTATGAGAAAATCATCAATCAATCCTTGAGTGGTGTCTGTATTTCAAGTACCCACCCCTCCCCGAATTCGTTAGCGTGCCTCGACTCGGCCAGGGTGCAAAAGTGTCCGCCATTTCCCCTGGGCGCCCAAGGGCCCCGTATCCAATCCCATCCCTCCATCCATTAAGCCATTCCATCTGCCACCATCCACCATCCGTCTGGTACCTTGACCTTGCACCTTTGACTTGCGGGCAGTCTGCCTTTACTACTACTACTACCTACACTAAAGACGAAGGGAGTACGGGGGGTCAGTCATCAGTCAGTTCTGGTTCCTACGTCTCATGCCGCACCCAGAGCAAGCAACGGAACCCAAGCATCTTTCCCGTCCTCCAATTCGTTCAGGGGAGGAGGAGAGCGCACACACACGCACACAGCATACGGCATTGCACCAAAAGGTTAGAAACATCTGCAGTTCCCTTTTTATTTTATTTTTACCTCTATGTTTTTTGAGCCCTTCCTCTGTGATCTCCTTTGGGTCTCACAGTCCAGATAGGTACAGGCAATCGCTTGCACACTACAGCAACTCCCCAAATCCCACCGACTGCTCAGAAGATTGGACTGGACTGTACATGCCTCAACTGTCTATCCCAGTCCGTCGGCGCGACCTGATCTTTTGACAACCTCTCTCCCTACCTTGGCCAGCCCAACCCGACCAGACCTCTAATGACCCGCCCGCGTTCATCGCCAGGCCCAATACGTACAATCTACCACTACAACCACCACCACCACCACCACCACCACTGACTGCTACTGCTGCCAACACCCGCACTCACTCGCTTTACCGACCGTTCCAGCTTCAGCTCACGTCGACGATCACGACCGCATCCGCCGCCCGGTTGCCCAATCTGTTCTTGTCAACAATTGCACCGCCGACTCTCGCTGCACCGCGCCGCCACTAGCCTCGGTTTTGTTCGTGCCCATCCCGGATACTGTCGCACGCGCCTCCTACCTGCTGTCCGCTGTGGAATCACCCCCCTCCGCCGCCCAATGCCCAGCTCTGACGTGGGACAGCACGCAACGCCCACCCTGCCGTAACCACTCCCAAGAAATTTATCTACACTTTTTGACCATCTCTATCACCGGTCTTTTCCCGAACCCGAACCTTGGACGAGGGCACCGTTCAAGACTACCCGTGTGGCATCGCCGAGGGCCCCAGAAACCGTCTTGCGATGGGCCCAGATTACGGAGGCGGTCTGGGAGGAGGGGACCCTGCCCATGGTCATGAAGGAGCCTACCAACTCGACCACGATAGATCCCTCATGACCCCGAGTCCCTCTTACCAGAATGGCGCATTTCAGCCGCCCACCCGGGCTCCCGCCCGAGAAGCTTCCCCGGCCCTGAGTTCGACTAGCACTAATGATCCTCGTAAGAGCTCTGAACGAAACCGATCCAGGGGTCGCGGCCGGACTACGAGTGGTCAGGTTCGCGTCTGCCACAAGTGCGGCGAACCTCTCACGGGCCAATTTGTGCGAGCTTTAGATGGTACCTTTCACCTGGACTGCTTCAAGTGTCGTGTAAGATCACAGTCTATTCTTTCAATGCCGCTATTCACGTAGACAACCAAACTAACGCCAGCATGCAGGACTGCGGCTCGATAGTCGCATCTAAGTTCTTCCCTGCAGAAGACGAGGAGGGCGGCGGTCAATACCCTTTGTGCGAGACTGACTACTTCAGACGCCTCGGCTTGCTCTGCCACCAGTGTGGAGGTGCACTGCGAGGCTCATACATCACTGCGCTCGACCGAAAGTACCACGTCGACCACTTCACCTGTTCATTATGCCCGACAGTCTTTGGTGCTCAGGATAGCTACTATGAGCACGATGGCAACGTGTATTGCCGTTATCACTACTCGACACAATTTGCGCAGCGGTGTAATGGCTGTCATACAGCCATCTTGAAGCAATTCGTCGAAATCTTCCGCAACGGGCAGAACCAACACTGGCACCCCGAATGTTACATGATTCACAAGTTCTGGAACGTTCGCCTTGGTACGGAAGATAGCAATGAAGACCCGCCTGAGGAGCTCGACGAGGCAGGCCGCGAGCTCGTCCGTACTGAAGAAGAGAAGATGGAGGAGAAGGTCTACCGCATATGGAGTGTTCTCTCTGCGTTCGAAGAGTCATCTGCGGCTTGCATCTCAGATATGCTCTTGCATGTGAGCAATGGTGCCTTTATTGATGGCATCCTTACGGCCAAGAGGTTCATTATGCATGTGGATATCTTGTTTCAAGCCGCTGACAAGCTGGACGACAGCATGAAACAAGTTGACATGAAAGGTGAGTACCAGTTATTGTTGAATGGTATGTTGCTGTGCTGAAACAACATTAGGTCTGTCCTACAGCAGAGAGGCCAAACTCCTTTGCAAGAAGATTGTCTCCTTTTTCTCCCTTCTGTCAAAGACTCAAGAAGGCGGTGTCCGACAATTGGGCGTGACCCAGGAACTGCTGTCACTAGTCACGGGCTTGGCGCATTACTTGAAGCTCCTCATCAGGATCTGTTTGCAGGGTACGCTCAGAATCGAGAGGGATCATAACTCTCAGGACGCCTTGTACCAATTTCTCGACGACCTCAGCGTGATAGAAACTACTAAGAATGAGGACAACACGCTTCAGATCAGCGTGGGCATGGCTACGCTGTCTGCCAACGACTCAGATCATTGCACCGCATGTCGCAAGCCCATTGAGAGCGAATGTGCTCTAAACGGAGACAAGCGATGGCACCTGGCCTGCGTTATCTGTACCGAATGCGGCCAGGAATTGGGCAACGACTTGGCAAATGCGCAGTTGCAACGTGATCTTCGCATCCTATGCACGCCATGCACCCGCCAGACGGGAGGCGAGACGAGCAAGCCTTTTGAACGGATTTCGAGACTTCAGCAATATATATTCCTCCTCAAGGTTGCTCTGGCTCGACTTCTGGGCCAGCTACGCAAGAGTGGCGCAATTCCTCCTGCAGGCGAGGATCCCAGTGCCTGGGACTCGCGCAATGGAAATCAGTTAACAGCTGACAGAAGTGGCGTGCCAATGTTGACGTCGGATTCGCGTTCCAAGTCTTATGCTGGGGCGGAACGGGACCGTCATCAGCGAGAGTCGTCCTACGAGAGCACTCTTAATGATGTGCGTCGGCTGAGGAGTACACGACTAGATAAGCATCTATCATCGAGTCTGCGAAAAGCCCGCGGATCCAGGATAATCGACGGTCCCGGCGGCCCTGGAGCTGATGGTAACAATTTCAGAGACCGAGAAATGCAGATTGATGAGGATCCTGGACTAGGCGGTTCGACAGAACAGTACTTTGGCCATCAGGATGCCTTGACCCTGGACGACATTCCGCGAATTGTTGCTGCAGAACAGGCCAAAGAGAAGCAGCCCGGCGCGTACACTAGAAATTCGCGCCAGGAGCTGTTCCGATCACCAGCCACACATCCCAACTTGGGCACTGGTCATCAGAGATCGCAGTCCGACGGAAGAGGCGATGAATTGAAGCTTCTCCCGCAACCATCACCACAGCGAATAGGTCGCAAGTTTTTCTCGGAGCTGTCTGGCCTCGAATACTTCATTGTGCGCCATGTCGCCGTTCTCACAATGCAACCTTTACTGGATCCAGAGTTCACCTTGGACGATCTACTTTCGTTGATTGAGGCTAGAAAGCAGCCTACCTTCTGGAATAAGTTTGGCAAGGCTTTTGCCGGCAAAGACCAGAGGAAGGGCTTCAAGAAGAAGGGCATTTTTGGTGTTCCTTTGGAGATCATCATTGAGAAAGATGGTGCCGATTCGACAGATGGCGTGGGCCCTGGAGCCCTGCGGATTCCAGCCATTATTGAAGACACGATTACAGCCCTCAAGAACAAGGATCTCTCGGTTGAGGGTGTCTTCCGAAAGAACGGAAACATCAAGAGACTCACGGAGCAAGTTGCTGCAGTGGACAGAGACGGGTGTGACGCCATCAAGTGGAATGACGAATCGCCTCATCAGCTGGCTGCGCTGCTGAAGAGGTATCTTCGCGAGCTGCCTGATCCACTGATGACGCAGAAATTGTATCGTCTTTGGATTGCCGCGACCAAGATCAAGGATGACGAGAAGAGAAGACACTGCTTGCATCTGACGTGTTGCTTGCTACCAAAGATTCAAAGAGATACGCTCGAAGTGCTCTTCAGCTTTCTCAAGTGGGTGTCGACTTTCCACCAAGTTGACGAGGACACTGGTTCGCGCATGGATATACACAATCTCGCCCGAGTCATGGCACCAAACATTCTTTACTGCGCCCAGAGCGGGCCAAGTTTCTCGGATGAACCAATGACAGCAGTGTCTTGTGTTGAGGAGCTAATCCAATGGAATGAGGAGATTTGCATGGTAAGTCAGAGAGGACTACGGTAATTTGACTACTGCTAACATTTACTAGGTTCCGGATGAGCTTATGGATGTTCTCGGCGACTCCTCATTATTCAACGGCAATGGGGATATCTCGACAAAAGAGATCCTCAAGCGCATTGGCGACAGATCGGCTGGTGGCCCTAGGCAATACGACACAGAACTTGTCAATAGACAGGACAATTCAAGACCTATGCCGACGAGGGTTGACACGGATCCAACGCTGTGGCATCAGGAGCGCAGTGTCCGCCCTGTTCAGGACCCAAATGTGCCTTATACTACAAACCCAGGAACTCCTCCGCAAAAGTGGCGGAATCCTGACCACAGGTCTTCGCCTTATGGAGACCAATACGAAGGCGATGCATCACAGCCAGCTGAAAATGGTCAGCGCCGCGAGTGGCGGAATTCGACAGGCTTTGGTGTTAAGAACAGCTCTGTGCCTGCTGGCTCCGGCTGATAGGTGTACCTCACCACTACCATCAACCACACCGCCGCTTTGCCTCGGCATATACTCGCGTATACTTCCTTCGTTCTTGTCTCTCTTGGAATAAAGATGAAAAGCGCATCCTTAGGTCACCGGGAGGGGTTTATGAACCGTTACGACATAGCATGAAATGGTGTAAAGACAGCATTTGCAGCCGGCGTTTGAAACATCTCCAACCTGTCTAAGGGGCACCATGGTTAGGCCATGGACTTTTTCTTCTTTTTCTTTTTCTTTTTTTTTTCTTTTTTGGTAGTTTGCCTCTCTGGCAGCTTTCGTTCGCGATTTCTGTTCAGCGTGCCTCGATGCTACAGAGAAGCGGCTTGTGCCGTCTTTCCCTTCTTTGTCAAAGCGAGCGTCTTTGATGGACGGTTTGGTTTGACTGCAACTTTGGACTAGTGCTGCCATACCATTGCGTCGTTGTCTGTTTTTTACTTTTCGAAGACGGCCGAAGCTGGAATCCTCTGTGCCCCTGCACAAGACGATGGGAGGGGAAAAGGAGCGTGGAGAGAAAGGATGAGGATGAATTCTGGTAGCAGCAGGAGGAGATGAATGCATCTTAGATGACGAAAAACTTGATCCGATACTAGACCAAACTGCTTCTTGGTCGACCGGGATAAGGGAGTCAGTCTATTGGGATGGCGGCCAGGCTTTCGGGCGTTGGCTTGATACGATGATGCTTGCAGTGAAGGCGGGTAATCAAACTCAGTGGTATCAAAAGAACCATGTTGCAACACAGCTGCGAGTCTGCTTGAACTTTTTTTTTCCCCCTGCCGAGACCTTAAGGAAAGCATGCTGTTGAGACTTCAGAATTGGATCGCATCCCTTTTTTTGATGCTTGTCGATGAGCTTCGGCTCGTGGCATTGCTGAAGACTTGGAGTGTGATATCGCACAGCTTGGTGGTCATCTAGATTAGGTAGACATGAACCAATACAAGATGCGAACAAATACTGGAATAATACTTCAAATTGCCATAATATTGATCTGTAGGTGTGGCTGTCTGGTGTGGGTCTGCTTACGAAAGTTGCAAAAAGCCCGTCGTGAGATACTCGGAGCCCCTTTGCGTAGGTTAAAATTGCAGTGAACGACGGTCCGTGGCGGCCAAAAATTGAAAGCGAGTTGTAACGGTCGGCGGGACCGTGTCCGTACAGCCCGGCTGCATGGGCTGTGGACTGGGGGCTCGTCTCCGACCGATAAGTTACTACTTAATCATCATCAACATAAGGTATACTATGGCATAGTCCATTTCTCTCTTTTAGGGCCCTAACGAAAATTCCCTACGATGGAGGCAAAGACTGCCCCTGTGAGAGAATACCGACCATGATGAGGTTTGATGAGATTCGAATCAAGAGGTGCAAGCCGATGCAATAACTTGCAATCACCACTAGAGGGGGTTCCAGGAATCGCTCATTGACAATATAAAGGAAGCTTCGGACATCATGCCAAAGTAACAAGGTTGCCGAGAAGACATTTCAATAGGGAGAGATTTTCTCAGCCAGCCTTGCCATTACACATGCAGTGACCTACTACTTACAAAGTGTCATGTGCAGTTGATCAAGATGACTTGTGAAACTAGCTGTCACGTATGTGAGGTACATTATCCAGTGCTCCTTTCTTTGGTTTTCAAGCGGCACGTAGAATCAGAGATCTTTCATTTTATTCCATAGCACTTTCATATCACGGTGCTGTATCGGTGGTGCCAGGATCGTGGAATTAACATGGTTCTCTATATCATTGGCAGAATGCTCAATTTGATCTCAAAGATGAGTCTAAGTGTCGTTCTCTGATCAAAGAATTGATACTCCCTTGCACCTGGACACAGAAAATGTATCATAGAACCCAAAGCCAATTTCTATGGCCTTTGTCAATCATGGTGATGAAACGAAGCTTCCCCCGCAACCATCACCACAGCGAATTGGACGCAAGGGTCACTGGAGTTGTGAGATTTCGTCCACTCCTCGCTGCCTTCAGCTAAGTGGCGCCCCCCTTCATGTACACCCAGAACTTCATTCCCGTCTCTTGTCCTCCCTTGTCCATTTTCCCTTCTTGAATTAACTCTGAGCTAAACTTTGTGCTTCCCAAACTCATTCACCGCTCCATCTTTATAGATGTGCCCAGCTATTGACGTGGCGGTTGCTCTTGACATCATCAGCTGTAGCATTCATGGTAGCTCTTAGGCTTGCCGGATGGTCGAATGAGCCGGGTCGTGAATGTTGAGACTTGCCGCCAATGCTCACGACAGCAGCATCACCGCTCTGAACTCGTGTAAACTTCTGCCGCTGGGCATCTTTGACCACATTAGGGAAAGCTCCAGGCATAAGAGCCTCAGGGTGGTCGCTCTTAGCTTCATGACACAAGCCCTGTGCTGTCTGTGGTGTCATCGGGGGAGTCGGCGTAGGTAGCTCAAATGTGTTGGGCCTTGCTGTGTCGGCCGAGTCCAGTTCATGGTAGAGACATGAAGACTCAAGGTGTGCCGGTCCCGAAGGGGCACGTGAACTGACAGTGTCCCTATTGCCAGGTGGTGGTCCCTCGAGCTGGATCGGACTTGTGAACTGCGGTGTGATTGGGCTCACATATGAGACTCCAGCAGGCGAGCAAGGGCTGCTAACTGGCGAAACTTCATCTTGGCGGAGAGGTAGATGTCGCGATGCGGAAGGCGTTATGGTCTGAGGAGCTTTAGACGATTCAAAAGAGGTAGCTCGACCTAAAAAGGGCAAACATGTCAGTATTGGAAACGGGGAATTCGACGAAGGATTGAACGCTGGGTATATTTCGTTGGGGGCCATCGAGAGACTCGATAGAAATCATACCTCCAAAAGCAGCAAAGACATCGTCGCCATTTCGGCGGGCTGCAGACGACTGGAACTCATGAGGAGGCTCCTTCTCGTTAAACTCTCCATGTAGATTGTCCCGATAAGAAGGCATACGCTTTGCATGCTTTCGGCGCCGAAATAGCAGGAATATGGCAATAAGCAACGCAATTGCGCCGACACCACTGCCGACGCTGATACCAGCAATTGCACCGGGTGATAGGCGTCCAGATCCGTCCACGGTTGCGCCAGTAGGGGTAGCGGCCGTGTCAAGTGAACCAATAGTGTTGGAAGTGACATGAGCTGTTTCGGCGGGCGTCTTGGAAGGTTCTTCAGTTGTTGAAGTGCTCGTGTCCATGCTCGTGGTCGGTGTGGGAGACTCTCCAGTCATCGGCGCTCCAACGTCACTCGAGGCTTTGTGCGACGTGGTCATGGTGGTGAAGGAAGGCCAATTCTCACCTGAAGAGACTTGGATACTGATTTTCGCATCGGCAGGGCAGCCTTCACTATCGGAGCAGCCGTGAGAAGAACAGCAACCACGCCAATAGGGTTCTGGTCCGCCGCAGGAAGTGAATGAGCTTCCAGCAGGACAGTCGCCGAAAGAGCGAAGAAATATGTGATTGATGTCCATATTGGATGAACCTGTATCAAAGGGTCGTCGTTTGAGAGGAATGATATTAATTGCGAAAAACAATGGTAGAAGGGGTTGGCGACAGAATATCGAGTGCCTGCCTCCCCCTTGGTGGTGATCGAACCCGTCGCAAATGCCTGGCTTGGTGAATCTTGGTAGGGAGGCGAATTCGGAGGTTTAGTAAAGGTTTGAAAGGAAAGGAAAAAGAAGAACAAAATTGTAAAAGTCTGGAGGCGCAAGGTTGAAAACTCTGCCGTCGGGAGTATTGGTGTTTGTAGGATGGACTTATAGGAATGCGTCAAGTGACATTCTCGGTAACCCCAAGCAGGAGCTTGATGGTGTTGTGGAAGACCCCTCCAACAGACACTTTGAAATCGTGATTGACTGGAAAATAAGAACGTAGAAGAAGAGATGATTGAAATGCAAAGAGCCAATAATGATTTGACTCGATGGGATATTTCTAGTGAGGAAGTCGCGTTGTGCAAGTGACACGCGGCGGGAGAATGAGTGAGTGGGTGTCAGAAAACGTGAGGTGGTTTGAAGCTGTCCCCAACTAGCTCAGCAGTGCACAAGGCCACCAGCTGTCGGATTGATGAAAATCAGGCGGGGTGAAGTGGAAATACAAGTGTCAAGAATCAGTTGCATTCCTTTGGTGGTTGATCCGGAAAAGGGGAATTGAAGATGGAAGCCTGGTACGGGAGCATCCCTACTTCAAGCGTAGCTGTGACTGCAGTCCGATGATTGACCTCACTCACGCTTGGGATGAACGAGTTAGTTATTGGAGAGACGGGGGTGAAGGAGAGGGACAACGCGCGGGCAGAGGTCGCGACCGAATAAGTCATGAATTTGTATGTTCAAGGTCAAGTGGCCCGCTGCAAACGAGCCTTGGGAGGGCAGAGCAACAGCAACACGTTTAAACACAAGTCGAACCAAGGATGGAACAACATTATCACTTGATCCGCCCCAAGTTTGCTATCATGGCTACCTAGGTACAGAAAACTACCGTCACTTTTTAAAAAAAAAAAAAAAATACTTGTGTATCCTGCCAAACTGCTGCTGGTGAACACCCACGCGGCCTTCTCGTGGTTCAGTGTCTCTTCTGGTTATTTATTTCGGATATCTGCTTCTGCTTCCAGACCCTACATGATGCATACGGCTTTAACAGGAGAACAATAACTGCAAACCAGGCATCTCATCTACGTAATGTTCAACAATGTATGCTCCAAGCACGTTTCGAGTTCTCACGGCAGCATGCATTGGTACAGATTCACACATGTAGCCCCCTTCTGGCCGCGCCACTCATGTCGTATCACCAACGGCTACGATTCTGTGGAACTTTGCAGAACGCTTGACTATCCATACATGACCAAGGTTGTCCGGGACCTCGATTGCTGCTGCGTACTGCTGGCTGTGCTCGACTATGTATCTGGTCATGATCACAGCGATGCTCATCACAAGTGCGTGAAAACTTCTTGGGAGTATAGACAAGTACAAAGCAGGCCGCTATTATTTTGTTCTACTCTAACATCATACCCAGTCTCTATTTGAGCTTTTCCAGTAGGATCTTTGCGCCTGCATTTCCGACTGACCTCTCCTTCTTTGGTGCTGCCTTCTTGGCCTTCTTGCTTGCAGCCTTATCCGAGTCGCCGCCGCTTGTCTCGGCAGCTTCACGGGATGCTTTTTGCTCTGCCGTTTCTTCCGTCGCCGCCTTCTCCAGAGTCTTCTTCTCCTTCTTCAAAATCTTCTTGAGCTCATCCTTGCGGGAAAAGTCGTCGGCCTCGAGCAAGGACACGGGCACGAATGAACTGGGCCCTGTTGCCCACGCAACAATGTGATCCTTGATGATTGGGTAGAGGATATCTGCGAAATGCAGAGGGGGGTCGACTGGAATGATCTTGCGGGTGGCCTTATCAAAGTGGCCGCCGGCAATAAGCGTCTTGAACAAGCGTCCACCGTGAGCTGTCCTGGAAATGTGAAGACCGATTGGTGCTTGCTCCTCACCCTCTGTTGCTTCAGCCTCGGCACCAGCAGCACCATCTGCGCCTGCCAATGGGTCACCCTCGGCAGTACTTGCAATGGCCTGGAGTGCACCAGACTTGTCGCCGACGCCGGAGAGGAGGATATCCGTCACAAGTTGGCAGCCAAAAGACGTCGAGACGAGATCGAATGCCGCCGACTCGGTACCAGCAAGAAGTGCAGGAGACATGGCAGTGATGAGTTCTTTTCTACGAACATCGACATCCTTCTTACTCGTGGTCTTCCGGATCTCGTGGATTTCCTCCAGGATCTGTAGGTGGGGAGCGTGGCTCGCATCGAACAGGGACTTGGATGTACCCTCAAACAGATAACGGATCACGAAGCGTCCATGGGGATCGTTGGCCAAGACGAGCATGTTTTCACCTTCGTTTCCATCATTCTTACCCAACAACTCGGGGAATATTGATTTTGACGTGAGGACGGTATCGTCAATGAGATCGTATGTAGCAAGAATGACCAGGTGCGCCCAGGGGTCAGTGGACATGAGTTGGAATGTGTCCTTGTATGTCTTGAGGATTTGCTTACGGTCCTTGGCGCTACCTTGGGCAAGGAGTAGACACGTAAGGCGGGCACCCGACTTGGTGAAGGCCATGTTCTTGAGCAAATCACCATTGTCGTCCTCCTTGATCATCTCAATGTACTCCTTTTGCTCGTCTCCGCCCTGTTGCACGTTCAAGAAATATTGCAACATGGCGTCGTGTAGCATGGTGAAACCAGTCATCTTCTTTTGTATCAGCTGATTTGTCATGTCCAGCAGATACCTGACAATAGTCATCCTCTTGCTGGGCTCTGCAGCGATGATCTTGGACAGCTCGGCAGTCAGATCGCTGCCTTCACTCCTGAAAATGGCAAACTCTGGGCCGTACCATTCTCGAAGCATAATGGCCTTCTGCTCAGGGGATGCAGCTCCACGGTAGATGTCGTCGAGAATCCAGGACGCCTCGGGGTGGTTGATCATCTTGCGAACCTTGCCGTAGAATTCGGGAACGATGAGATCACGGATTTCCTTGTCGCCTTCCACCAGGAGCTTTCCAATCATGAACTTGGCGTATTTGCTCTCGGCAAGCTGAGCATAGGTACCCTGGAGCTCCTTGGCGATCATCTTTCGTCGCTCGACATTGGAGTACTTGATGGCAGTCTGAACAACTCGGACGGTATCGTGCTTGAGAGCAAACTCCTTGATGCGGCCAGTCACAATGGTGAAGAGCTCCTCGACAAGCTTGGCCCTCTCTTCCTTGGGCACATGGGACTTTCTTCGTAACCTTTCCCACAGCTTCTTGGCTCTGTGCGATTCGTCGGCGAGGGGTTTGGCGGCCTTGCGCTCCTGCGCCAGGGCCTTTTGCTTCTGGTGAGACTCGCGAGAGTTTTGACCTGGTCATGGCTGCGTTAGTATTTGCAATGCGACAATGTGCATTCCTTGCGCAGGGAGTTTACCTCTCTCAAACACCTTTCCAGAGTCGTCATTGTTTGACTTATTGCCATTGGAGTACTGGCCACCGTTCTGGGTCTTTCCCTTGCTTAGCGAAGCACCTCCATCTTCCTGGTCATCCGAAAAGTCCTCGAAACCAGTCTCGTCGCTCACTTCCTCAGACTCGTCCTTGGATGGCGGCGGTCGCTTGTCAAACTTTGGCTTCTTGAACGACTTGTCCTTGCTCTTGTCATTCAGCTTGCGCTTGCTGCCCGAGGCCGCATCCCTAGGTGCCATTTTATTGGCAAGACGTGGCTGTTGTGTGGGTGAAAATGAAGAGTTTTGGTGGTATACTGACTGGCAGACACCAAAAGATACACAGTGGGCTTCTCTCCCAGCGCTGCTCGCCTGTAAACCAAAAGTTTAGCGGAATCTTGAAATTTTTAGAGATTCTGCCAGGCGGTGTAGATAACGCTTGTCTGTTTCGAGCGACCCCACCATTAACTTGCAGCAATCAGCACTGTGTGCTTGGAGTCTAGCTCGTGATAGTGACATGTCTAAGGAGTAAATTATTGATTCAACAGCGCCGACAGGAAGGACGAAATCCGCAAGAAAACTCTAAAATCATTCACTCTGGGTTTCTGGGTGCCAATAAAAATAAACGCTTTCAATCATACTCGCAGTCGACTAAGACAACTCTACCAATTTATTTGGGAGCAATTACTTCCAAAAAGGATACTTGCCCCGCGCCCGCATTATAAACTACAACCAGACCACAACGACTATACAGAGACGCTATCCACCTGAGCGAAAGACTCTCAAAACTCCAGTGACAGCATCGCAAAATGGGGCGCGAAGAGCAGGTAGAAGAGAGGGAAGTCCTCGACTCCATTTTCCCTGAAGAGATCACAGGTATGCTGGCCTATGCAAGCTTTGAACAAACTCCCATCACCCGCCATCGTCTTGTTTCGCCCAGGCTAATCCGCAAATTCGCCTCTTAGACATATCAGAGACCGAATACCGGATATCAATTCTCTTGGATCTCCCCGAAGATGAAGAAGACAAGGCTGAGCCGCCGACCATGCTGCTGCACGTGCGGTACCCAGAGTCCTACCCAGACGAGCCGCCCCATCTCGACCTGCTGCCACCGCAAAACGCCGCCACACACCCCTACTTTTCCGTGTCGTCGGACAAGGACACGCTGCTGGCTGGCCTCGAGGAGACCATACAGGAAAATATGGGCATGGCCATGGTGTTTACGCTGGTTACGACACTAAAGGAGAATGCTGAGCAACTGATCCTAGACCGGCGGGCCGAGACAGCCAAGAAGCGCGAGGAGGCCCTGTTGGCCGCCGAGCGCGAGGAGAATAAGAAGTTCCACGGCACACCCGTCAACCCCGAGACTTTCTGGAAGTGGCGAGAGGGTTTTCTGAAGGAGATGGAAGAGGAGCGGGTCAAGGCCGAGGAGGAGCGCCTCGCCGAGATGAAGAAGGCCAGGGTCAAGGAGGAGAAGAAATTGACGGGCAAGCAGCTCTGGGAGAGAGGCTTGGCTGGCAAGGTTGACGAGGGCGACGAGGACGACGGTGGTGCCTTGGCCGATGGAGTCGAGAGCTTGAAGGTTACGGCATAAGCAGGCTGTAAGGAGACACCATGCGTTGTCACCCGCGAATCTACCCGCCATTGCCATGAAGTTCCTCAAAAGAGGAGGCGGAAATTCCTGCTGGCATGTCTCATTATCATCATCAACCAAGATTATACGGGATCATTGGTTTGGCGCAATTCCCTGGATCATCAAAGAACTTCTCGTAGCATGCCACGACGCTTAGTTTGCCTTGAAATAATAGGTAGCATATGCACGTGATGCACATGTGAATTGTGCAATTTTTTAAGCTACTCAGAACAACAAAAGTTAGACGACCCTTTTCATGCTCTCAACGCCCTGAAATGCCATGTCAAACGCCAGATCATTCATTATACCCAGCCTCGCAGCAAAATTCATCCCTTTGCAACCAGTAGCATAGGAGATTTCAAGGTCTACTCTTGCATCTCGTCATCCTCATCTTCATCGTCATCCTCGTCGCCTTCATCATCTTCCCATTCTTCCTCATCTTCCTCGTTCTCGTCCATAATGGGCGGAAGGCCAAGCTCCTTTGCGATACCAGTAAGAAGCTCATTGGCGTGCTCGCCGAGTCTGTCATCCTCGTACTCTTGCTTCTTGAATAACTTGAGGCATTGATTCAACCACGTCCGGCTGGAGAGCCAATTCATCTTCCATTCAGCCTCCTCGCCCTTGTTCTCGCTCTTTTGCTTGTCGCCCAGGACGTACAGACTCCAACCACCAAGGTACCAGACCTCGACACTGTGGTCGTCTTCACCGATCAGGCGCTCCAAGACCTCGAGGGCCTCCTGCTCCATCTCGGCCTCCATCAACAGCCTTGCCAGGCTGACGCGGCTGGGGAAATCGGGCACGCTTGGGTCGGCAGTCGGCAGGCCTCTCCAAATCTCCATGCTCCGTAGCAGGGCGGCGCGGGCATCTTCGAGCCGGGTCTGCGAGATGCGCACGTTGGCAAGGGTCTGCCAGCTCTCGGCCGAGTCGGGCGCCGTCATGGTGGCCTCGGTGACGAGGGCCTCGCAGCGCTGCTCGGCATCGGCCTCCCACGACAGGTCCGTCATGTAGATTTCGGCCACGGCGCAAAGACACATGGCATGCTTTCGCCGCAACTCGTCGAGAGTGGCCTCTTCCTGCTGCTGTGTCGTGTCATTGGCGCCGCGCTGTGATTGTTGCCTCCTGGTCGTCGGTTGTGAAGCCTTCTCCTCTAGTCTCTGAATCTGTGTCTTGAGCGCGCCGGCGCCCCTCTCGAACCACCGCACACTGTCGGCACCGCCCTCCTCGCTCAGCTGCGCCAGGCACAGGAACTTTTCGGCACCGCCGCCGACCTCGTCGCTGCGCTGGCCGTCCTGGTCAATGGACACGGCGCGGAGAAAGTAGGACCGGGCGCCGTCAAAGTCGCCAAGCTCGAGGCTGATTTGGCCGAGGAGGTTGAGCGACGCCAGGGCGCCGTCGCTGCTGGGCTGCGACGCGTCGAGTGCCTGCTGGGCAATTGTGAGGGCATCGGGAGCGTTGCCGGCTTGGATGAGCTCCTCGGCCACGGAGACGAGGTAGAGCGGCGAAATTTGTTTGGCTGACTGGCTGCTGCTATTGTCGTTGCTGTCGGCGGCGCGGGAAATGCCGCCCTTCTTTTTTTGCTTCTTGTCTGGGCGTGTTTTCCCCATTTTGCCTTGTCTTGTTTAAAACGTCTCTTTGTCCGGTGTGTTGGTGAGCTACGGCGGGAGGGAAAGTGCTCAGTTTCGGTATGTGAGGTTGCAGAAGTTAGTGATTGGTTTAGCAGGAGCCTAGGCGGGCAGTTCTGTCGCAGACCATGCCCTTGAATGTTGACGTCGAGAAAAAATTCTGGACGAGTTTAGATAACCGGGTCCGATAAGATTCTGAAATCTTGGCGTTGGCGGGGTTGACTATACTGGAACGTGGGGCTATACAAAAGACAAGGTAGGTTCAAGGTATGTCAAGTGAGCTGCAATTGATGCGGAAACGGATATGCCTTTAACGAACACCATCTTTCTGCTCAGCCGAGCAATTCATCAATCGACAGAAAGTCTTGGATTATTTCTAGCTCCATGAAATGAAGGATCCGAAATATCTCAAATTTTCCATGACCAGGCATAAACTTTATTCAGCGGTCCATGAACCCGTTGAGATAGAGTTTTTGAAGAGCAGTTATAACCAGGAAGGAGAGAAAAGGACTTATGTGATTGTAGTTTCTCATTATCATTATCCGTATGTTCTCTTCTTTGGCCTTAAATACCAAATCCAGAGCTAAACCTTGCTGTGGCAGTATGACTTCTAAACTAGACGAACTCAGCGAGCGACTAATCATCGATCAAACTCAATCGCAACCTTTCTTTTCGTTGCGATTGGTTGTTGTTATATACTGATACTGTTGTTCTCATTCCAACATCCATAATACCAAAACCATGATATTGGTGATTTTCAGAAGGTCTTAGCTGGGCGCACAACCCCCCTTCTAATTTATTGCATCTCTTGGCCTTCCATTGATTGGGATGATGTTGGCCTCTCAATGTGTCCTAGTTCTGCCCCTTGCCCGCTTTGTGCTCTCTTTCGGCCAGGAATGAATCGAGACATGCCTTGACTATGTGTGCTGGGTTCTTGTGAGTCTCCGAACCTGGCGAACAGGCCTCGTTTCTTTGGCGCCTGCTGCTGTGGCTTGTTGGTGGCATCATCGTTGAGGCCGACATCTTCGAAGCCTTCTTCAGCCGTGGGAGGCTCGCGATCAAAAGAGCGGTCTCTGACTGATGTTCTAGGCATGCGTGGGAAGCGCGCAGAGTCGAGACTTGTTCGCGCTGGGATATCATGCACAATGGGTGCTCTGGCAGTAATGTCCTTAAAAATATGGTGTTAATTTGGCCATCTGACTAACGCATCATTTGTGGGGTTTCCAAAGATAGGAGGCATACAAAGGACCGTCTGTACGAATCAAATGATTCTCGTGAGATGGAGAAATGTTCAATGTCGCCGAGGCTGCTTCGTGTATCCATCGACGTCCTCGTGGGAATACCGGGTCGTCGCGGCCAGAGGCCTTTCTCTTCGCTTGGCGAGGGCTACATTGCGTCAGCAGTCGAGATCTGGAAAACCGGAGGGGATTGCGACACCTACCGGGAGATAGACACCACTGTCGTTGACAACTAAAGAGGGAAGTGCTCATCAGTACCGAGTCCTCAATTGCGCATCATATTTGCATAGTTTCAGAGATCACGCCGGCGCATTACTCGCTACAGGAGGTGCGTGTGGTGCATACCGCTCATCTTGTAATCGCCATTGTCTCGGCTCTTGTTGCTTCGAATGCTCAGGGCAGACGAGGCCTTGGATCCGACGGTGTCGACCCGTTCAAAACCGGGATGTGACGCATCTTGTGCAGACAATAATTCGGGGCGAAAGTTCTCGTCGTTGCCAGCCTTCCTGGCAAAAGGGTTTCGAATCGGCATGATGGGCGAAACGGGATATGCGAAGCAATGCGAGGGCGATGCAGTGGAATAGAAGCTTAAGGCGCAATTGAGCTACTACTATCGTACGTGTTTGGCTGGGGTATTGTGGGTTTCCCGCTCGTTCGGGGCGAGTGAATGACGTGGGAGCAGCTCAAACAAGGGCTACTAGGTTGTGGCGTGGGTCTGGCCTCAATCGTGGTTGTTAATGGTCCTGCTTGGTATACGGGTATATGAGTTGAGATAGGTCAGAGAAGCAGAGCAGTAATTTCAACGACGCCGAAACGATTAGAGGAAAAGAGAGGAAAAGGTTGTTAGTTCTAGAAGCCGAGGCCGACTCAAGTGCCAGTTGGGAATACTAGTAGTCCCCTACCTACCTATCTGCGCCGTGCTACCAGCGCATCAACCCGCCTTGCCCGCCCCCATCAAGTCAGTTCTCCACGCGATCCATGACCCAATGAATAATGTAGCCAGCCTCGACTGTCCAATCCAAGGCCGGGGAAGTGACGATCACCCGGGACCATGGTGGGCAGTGCGACCGATCTCCTGGGCTCCAACCAAGCATGAAAATAGAAAGAAAAAAAAAGGAATGGGATCAGACTACCTTGGATGGAAGCTCTGCAACTTGGCACCCACCGCATTTGGCGGCACCGCTGACCTGACTGGCTGCTGACTGCAGGAAAGGGGAGCGAAGAAGCAAACCCTGCGTCTGTGGAGCGACAGACTTTTGGCTGCGGCCTGTCTGTCTGCTGTGATAGCAATTCAGTAGGGTATGTGTATGCTCATTGCCACACCGCAATCCTCCACAAGCAGACTCTTTCTTGCGCTACTCATCGCCCGCCCACATTTCCACCACCAGAGACCACTCACCAGGAACAAGAGAAAACGGACATGCAAGGGCCTGCCTACATTAGAGCTGCCCGTGACAGCGCTTTCCGCAGAGCATGCATGACTCGGGGGAGACGGCACACACACCCGTAGTAGTCAAGCAGCTGTGTACCTAGCAGAGTTTGACTTTTTTCCTTGGGTACACTATTCCATACCTGTCTTGCCTGTCTCGCCTGTCAACCGCCTGAGCCGAAGCATTTTTACAATGGGCTGTCTTTTGCAGAGTCGGACCTGCGTCTGATTTTGGCGAGGTGCGAAATCTATGAAGTCAATTCTTCCTGATTTGCACCGTTGCTAACGTTAGCCCTGCATCCAACAAGCCCGCCTATTCGACGCCTGGCGGATAGAGTTTGACTTGGGCCTTGATTAGTAGACACTCATTACGTAGCTGATGGTGCAGGAAATCTCACCAGAGACCAGACCTGCTTCTCTTCCTCGCCCTCTCAATTGCACGTGTGAGTCTCCAATGTGCCCGCCATCATATACCGACATACTCGGGCAAAATCTCTGCACATGCCGACGTCAGTCGGGAGCCGCTTACCAGAGAGAGACAGGCTGATCTGCTCTCGCCCGGGGCAGCGATCTTGTCCAACCCACCACCATTTGGTTATTGTGGTCAGGTAACTGACAATAGTGGTGAGATTGACATGGCACAGCATCATGTATGTCAAAAGAAGGCACTGCCCCAAATGACCGTTATGCTCCTCGAATCTTTGCATGCCTACTCAAAAGATACTGTAGAGAAACTCAGGTAAGTATCCACAAATCCATGGATGCCCGCCAGTTCAGGTCGACTGCATGCAATAAGGGTCCTTTGACTCCTTTCAAGCTATATTATCGAATCAACGACCAGCAAGACCTGCACTCCTTGCAGCCCGCATCTGACTCAGCTCACCAGTGCTCAGCATGAAAATAACAGAGAATCTGTGCACCAAAGGAAAAAAAAAAAGAATTCGACCATAACAGCTAAAAAGAAACTTCTTGTTCCGAGCCTTGCTGCGTGATAACTTATTAGCATGCCTTCTCTGACACCGTCGCGGTTTGGGATACTCGGGTTGACGTCATATCTAATAGACTCCAAATGCTGCATCAGCTTAACCTCTTTGCCGCAAGCCACAACTTTTAGCCCCGACTATTCCCAGTCATAGCCAGTAAAGTATGGTGACGAATACCACCGCAAAATACACACTTACCCCAAGGTACTCTTGCTTAGAGACCAAATCAACTCTATTCATGTCGCAGCCATTGTAAATAAGCTTGATTATTGGAGAAGCGTATGTCAAGAGTTCCGTCTTTTGAATTGTAGGTGGGAACACTAGCACCTGAAAACATAGAATTTGCATCTGAACATGCAGGCGGAACAATTGAGGTTGGTTAGTTGGTTTACGGCAATCAATGGTGAAAGCAGCCTGCACCATTGTCTCTTGACTTGGTGTATGTACATTCAAGACTCGACTTGCCTGCGATATGAAATGTCACTGCGTGAATTGTAAGTTTCTGCCTGCATTTCGAGATTGAAGCATGGTTCAGTGGTTGCGGGTAGCTGAAATGTAGGTAATGGCATTTGCTCGCGCACTCTTTTATTCACTTTCACTTGTCAAGGTATAAATCGTCGCCCACATTGACCAAAGATGGAAGATCAATGCCGTGGGCGACTTGTGGCCGTTAAATCGAAATCGATATTTCGGATGCAAGCTCCATCCAAATGTCCCAAAAATAGAAACAAAAGTCATGTGTATGATACACTGCAATTATCCACGAGGCGAAATAAAGCTCGGATTATTCACAAGAATTTCTTCTTCGTCGGGTCGAGGATTCCAATATTTACAACTCATTTCCTGGTCCATTGCGTAGAAAAGTAACAAATATTAGTCCAAAGGCCAAACCCAATACAGGCCTTTGTACAAAATCATAAAGGCCTGCAGCAAAGTGAAAATCACAATACCAATTCCAATCAGAGAAGAAAACATTGACTTCTAGGCACGCAGTCTTCAGTGACTTTTATCATACCGAAAAAGCAAAGTTCGTCACATTGGAAGTGGGCCAGGGTCGCAACGACGAAAGGAAAATCGTGTATCGTAGTAGTAGTCCGTCTAGCAAATACTGAAGACATTGCTTTCTACTACATGCGTCAACTTGAAATAGTTTTTTTTTTTTTTTTTTTTTTGCGCTCAAGACTGTTCTTACTTGAACCACAACAAGCGACACGAGACGTTGTTCCTATAATCTACACTCGACAGACGGCGGGCCTAGGCACTATACTAGAACGTTCATGAGTGGGCTCCACGAAAAGCGGAGCGATCTTGAGAGATCGACAGGGACAAGGACAACGCAGCCTAGCCCAGATGAACCAGGGACCATCGTCCGGGGACCCGAGCAAAAGCTAATGTTCGAGCCTCAAGTCCATGCTCTTGTTCGCCTGAGCACGAGTCCTTGGGCTAGGTTACTAAACGCCAAGGGACGGGGGTTAGAAGTCCGATGTTGAGCTGATGAATACGGCGAAATGACGAGTACAGTAGTCAAGAAATCGATCAAGACGAAAAGGTTCAAAGTGGGGGTCGTATCAGTACGTAACAACAAACAGATGTTTACCCTTCAACCTGGCAGTCGGATCGGGTGGATTTTCAGTATGTAGCGTGGCCAGGCTTTCATGTCAACATGTGGGAGTTTTCCAATATTTACCTACAAAAATTCCCGTCCGGCCTAGAATGATCCCGACGCTGTGCGACGGATGAATAGACAGACGTCTGGGGAGAAAAGGCTCGTGTTGTTCGAATGGACCGTCCAGTATCGGGCACGCAAGCATCTGCCGACCCAGATAGGGCTGAGTTCAGGTTGCCGTCGTCAGCTCCTTTCTTTCCATGAATATGTTCTGGAATGAAAACAGAAGCACGTTTGTTTTCATTGCCGGTTCCATTGGAGCGGCAGGAACAAATCGAGGTGGCCATCTTACTCGCGACCTGTTTTGCCGAGACGGAACGCATCGAGAATGTGCCGATTCTTAATTATGTTGTACCTGATCTTTCTCACCCTAGAGCCTGGATTAATGTGTACGAATACGTGCAATACCTCTTCTCCAGATATACCTAATACTCAGGCGAGCCAAACCCCCCAGTCAGATCTCAATTAAATTCCCGGCGGTCGGACCTAAAACCACGTTAGTCAACATTGGGACAGGTGAACAACCTTAGTTCAACCTGAAGCAATGGGTCCTGCCGAGAAATGGATCCTCTGCACACGGAAACGCAGGGCCAAGGACGAGCTCAGGCTTCTCAAAACTCTGTTCGTATTCACTCGATGCTTTTTCCTGCCTGCAAGGGCGATCATTGTCTCTTAGTCACTTGTCTAGAAGAAAAAAAAAACGGGAAACCAACCGACCCAACCAACCTGTAACCGGGGACGCGTACGAGCTGGCCAGGCCAGACCAACGGTGCAGCAAAAAAAGGCTTGCAGAGTTATAACAAGGTGCATTACCATGCCATCCTAACCTGCAATGGCATGATTGATGTATCTTGCTACATCCTATTACGGTGAAAGGAAATTGTGTACAGAGTACTCAACAGGTAACGCCATAACTTGCAGTTTGGTCACTCGAGCGACAAAGGGAAGGCAAACTCCCTCCGGTTAGGTAGAGGATCCGGGTAAAGTCGTGCTGGTTTTTCACCCGCCGAATCGCTCAGAGTCTGGACCGATCGAAGTTACTATAACCGACATGTCTATAGCAGAGCACGAGAGGGGCGTTATAGTAAGTTCCCACACAACATTGTATGCCCATCAGCGGGCAGCACTGCAGTCCTCTTTGCCCTCGTGGGCAGAACGTGGCCCCTGGAATAGCAATTCAAGCACATGAATTCTAAATTCTAGCCGCTTCGCTGACCCGTCACCGTTACACAGGTAACACGAGAACCAAAGGCCACCGCATGCGCGGCATAGCAAGCATAGGAGGAGGTACAATTAGTAGTGGCACCGTGCCCACGCCGGCCTTTGCCAGGGCATCCCCGGCTCCATATATCGTTTCCTTCAGTCTCGACTCTCGAGCAATTCATCATCCTGATGGACCTTTCGGGTTGCAGCCTCGAATGGGTGTACATTTTGCGCATGGGCTCTCTACCTTTGACAGGATCTACATGACCTAAGTGAATGCTACTGACAAGCGTCGTCTTCATATCCAAGGTATTTGCAAATAGACTATCCTCTAGTCAGTTTGGGAAACATACCGGCCAAGAATGCCCATCCATCATCCCCAACGCTCGGGCACGATCTGATCTTTCATAATTTGCTGTTGGTATCCGTGTTGCATGTCTTATACAAAACCCTCTGTAAGTCCCGTCTGACCGCTCCTGGCCGAGCCACATGGGAAACGGTGTGTCTGTCCAACTTCCTTTCGCCTTTTCGTTCTTTTCTGTTTGTTGCTTGCTGCACGATTGGATCCAATTGATCCTATCCCCTCGTTCGAGAACGTGCCGCTTGGTCCTGGGGTCCTTGCACCGGCTATATTCGCCTGCGCTGGTCTATTGACGCTCTGCAACGCAACCTCTACGTGGCTACAGAAGCAATCAATATTTCGGTACCCTTTTATTACTTTTTTTTTTTTTAACCCTTTGCCCTCATTGCCCTAAGCCAATTTCTCTTGATCCTTGCTGGCTTCAATTTCTTAATCGGTATTTTCACTCCCTTCGTTGCGACCCCAAAACGGTTTTCGGCTTCCTCGAATAGTCCAGCCTCGAGCAGTCAGTCCCGGTTGCACTAGGCCATAACATATATTCAACCCAGATCCTGCAGCGGGTCTGCTGTGATCAAGAGTCTCTTTCTCGCCGGTTGAGGACTTGAAATTAAAACGGCCACAGTACTTGGCTACTATTCTTTCATTCAGAGGAGAAAAAAACAACGTCAACTCTTATTCAATAGCACAACTCGTTTGTTGCCGCGCCATTCGTTGAGCAAACACAGCTCTCATTATCCTGTACAGAGCTGCTTTGAGCACAAAAGCTCGTACTCCCCAAGTTTGACAAAGCACGAATACTTTCGTACTTGGGTGTATTTGCTTCGTATTCTGCTCCGGCGGCTGTTCCGATCATTACACCATTCACCGCCCGACCTGCATGCACGTACGGCGCTTGCATTATTGAAGCTCCAACGGCTTCTCGGCCACACAAATTTCATCATCAGCTGCAAGCTGAGTGTTTCGGGACTGGACGACCGCCACAAAATTTCCCGCCGTCCTTCCATTATCGTATCATTTGGACATATTCCGTCATAATTCATTCTCGGCATTGCCTCGGCCGGCGGCTTCTTAAATACCATCTCTTGACCCCTCCTCGACTGCTCCTTCTAGCAAGCAGTGCCGCCCGCACACGTACACACACACACACGTACACATACAAACATACACACCAACAACATGACGGGCATTCGCTTCTTCACAAACTGGGAGTTATGGCAGGAAATGACTTTCGTAGGTAGCCCCATTAACTTACTTGTACGAGTTTGCAAATACTGATATCCTGGCCCAGGTCCTTGCCTGTGCAATCGTGCTCGTATTCTTTGCCGGTCTTGGCAAACTTTGGTGGATCAACAGATCAGTTCGGAAACATGAACAGCTCGACGAGGAGAAAAAGACAAGAATGTCTGAAATCGAAAAGGTCGGCATCCCCGCCAGGAGACGAGCAGAGATCCCATTTGGCGTGCGAGCTATCCAGAGCGGCATTGAGGTGGACGGAATCTGGATCTCGAGACCCGGCACGCCCAACTCACAAATTCCACCAGCTACATCGACCGTCACATTGACGTCCGAAACTGACCCCAAGGGCAAGGCCAAAGTGACAACAGAGGAGGCGAGCCCATCTCTGTACCAAAGTTCCGCAGCGAGTGTCATTGAAGGCGGCTCATCGCCTCCAAGATCACCAGCCACATATGCCCAGCAGACCTACAGACCCAAGCATGCGACAACCCGGTCGGCATCACGATTGAGCGAAGCACATACCGTTGGTTCGCCGAATGAGCTCGAAGGTGGTTCAGCGGAACGACCTGCAATCCAGACATACGTGCCAAGAACGACATTTGGGACAAGACCGTCGCCGACACAGTCATCCAGCCAAGGAGACCGTACCTCTAGCTCCTCGGAAGAAGCTTACATCCCTTCGCGTCAGTCTAGTATACGGACTCACTCACGGAACAAGAGCCCGTTTCCAGAATTCCGAGGATACTTTCCTGCATCTCCGCAAGGTTCGCCAGAAAACCCTTTTGCCACTCCAGAAGGAGGTCGGACTAGACAAGCAAGCGATGTATCAACATTTCGACTTCCCACGGGAGTGCAGAATGCGCCAATGTCAGCGCCTACACGTTCCTACTCGGGCGAGACTCATGCCAACCGGGCATCTCGTAGGGTGAATGAAGGGTTCGAAGTGCTCCCTGCAGGAACATTTGGGCCTGACCCGCCCGCCAATGGCAGCAATGTCGACCTGGAGCGTGGTGATGGGTCAAGAAGTAGCACGCGATACTCCAGACCCGTGCTAAACAAGTTGCAGAAGAGAGACAGCAGCCGTTGATGCCGATCAAGACCGATGCGGTATCACGATCGCTCACTTTAATGATTGTACATACGAGAGAACAGTCTCGCGGTTTGTGCATATGTTGAGACTGTTTGCTTCATTTACCCATATTGTATTAGACATACCTCTGGCTTTAGCGATCTGCATTGTAATCGAGAAAGGGGGGAAAAAGGAGAAGAGCACGGGTCTTGGGGGGAGAAACGCGAAGGAAAAGAGGACACTTTGGGAAGCTGCCTCGAGGATTTTGCTCTTTACATCCGAAAGGTGTGGATGAGTTAGATGGCATATAAATGAATGATAATGTCATCTTCCGAGAACGATTCTGAACTCACACTAAATAACTTACTCAGAGTGGTTCTACCTGTATGTGGACTCTGGAATTTGGCACTTGCAATTCTGGCATATAAGTCACAGTGATGAACTGGTCCGGCTGCAAATGAACCAGTATTTGAGAATATTCTATATAGGTATTTGCGTTCCGTCGAAACGTCAAACAGGCCAAGCTGAACAAGTCTAAAGGCAGCAGCTGACTCTAGGCGTTCAGCGCAAGACGAAAGTGAAGGAGTCCTGCAAACGTTTAGTAATTGATGCCCCCACAGCTCCTGCCTAAAGTCAGGTGACAGCGCTACTCGAGCGCGTGGCGAGTCGTCTTAGAGTCTTGTTGTTCTAGTGGGGCAACTCGCCAATCATTTAAATTGCCCCCAGACTTTTGAACGCGTTCGACGCGCTTCAGCTTCACTCCCTCTGTATTGGCCATCATCCAGGGAAAAAAAAAAACAAATTGGTTCCCTCACTTTTTCCGACACTACGCTCGTTCTACTGCAGTTTGCGCACGTATCGTTTCAATCGTCTATTCCCCAGCGGTTGTGAAAGATGGCGGAGGAATACGATGAAATGCAACATGGAGAGGGTGACGAGGGCGATGAGAGCGGTATGACCGGTCCTGGCGCCCCAACTCCTCTCTCAGCTCTCGAGGTAAGTCAACACCGATTTTCAGTCAACTGACCCGTCAACACTCTCCTGACTTGCTCGATAATAGGGAGTTGCTGGTCTTACCAAGCGTGACATTCAACTAGTCACAGATGGAGGTTACCAGACAGTAGAGTCTGTTGCCTACACACCCAGGCGGATGCTGGAGCAGATCAAAGGTATTTCTGAGCAGAAGGCTGCCAAGATTTTAGCTGAAGGTAAGTCATCTCGTCATGCAGGCCCATTGTCTCTCGAAAGCTAAGAAATTCTTCCCGAAAGCCTCGAAGCTCGTGCCGATGGGCTTCACCACAGCCACCGAGATGCACCAGAGGAGAAGTGAGCTGATCTCCATTACAACTGGCTCCAAGAACCTGGACACTCTTTTGGCCGGTGGTATCGAGACCGGCTCAGTTACTGAGCTGTTCGGCGAATTCAGGACAGGAAAGAGTCAGCTGTGCCATACCCTCGCAGTGACCTGCCAATTGCCTTTTGACATGGGCGGTGGTGAAGGCAAATGTCTCTACATCGATACCGAGGGCACATTTAGACCGGTCCGTCTTCTTGCCGTTGCCAATCGCTACGGTCTGTCTGGAGAGGAGGTCTTGGACAACGTTGCCTATGCTCGGGCATACAACTCCGACCACCAGCTGCAACTGCTCAATCAGGCATCACAGATGATGTGCGAAACGAGGTTCTCGCTATTGATCGTCGACAGTGCAACTGCACTCTACCGAACGGATTTCCTGGGTCGAGGCGAGCTATCATCACGACAGACACATCTTGCCAAGTTCATGCGTACACTACAGAGACTCGCAGATGAGTTTGGTATTGCAGTCGTTATCACCAACCAGGTTGTAGCCCAAGTCGATGGTGGACCTAGCTCCATGTTCAACCCGGACCCCAAGAAGCCTATTGGTGGCAACATCATTGCCCATGCCAGCACAACCAGAATCAGTTTCAAGAAGGGTAGAGGAGAGACTCGTATTGCGAAGATCTACGATAGTCCTTGTTTGCCTGAGAGTGATTGTCTCTTTGCCATCAACGAGGACGGTATTGGCGACCCGTCGCCAAAGGATATGGAGAAGATGGACAGGTAGCGTAGTCATTTCATGACGACTTGACAATGCACCTAACCATTACCATTTCCCGACTGATGTGGATTGCGATGAGAACACGATAATGCTGGATTGGAGGATATCACTATTGCATGGCTATGGCGTTTCTGATGGGTTGCTAAATACTAGAAGAACCTTGCTGTTTGAGCTCAAATTTACATTAATTCATTACGTGCATTATACCTACTACAAATGCTTTTGAAGAATCACATGATATAATCCAACTTTCTTTTCCTCTTCTCTTTTTGGAGAATTCGAATTTGAAATTAGGATATATCATAATAATTTTGAATTGACGGAATATTTATATTTTAGAAAAAAAAAAAGTTGTTTGACATAATTCTGTTCCAAGGTTTCAGCACGGCTCGTTGGAGCCCAAGTGGCACCAGGTGCCACGCCACCCGCGCAGAGCTCTGCCAGCTCCCCCAGCAACTAAATGCACTATTCTTCCTCAAGCTCCTCCAAGCTTCAAGATTCGCGTGCCAAATAAATATTAGGCAAATTCCCAACGTTCGTGTTTACAGCAGTCGCAAACTGCACCGACCACACCAAATTCCTTCGCGCGGCCTCAGCGCAGCCTAGATGGGTGCATCATGGCTCCTAGAGATCCCTTGTACCTCCACAAGGAAACTAGACTGAACCTCGAGCCCTCATCGCCCGCGCTGGTTGTCGACCTGAAGCTGTCGGCTGGCAGCGCCAACGGAAGAGGTATCAAGCGACCCAATGGAGGAGACGAAGACGACAAGCTCTTCCGCAAGAAGAACTGCGCAACAGCCTCGTCGGTATACCACAGAAAACACCATGCCGAACCGAAAAGCTTTCTCTGGCGCGTCCTAGATGGCAACACACTGCTGAGCATCCGCTGTATCGACGTTTGCAAGACCAAGAAAGCCCCAGACGCCAGCCTGGTCCTCAACTTACGATTCTCGCAACCCATACGACCCACATGCCTGGCACTTTCTGATCCACGCGATCATGATGCCCTCAGTGTCTTCGTCATTGACGAATCGAACCAGCTCTACACCATCGTCTTGAAGCCAGAGCATTTCCGAAAGCGCTCGACTGCCGAGATAGCGGACGCTTGCAAAATTCAGACAATACAGGCATTAGGCTTCAAGGCGCCGCATTGCTTGGTAGCTGCCGACGACAACTTGCTGGTAGTGACTACTCATGATGGCGGTATCATCAGATTAGACAGGAGCAGGAATCACGACGGTACGTACAGGTACATCTCTCATTGAGGTTTGCTGGGTCTAATATAACATAGTATCGCACCAATCATGGAAGGAAACACAATTTGGCTCCAAAGGATGGGGACAGAGCTTTCGCGGATTTCTAAAGGGCAGCCACACAGTGAGGTATGGCAATATTGACATGGACTTGAATGCTGCCGCATCAGCAGCCACAACCGATCTTGGTCAATACGATAGTTCCTTCCTCCTGACGGTCTGCTTGGACCACCGACTACGAATTTGGAACCTCGAGAACGGCCACATTTTCCATACACAAGATATCCTCCAGGCGGAACGTCACCCCCAGGAGATTGGAAAGTGGACCATTGACCCGGCACAGAACAACCTCATCAAGATCGTTGGAGCGACCGAAGGAAAGCGCCTGTGTGTGACCTATTCTCCAGTGGGTGCCGGGGAGTTCAAGTTCTGGAAGCTTGAGGCAGATGCTGAGGAGGGTGGCATAGCAGTCGATTCCTACTTCAAGACTTCACAACTTATTCCTCCTCCTCCGCCGGGCCCAGATGTCTGGACATTGGCAGATTTTACGGTGGCCCAGAATGGTCCCAAGGGTACACAGCTTTGGGTTATGTGGAAGAACAACATGACATACCGGGTGCAGCACGTGTCATTTCTACCCGAGGAGATCGATGAAGCATGGCGCGACGGATGGTCTGGTGTGTATGCCGAGAATTCACCCGTAGCAGCGCAAACATCCAGCCCATGCGACCCCACCGATCCAGCCGAGAAGTGGTTGCAGCTTATCCTCTACCCCGGCCGGTTCACCAATGCTACGCTTGAGACCGCACTCACTATGTACGAGCAAGGTCTTGGTTTGACGAGAGATTCAGCGGCCCGGCATAACAAGGGCCTTGCCGAAGCCATCTGCTCTGTACTTGGATCCACCCTGTCTCTCGAGCGTAGTTCGTCTGCGTCTGGTGGCATGGATTATGACAGTTTTCGAAGCGCCAGCGAGCTGCAGTGGCGCCGCTTCTACAGGCTCATTGAATTGCTGGATAAGCAACGAGGTGAAGCGCTCTCGCTATCGTATGAGCCTTCATCTGGCCTCTCCTGGGTTGTATGTGCAGACAGTCTGTCTTCACTCAGGGAGTGTAGCCGGCTGGAGCAAATCTGCCACAATCCGGCAACCCGTCACGAGGAACTCGAAAATGTGTCCTTGCTTATATCTACCGGCCTCAACTTTGTGGATGGCTTCTCGGACAGCATGTTGGAGATATGCAATTCGGTGTTGCGTTCGGAGCTATTCGAGAATTCAACCAAGACGGAGGACGAACGCATCCAATACTTTTCGGACAAGGCGGCCTTTTGGCGGCAGACATCAGATGAAGACTGCGCCCAGGTCACTGACGCTTTGGGCCCAAATTTCTCTCTGATCACTTTGGATCTATACCAAAGAACGGTCCAGTTGATGAAGGCCACAGAAGATTCACAACGAGAGCACAGATATCCCTTGACAGATTTCGGACGGAAACTGGCTGTCAAGGCTATTCAAGAGCTAGTCGAGCTCCAGTGGAACGTCTGCTTCAGCCAGCTCATCCTGCTGGTCCACATGGAGTTCGAGTTCGACACCCCAGAGGAAGCGCTTCACAACAGATTAGACATCGGTACTGTGTACAGATATCTGATCAGCTGCCTCCAAAGACTGTCGCTTGTGCGATGGCTGGTCAAGACGCAACTCCCACTCCCTCTGCAAAGCGTTGAAAAGCCAGATTACGCGGCCGGCCTCTCACCAGCTGCCTCAAAACGCCACCCGGAAGAGACGCAGATAATAACGGCATTTGAGGGCCTAGCTGGTCATCTTTTGGGAACAGCCGCGATTGACGCTATGCCTGCTGCATTGACATCGATCGCAACAAATCTTCTTGCAGAGAACAGTGATACAGCACTCCTTCCCCAATACTTTCAATGCGCTTTCCTCATGTGGAATAGACCTGATTTGGCTGCCGAAATCAGCCCCTACTCAGAGCAGGACCCGTTCTCAACATATGTGCAAGGACGAGTGCACCTCGGTTTGAAAGACTTCACCGCTGCAGCCAGTTATTTCAAGAAGGCAGCATATGGTTTAAGTAAGCATCCACCTCTTGTGATTCTGGCATCAATCCGCTAATAAATGACATAGGTCGAGCGATCAAGAATCCTGACAAGCACAGCAGTGGTCTTCTCAATGATACTGAATGGAGACTCTTCTACTGCGGCATGCCACAATACTATGCTCACGTCATTTCATTATTCGAGAAGGTACGGGCATACTCATTTGTGGTGGAATTCGCCGGTCTTGCCCTTCAGTTTATAAACCACACAACCAAAGATGCCGCCTCAATCAAGACCGAAATACAGAGCCGACTCTTCAACGGAGCTGTCAACATCTCACATTTCGATCTGGCGCACACGACACTGGTGGCCATGACGAACCGCGCGCTGCAGCGATCATTACTCCGGACTCTTATTGAGAAGATGTGCGATGGTCTCCATACCGCCGAGCTTGTCGAGCTCCCATTTCCAAACCTGGAGAATTCAGTCGACGATATCCTGGCACAACGATGCCGAGATACTATCGACATCATCACGGACAAGCCTTGGCACCAAATTCTCTATTCGTGGCGCATCAAGCGCAATGATTACCGTGGTGCCGCAGCCATCTTGCTTGATCGCATCAACAAGCTCCGGCAGCGACCTGATGCCGACGATGTGATCAGTGACGATGTCCTCGATACTGTCGTCACAAGACAGTATCTCATGCTCATCAACACACTGAGTTGTGTCGACGAGAAGCAAGCGTGGATCACTACCGAAGGCGCCGACAATAGTGATAGCCTAAAGGCTTCAGTATCCGGCTCGTTTGGCGGACTTGGAAAGAGAAAGGTTGTCACGCTTGCCGATATTCGACGTCAGTACCAGGGTGAGCTTGACCGCATTTCGGCCATCAGTGGTGATCAATGGCCATTGGTCTCAATGGACGGCGAGGAGATGGATCTTGAAGGTTGAGATCAACATGGCAAAGTTTGGTCTTTTTAGGGAGAAATGGTTACGTAGCATGTAGGAAGAAAGAGACCAAGGGGCCCTGCACTATTATTCAATTACAGGGAATTGCGTTGCCAATTTATTCATATCAGGCGAATGGAAACGGTACGGTTCAGAGGGGCAAAATTTTACATTTTTTATTTGCTTTTTGAAATTAGAGAAGTCGGTCTTTGGGACGCCTTGATCTTTTCTGAAAGAACCATGAACGCCGTGCCAATCAATCAAAGCTGCTGAATTCTCTCGGCCAGAAGAACCCTTTGGGATATCACCTATAGTATTGGTCACTGGCCCATTGAAGGGAAACCACTTACAGCCAACGTCCCAGCTATTACTGTCTCAGCAAGATCTCGGCGGAATCAAACTATGATTAGCGCTCCATCTGCTCATGGTACGTGTGAAACGATGATTATGAAGCCTGCCTAAAGCACTATTGGGGAATGCAGCGGAGATGGGATTTGAGATGATGTGAAACCCCCTGCTCATGGGCGGCTGCGTCGGCGCAAGCCCTTCACACCAGTGACTCGTATTATGGTCCCAGATTCGCATCTTTCGTGCTGTGCATGTGGCTTTTACGCCTCAACGGGTAGTGGTTTCGGTCCAGAAGGCTCCGCACGGCCTTCGGGCACAGATTGAATCAAGGGTTGGTTGCCAGCAGCCTCGGGTGCTTGCCGATAAAGAATAATCTCAGATTGCTTAAAGTATCGTCGCGCATCTTCGTCAATGAGGACCAGGGAAAGGTAATAACGAGTGGAGAACTTCTTGTTGACGTCCCGGAAAGTTGGCGTCAGGTCAAAACCACCGAGGAAGAGGCGGATCGGAATGGTCTCGCCACGGGATGGGGAGCCGTCCATGATCTATAGTTGAAGAAAGTCAGTCAGTACCTTGCGAGGTGTTAATCTTGTAATAGGAACCGTGAAGTCATACCTCAAATCGCACCAACGTTTCGCTCTCGTTGTACTGATTTGGAGCGGCGCCCGTAGTCTCGCGGCGGATGATGCTGAGCTCCATGTGCTTGATCTTGAGGCGCACGAGCAGGAAATAGATGCGGCCAACTATGACATCTTTGAGATGGTATTTGCTCTTGCTGTACTCGAACTCGATGTGAAGGCAGTCTTCGATACCCACGTCCATCTTGATGCTACTATTCATCTCGGGCGGGATGCGGTAGCTATACACCCAAAAGTCCTTCTCGCGGATGACGTCGGCCATGCGCCTGGAGACAGTCACGCGCACAAAGTAGCGCAACTTGACATTGATGCCATTGTATGACTCGTACTGCTTCTCGACATTTTTGAAATTAAAGTCAAAGGTCTGGGGATGCTGTAGTTCGCCTGGCGCCGCCAACTCCTGGTTCAGGGAGAGAAATTCGTAGTGATTACCGCGATCAAAAAACATTTCTGTAGTAAGGTGGCAGTCAGTACGGTGTTCAGTTGGCGACCTTGCCTCGTTGGGCTTCGTATGCGCTCATGGGGTCGGTGGTCAACTGGAACATGGCAGAGCCTACACTCAGCCGACGACAACCTCTTTAGTACATACCTATTGTACCAATAAATTGCACCTTGATGCCAGTATGCTCTAACCTCTTGCCATCCTTTGGTCTGACTGTCACGGCGCCCCTGACCGACTCGCCGTCCATGTATAGAGGGGCCTTTTCTCTCCTGTTCTTGTCAAGCTTGACATCGACCATCTGCCGGTTATCGGCGTCCTCCAGGACGATGTCAATATCCACCGGAGTGGAAAAGAAGTACGACATGATGGGCGTTTGGAGCTGCTCGATTTGTCGTCTCTGGTTGTGCGCCGGCTGGAAAGGTTGGCGATGTCGTTGAGAAAGGGAGCTATCTCGAAGGAGCTCGGTCTATCCCACTGTAGCACCACTCTGCGATGGGTGACCTTGGTACCGCGATTGCGCTTGGGCTGACAGGTCCAATGGCCGGAAGCCTGGGGGTGGGCTGGCTTCGACCCAAGCTGTTATGGGGTGGGATTGACCAGCCAATGAGATGCCAGTCTGGTGCGGACTGTTCGATGCCTGGGTAAACTGGTAGCTAACGCAGTTTTTAAACCAGTATCAAGAAACGCAGCTCTAGCAGGTTTAAAAGTTCGTCGAATTGATATATTGTAGACAAGCCTGTAGTGGGTTCAGACCAGTAACCGGGTCAGATTTATGTTATGTTGATTCACGGTTGAAGCTTCATGCAACGAGCGCTAAATGGAATATACCAGATTGCTTCAATAGAGGGGAGCAACTTGGGTGATGAGCGATGGCGACGGGCCTCAATATGCGGGCCAGCCAAGCAGCGGTACGTACTCCCAAAAAAGGAACTGGGCGATGACGATAAAATTGGTCAGTGCGTTGACAGGCCTTGAGACAAAAAAAAAAGTGGTCGGTGGATTTTCTAATGGAAGGAAGGAAGAAAGTGGCTTTGGCCAAATCGTGGCTGTGGGTTTCTGTGGCTGACCCCGCGCACAAGCCACGAATTCCGGGTCGGCTCTTTCCCAAAACCCTACGCACAATTTCGCAGCTCAAATTTTAGGGATCTCAGCCAAAGGCGTGGAACCTCGAAAAGTTCAGTTCGACCTCACACCACCGCATCGCCAATCCTTCAGGTACGGACAGTCCACCCCAGCCCTCGACATCTATTGCCGACCATCAGTTTCGCATCGACTATCTCTGTCGCTCGACGCTTGGTCAATTTCGGACTCAAAGTTTCGTGACGATTTGCTAACTTGCGCCCGCCGGATTTCAGGTCGATTCGCCCAGCCAGGAAAAACCGACAAGATGCGTTACATCCACAGCGAGGAGACTCTGGAGGTGCCTGAGGGCGGTACGTCGCCCAACTCTCGAAATTATCGCGTCGTTGCTGCCGATTGAGTGTCGAGCCTCCGCTCAGGATTGCGGAACTATTTCTACAAACACTGGGGGAAATAGACAAATCGTATAGGCAGCAAGGCGCGCGGTGGATGAGAACAAGAGTGCTGACATGACTATTCAACAGTCTCCGTCCAGATCAAGGCCCGCAAGGTCACCGTCACCGGTCCCCGAGGTACGGATAACCCGAAGAAGTGACGGCCGCTCAATCCGTCTCTTTTACATGCACCAGAGCACGAACAGAGAAATTCTAACACTCACGACAGGCAAGCTGTCCAAGGACCTGTCCCACTTGGCCGTCTGCTTCTCCCACCCCAAGAAGAACGTCATCGGTATCGAGATCCACCACGGTGCCCGCAAGAACGTTGCCGCTCTCCGTACCGTCCGCACTCTGATCAACAACTTGATCATCGGTGTCACCAAGGGCTTCAAGTACAAGATGCGCTACGTCTACGCCCATTTTCCCATCAACGTGAACATCGACAAGAACTCCGAGACCGACCTGTACGAGGTTGAGATCCGCAACTTCATTGGCGAGAAGCTGGTCCGCAGAGTCGTCATGCGCTCTGGCGTCGAGGTCAAGGTCTCCGCTGCCCAGAAGGACGAGCTTGTTCTGGAGGGTAACTCGCTGGAGGACGTCTCGCAAAGTGCCGCCGACATCCAGCAGATCTGCAAGGTGCGAAACAAGGATATCCGTAAGGTACGTTGCTACTGGCTCCCCTCTCCGAAATGCTCTGTGTGGCGAAATCGATGTGGCTGACATTGATATAGTTCTTGGACGGTATGTACGTGTCGGAGAAGGGTAACATTGTTGAGGAGGCTTAAATGGAATGAAATGGATGTCAACGGTTTCTTTGCTGCTTTCTGGGTCTCAATAAGGAGTGACCGGGGTTCATACATTGCATCTGGACGTAGCGGATATGGCTACGAAAAATGAGAGAATCCTTTCCGAAGCAACTTTACGACCACACCTATGCATACACCATGTGCTCAAAGGGGGAAGAGATTCGAAATGCCACACTTCATGGCTACAGCAAGCAGGCCTCTGAGATGTTTCCTTGGTCCAATTCAGCCGGATCTCAGTCTTCCACTGTGGCTTGTACAGCGCGGCCATCAGAGTTCATTCAAAGTCAAACGGCGCAACTGAACGATTGCATCGCGTAGCGAGCAATTCACAGGATCGGGGCTGAGACTGAGAAACCTTTGATGTGAATGAAAACCTGTCTTTCGAATCCAACAATGCGATTAATGTTTACTTGGTGCTAACAGGGATGGTGCATTTGACTATTATGATTATAACCAGAGTTGTCATTCCTTTTCCACAGAACAGAGCTGGCAAACAACATTGGCGTTGTACATCGTACAGAAGTCACTGTCCCATTCGTTCGTAATATACAAACTTGGGTGTCTCTGCCACTGACTAGGAAGACGATCGTGGGCCATCAGTGTTTGTACGTCAAATGTTGCCGGCTTTCACTCACCCTGACAGGTTCTGCTGCATAATTCAGGAAACTCAGGCTTTGCCCATGAACTACTACTTACTATCCGTGCATCTTTTCACGATCGATTGCATCAGACGGGCAAATTGCTGCACTGCGTGAGATATATCTACCCGAAGAACGAATCCCACTCGAAGCGCTTAGCTGAGACATGATCAAGTTCCCAACAACCATATGTGTCTGCCTTTGTAAAGCGATGATGTTGGTGTCATGATACATGATACACAAGACTGTGAAAACTGGATCAAGTATGATGAGCGTGTATATCTGGAGTATGTGAGATGCCCAACTTGATCAGAGGCAGTTGAGTCTCAGTTTCAAGTTTCAATCTACACGGTTCTCACAAATGAAAGAAGCATTCTGCGGACGGCCTGCCTTCCATTCAGACATTGACTTGATCTCCTACGACGCTCTTATGCAGTCCTTGTTTATTTATGTATAAGGGTATGTGGTGTGCCATGAGCAATATTGGCGACCATTCAAATTTTATCTACCAAATCTGTCCCCGTTTAATCATACCACTTCTCCCATTCCACCGGAACGGGTTGATGTCTCGTTATTACAGCACAATGTCGGTCTCTTTCATCCTTGGTCATGCTAAGACCTCTACGGATTTAATGGGCTTCTACAATTGGTGGAACGGCTCAAAGTCGGTTGGTCCAGAGATTTTGTGCTGTAGTCACTATCAAGGTATGCGCAGTCAGACTAGTCGCAATTCAAGTCGCTGCGAATAAACGTTGAGATGGGTATATCTATTTGCAACTCATATCGGACCAGATTAGATAGAAGGGGTAATCTGGTTTGATGCATTCCTAGTATTGGGGTCCATAAATGGCTTTCGACATGCTCATTTCTCTGGGCCTTACACAGCAACGACTTTGGGAAAGACCATATGTGGAGTTGTTCTGCCATCGAGAAAGTGAAGGAGTCGAAGCCGGGAGTGGATGTGTCTCAGGATCCATGTCACTCAAAATTTGCTCAATAGATATATGAAATTCATAGCTGAAAAGCGTTCTTTACCTTTTTGAATTACATGTCCCTTTCCCGGAGTCGAGGGAAACCGAGCGTGGTGGCCAAACCTATACGATCCGATATATCAAGGATGAAATTCAATTATTCCAAACTCTTTTCTATCACTGAATTTACATCTCGAGGTGATTAGGCATATACAGAACATTACCGTGATATTACTGTCAAAATTGGCGCACTGGGAGGCGGCTGATCTTTTTATGTGGCGAAGCCAGTATACATGAGTACAGCTCTGGTGAACAAGAGTCGCCGTCTTATCTGAATCTAATCAACTTGTCACGGGCATAACAAGTTGAGCTGATATACCTTGAGGACACTGAAGTAATAAACCTGTAGGCTGAAATCACGTAATGACATTGGAGAGAATGTAGTTGGCCTTTGCATGGCTGGATTCTGGTAGATCACCCATGGGATATGAAATTAGCCATCCTTATCCATGATACATGTTGATATCGTGCTCGCCTTTCCAGCCAAGATCCGAATAGTGAACATCATCCCTCGGCCTAGTGCTGACGGAAACCTTCAGGCAGCAGTTTGTCTCGAGTAGGTTGTGTCAAAACCATCAGCACAAGAGATTTATTCAGCTTCGGGCATCTTGTCCAGTCCTTGATATACAAGGCGTCTTGAGAGCTGATGATATAAATCTATGCTAAGAGTAGACACACTGGCACTAGATATTCTCAACAGCTGCAAAAGTTTAGCATCGGAATGAGAGACATTCATCCATCTCGAATATTTTTTCACGTCGGGGTAGTCATCGGACACATTGAACATTATACTGTCTCATCAAGCATTCATTCGAAACCGTTGGCACTCGGTAAACGCTACCAAATCGAAGGCGAAGGGGTGCCTGCTGAATGCGAGTTTCGTCTTTAAATCATCAATTTGGTAATATGTTGACATGATCTCATTCTCGAAGGCGCAGGATATGAGAATGACGAAGCAATCAAGGCAGTGAAAGTGGCATGTACAGTTTGGAGATACGTAGAACGCTTAGAAAATCTAGATCGTACTCGAACAGGGCGCTCCCCTGGTGTCTTTATATACATTCAGTCTATTTATATCCAGTGAATTCTCAATTTCATTTTGTTTGACGCTGCATTCCTAGTCATGGTCTTTGGCCCTGTGTATACTTTCCATTACACACTTGGCCCTTCATACTCTCCAGATCGTGACGCCTCATTCGAATTCGTACTCGTTTTTCGTCGCAGCCGTCTCTCGGGCAAAGAAAAGAACAAGGAAAACGGGAACCCCAGCTACTCTCAATAACGTCTATATGGGAATCGAAAAGTGAATAAACGATTAAAACAGAAAAATATGCCAATGAGTTTCCTCTGCAGTTCCAACGCCGATTTGCTGTGCTATTATGTGCAATGCTTTGGTGTATGTGACAAGGGGGATCTGATGAATGGACAATCTAGTAAGGTCATGCACTTTATATGACGCTGTGCTTCGAGGGTCTCTACGATCTTCTCGTATGTCTCGAGGTTCTCCTTGATGTCCTCGTCGCGTGCGACTGTCTTGAATGCCGTGATTGCCGCGTCCTCCTATCGGAACTAGCACTACCTGTTGTGATGTGTCAGTGTATCGCTCACCACAGAAACTTGCTCGCCTCTTGAACGATAAAAATAGGCAAAACTTACTAGGAGTGGTTGCCGTATAAGAGTCAGTGTAATACGAACTGCTCCAGTCGCTTCTGCTCCTTGGTGGTCTTGAGCTGGCGACCTTGTGCTGCTCCTTTTGCTTATCGCTCCGCCTCAGCCCCAAGAGCAAGAGGGCAGCACCACCAGCGGTGGCCAGCCAACCTGCACCACTGCTCTTCTTTTCTTCCTTCCTCGAAGCCACAGTAGACGGGCGGCCGCCGCCAGCTCCGCCGAACCAAGTCCGATGCGCGGGTCGAGCGCTGCCGTGCCGCGAGTATCGTTCTTCGATAATCTCGGTCCGTTCCTCCTTGCTGTGTCTCTTCTTGTTGCCGATGCCGAAAATGGCCAGGACTGTGTGCCAAGCACCGCGAAGAATGCAGCAAAAACACAGCAGCAGAAGTAGGATAACACCGGCAATAGTTCCAACCACAATACCTGCAATGGCTCCTCCACTGAGAGAGTTGTTTGAGGTGGTGGACACGGCCGCAGCTCCTGTACCGGTGCTCGTTGCCGTGGCGCTGGCTGCTGTGCCTGTGCCTGTAGCTGTAGACGTAACTGTGGTCCCAGTGCCGGTCACTCGGTAAGGTGCGGAAAAGGCAGTGGTCACGACGGTGGCAGTGGTTCCGACTGTTGTTCCAGTGGTCCAGGTGCCCACACCAGAGTTGGCAGAACATTGGCCACTAAAGGCACAATATTGCCAGTCAGCGCAACAAATGGTACCGCAAGCAATCTGCCCAGAGCCATCAGGAGGCACACAGTCCTCGCCGTCGGATCCGCTCGATGCGGGGGTCGTGGCTCCTGCAATGTAGGAACTCCAGGTGCTGGTATAAGTGACTGTCCATGTCGTAGTGCCGGCAACATATCCACCTCCCGCTGTACATGTTGCTACGTTGTTTGAAGTAACGCATGTCTCGTCCGAGCTGCAACAGTACTGATTTGAGGCACCGCAGTAAGAATCGCATGCGCGGTTCATGAGGTAGCCGAATCCAACATCGCGAAGGTCATCGCGGGGAAACGGATTGGCGGAGACCAGATTTGCCAAAAGCAGGCCGGCGAAGGCTGCAGGCGAAGACCGATGCAGTTGCATGATATTATTTTTCTGAAGACTGCCGGTACGTGAGCCGGGACTTGCACCTGCCGGTTTTTTCCCCCCTTTCCCTTTCTTTCGACTCAATGACGGAATCGAGTGCTGAATCCTGGAATGCGCTTGTCTTTGAGGTTGGCGATGCGGCCCACTGCTGCTGCTGCTGCTACTACTACTACAAAAACAGAGTGTGCACACCCAACTCAACCGAATCAAAATCGGTGCGATCAGCTCAGCTCAGCTTGCACCGGCTGAACCCAGCAAGAGCGGCAGACTCCAGGCGGCTGTTGGAATGGGGATTTCTCCGTCCGTCCAAGCCCAAACACAAACCAAAAATTCGCAAACTGATGGCGGGATATTGGCTTGAGACCTTGCGTCCACAACCTTAAAGTGTGGGTGAAGCTCCAAGCAGCCGGTGTCTTGATCCTGAACCACAATGTGGGATGTGGGATGAACTGACACGGCGGCCAAAACTCTAAAGGTGATGGCGATGATGATGATGAGACAGACAGAGGGAGTGGGAGGGAAAAAAAAAATTAAAGATTGTGTCAATTGAGAGTTGAATTCAATCAGACAGACTTGTTCGATATTGTGAGGGAGTAAAAAAAACTGGCTACTGCAGGTCTTGCATTTGGATGCGTTGGTGCTTCCTTTTTCCCTTTTTCCATGATTTTTTTCTCTCTCTTCGCTCTCTATCTACCCTCTCGTCTGGGCAAGTCAGGCTTGGTAATACTCCCCAACCACCCAAAAATGCTGCTTGTTGCCCAAAAAGTCGCGGGGTCGGGGAGCTTCACTTACAAGCGACTACCGCGTAGAAGTGCTGTCATAGGCGGGACCTGGGAGTCGTGACATGGGGGGAAACAGAGGTGGCTGGCAGAACATGGCCAGGGTCTGTTTGGACGAACACGATGGCGTCAAACCATTATTCCATTTCAGCAGCTTGTGGGAGGGAAATAGAATAATACTTTTTGGTTTAGTCAGGGGCAATCTGTCTGCTTAACCTTGCTTCCATCCCTGCTTTCTAGGGAAAATAACCATACATCAAAACAATAAAATCAATTGTTTGTCCTCTCTCTCAATGTGCGCTGGTCATATTCCCGTATTATGGAGGGGCCTCACTTGACAGCGGAGTCTCGCGTCTGAGTTGGCACAGACCTACCTGACCTAGGATCTGCAGAGATCTGGATCTGCCGCTGATTTAGCGGGTCCAGCGCCTACCTTAATGGTACCTTAATCGAGTGCCCCGAGCCCGCCTGCTCATTGGCGTGTTGGTAGCAGGTAGGTCATGGACACTGTGTTGACGGGGCGACGATTGTTTCATTGAACCAATAGGTGCCTAGGAAACATTTTGACAGTTGGGCGCCATGGATTATTCGCCCGCTATTACTATACACCTGGATATGTTGCATTGCCCTAGGTGATGGCATACGCACAGTCAGGACTCAATCTCTCTTCGCACATCTTTGTACCTCGTACGCAAGACACCATATATAAGTGCATCTCCTTCCCTCCGTCATGTCCACTTGATTTTCGCCATCGCCTTACGGTCCCTCCTGAACTCTAATCATTTGTATGGTAGCACTATACGCGTACGCCGATCGTCAGACATCACTTGTTGCTTCTCATAGTGTACAGTATTCTACTACCTATGTAGTATGTAGTGGGTTACTTGCGTCTCCAGTCGGTCGTTCGTGTCTCAAGAATGGATCCTCCGACATTACCCAGCCACGAGTCCACGACATTCTCTTACTGGTCTCCTTCAATGCGACGACGCAATTCAGTGATTATGATGTCGGAAGTTTTTAAAATAGAGAGCCTTCACATCGACCCAGCGTCGTCGAATATGATGGATGTACTGCATTATTTACGAGTCATTTGATAATCGTGGTGCGCTGATACCGGGGCAAAGATGATGTCACAGATGGGTTAGAGCTAGATATACCTCGCCCTTACACACAATCCTACATAAGCCGTTTCCGTGCTCACTATAAGAAGGGAAGAAAGAAGAAACTAACTGCTTCTTGTTCTATATGTTGGAATGATGGCACTGGATGGTATAATCTCGATGATTTTTGTTTTTATTTTTTGAGATTTCCTACAAGGATATGCGGTTGCCATCTTGCTTCGTATACAAACTGCATAAATTTGATCATGCCGGCCTGCAATCAGCTCGTGCCAATCTACAGGCCTGGACCTGTGAAAGCATTGCTTGGACATTGAATGGCGCGATCAATCGTATTACAGAAACATCAGAATAGACTCTTGATAGATCTGATGTTGGGAAAAATGTATATCTATTACCCCCTCGGCTGTCACTGGCGCACTTTCAAATGTGCTTGATATAGGATCTTTTGTCCTTTTTGTAGAAGAGAGTCAATAATAGGGAAGCAGGTACGAGTAATATCAAGCCGTAGCTGGTGCGATATATCTTTTTACCCCCTAAAATAGGTATGTGCATTTACACTGACCCAAAGAATTTATTGCATCCTGTGTCAGTGCGCAGGTAGTCTTTTCTTTTGTATTGTTTTGTATTGTATTATTAGCTCATACTAGCAACTTGGTGATGCTGCAAGCACTGAGTACCTACCTACGTACATACATCAATGCCTCTTGGGTGCAGGTGGGTGGGAGGCCCCACTAATTACCGCGCTGCCTCGAATCAGCGCATCCAAACCAAGCTCGAGCTTCCCGAGACCAGCTGCTGCTGCATTCACCTACATACGACATATGACCCAGAGCTCCTTCGTCATTGCCCAGCTGCAACCTCACCGCACTGCACCCTCTCTTCGCACAACAGACACGCGCGACCGACTTGAAGAGCGACCGTGACAGGTGCCGACGACATGTCGCTCGATCCTCCCCCTTATCTGGGCTCGTTGCAAAACAACATCCGCCAGCGCCCGATTCCTTGGGATGGCGCCGTGAGAGCCAACACCCTGAACGAGGGACAGCTGGCCAAGATCCGAGCTGTCGACAAGATCAGAAAGGACCAGAGAAAACAGGTCGTTGAGTCTGACCTCGATGGCTATCGGGCCCTGTTTGTTGGCGGCGAGGACAGCCCCAGCGTGCTTGAGTCCGCAAGCAAGCGCACAGATGTAGTGCAGTACATCCTCGTGCTTCTAAACGACCTGCTCGAAAGTATGTCTAGTATACCCCAGGACTTGCTCCTTCTTCCCACCACTGTCGGGTATCACATCTCAGTGAGGCCTCAAGTTGGCAACTGCGTTCTAAATACCGCCCATTCTACCTGGCATCCATGCTAATCCGGCTCAACAGGCGTTCCGACTCTCGCTAAGGCGTTGTTCAAGAATCCGGATCCCTACAAGCATTTCCTACCGCTTCTGGCACACTCAAACAACCCTGAAGACCCTGTACCGCTGCTCACATCTACCGTGCTTGCGACCTTGATGGCTCAGTCTCAGGATGAGTCGCCATCGACCGAGCGGGCCCTGCCCTTGATTTTGAGCTATCTCTGCGGCATGGCCAAGAACACAAACGATGCCGGCTTACAAGATATTGCTGTGACCGAGTATTCGTCCCTCCTGTATGGCCAGCCCTCCCGACAACTCTTCTGGAAGCAGCGAAGCGAGACGGTTGCGCCTCTAATTGAAATTCTGAGGAAGGCTGCTGGCATTGGAGCAGACTCGTCCGCCAGCTTGTGGAGCGGCAACACTACTGGCCGGGCCGGTGGCTTCGAGGGTACTCTGAGCGGCGGTGTTGGACTGCAGCTTCTGTACCATGTGCTCCTTGTTATGTGGCAGCTGAGCTTCGAGGCCGAAGAGATTGGTGACGAAATGGATGAGTACGTGATGCCACTGTGCTCCTATTGCTGGCGAAAGACGAATTGCTAATAAACTTACAGCGAGTACGATATTATACTGCTTTATACACAACTTCTACGATTATCACCAAAAGAGAAGACCACACGTTTAATCCTTTCGACGCTGTACAACCTCCTTAGCACAAACCCTAGCTCTCTACTTCCTACGGCCGTCTTGGCCAGGCTGCCTGCTTTGCTCCAGAATATCAATGGACGACACTTGTCGGATCCTGATCTGCAAGAGGACCTGGATAGACTAAAGGAAATGCTGGAGGAGTACACAACCACCAAGACGACACTCGATGAGTACGTTGCAGAAGTTCGCTCTGGACATCTGAGATGGTCGCCGCCTCACCGAAACGCTACATTCTGGGCAGAGAACTCGCGAAAGATTCTGGAGTACGAGACTGGAGAAATCCCCCGTAAATTGGCCGAAATCATGAAGAAGCCATGGGACAGTGACAAGGCCGTTTTGGCTATTGCTTGCAATGACGTTGGTGCCTTGGTTAAGGAGGTGCCAGAGAAGCGATTCCAGCTCGAGAAGCTAGGTCTCAAGACTCGAATCATGGAGTTGATGCAGGACTCGGACGAGAATGTCCGGTGGGAAAGCTTGAAGGCGTTGGGCGGCTGGCTCAAGTATAGTTTCGAGAACAACTGATGCACATGCTCAGAGTTTGTGTTCTTGTAAAGATGAGGAGGGAGCATAGTGATTGTTTCGGTGCAGACATGCCGGCCGGTGTGGGAAATAGAAATCGCGTAACGAATGCTGTATTTACCATTGCATCATGTTTCCCTTTTTTCTCTCTTCTTCTCCATCGTCTCAAACTCAATGTTTTTGTTCTTGTGTAAGCACCGCCGCCACCTCACGCAATTGCTACATGTATGTGATGAATTCATCTCCAAAAGATTGGAGAAAATGATCACGTTTGATGTCGATTTGGCTTGCTAGTACTGTTGCAGGTGGCTAGTCCAAAACTTAGGCAGGAGTAATGTAGAAAAAGGCACTAGACAGATGATGGCCGAGAATCATATGGTATAGTCGACTAGGCTATACGTAAGTGAGGCACGGTGCATTACAAAGTACGTACAAGACAACAAAATAAACCGGCGGGCTGTTTACTGATACAGACATCCATGGATGTCGATGCCTGCCCATTATCCATTATATCTAGGTTTTAGCTGCGTCCAGCCGAAAAAGGAATGCAGATGCGTGAGTCAGCTTATCTCGATACATTTCTAAAAATTTACCTATCTACAACCCACCCGGCGTCTGGTGCCGACCATGCTGGTACAAAGTACGTAGTTTGACGGATGCACGACGATCCAACGAGGCCAAACGCGTCGGAAAAGGTTTCCAATAATGCTGCTGGCACCCCGATTAGGCCCACGGCCATAGGCGGTTTGCCGCGGAACCCTTCCCACCAGCACCCAGATTACCCCACACCTAGACGGTCCCCCCCAGGTGAGACGACATCACAGCCGGACCCCTAGCGAGCCAACTAACCGTAGGTGATGTAGGTGCTTGTAGGGCCCTGTACTTAAGCCAAGCGGTGGCCGCCCGATAGCGGCAGGTTCATATCGGCTTCAAGCGAAGCGAACCGACTTACATTAACAACCACCACATGACAGGAGGCTGGTTCGCCTACGAGAGATTGAGAGTGTGACTTGACTGAGAGCTTGGACGGATTGAGAGACTGGGACGATCCCAATTGCAAAGCCTATTTGCCCATTCGTGTTTCATTTTCTTCCTTCTTTCTTTTTTTTTTTCGTCTACAATCTTTATTCAAAAGATGCAGCGTCTCTCCGTTGCTCGTAGCATCACCGCGGCCGCCGGACGCAGCGCCTCCAGACGACTCCCCACAGCAGCTACTTCCAATTACCCCAGGATGGCATCCCGAGCCTCCATCGCTGCGCGCCGCATCGCCGCCACCACCCAGCACCTGCGCTCCTACTCGCTCCAGTCCACGGCCACGAGCTTCCCCCAGACACACGAGCAGATCTCGCAGCCTGAGGACACGCCGTGGTTTATTGACAATGAGTTCAAGGCGTCGAGCGCCGACAAGTGGATCGACTTACACGACCCGGCCACCAACAACCTCGTCACCAGGGTCCCGCAGTCCACCGATGCCGAACTGCAGGCCGCCGTGGACAGCGCCCAAAAGGCCTTCCCGGCTTGGCGCAACATGAGCGTGCTGGCGAGGCAGCAGATCATGTTCAAGTTTGTGGCCTTGGTCCGGGAGAACTGGGACCGCCTCGCTGCCAGCATCACCCTCGAGCAGGGCAAGACGTTTGCCGACGCCAAGGGTGATGTGCTCCGAGGACTGCAGGTCGCCGAAGCTGCTTGCGGCGCACCGGAGCTGCTCAAGGGCGAGGTGCTCGAGGTTGCCAAGGATATGGAGACCAGAACGTATAGGGAGCCACTCGGCGTCACTGCTGCCATCTGCCCTTTCAGTGTGTACCCAATATTCTCCCACTCGTTACTTGACATGGACAATTGTAGCTAATATGGCCTAACAGACTTTCCTGCCATGATCCCCCTGTGGTGTATTCCCATTGCTACCGTCACTGGTAACACTCTTATCTTGAAGCCGTCCGAGAGAGATCCTGGTGCAGCCATGATCCTAGCCGAGCTAGCGCAAAAGGCCGGGTTCCCTCCGGGTGTTATCAACATTATCCACGGCGCCCACCGAACTGTGGATTTCATTCTGGATGCCCCCGAAATCAAGGCCATCAGCTTCGTCGGTGGTAACAAGGCTGGTGAATACATCTTCTCCCGCGGTTCGGCCAATGGCAAGCGTGTCCAGGCCAACCTCGGCGCCAAGAACCACGCAGCCGTCTTGCCCGATGCCAACAAGAACCACTTCCTCAACTCAGTCGTTGGTGCCGCCTTTGGTGCCGCCGGTCAAAGATGTATGGCCCTCAGCACTTTGGTCATGGTTGGCGAGACCAAGGAGTGGCTGCCAGAACTAGCTGAGCTCGCCAAGGGCCTGCAGGTTAACGGAGGATTCGAAGAGGGCGCCGATCTTGGCCCTGTCATCTCGCCGCACAGCAAAGCGAGAATTGAGAGCCTCATTGCAAGCGCAGAAGAGGAGGGTGCAACCATTCTTCTCGACGGCCGCGGCTTCAAGCCCGCAAAGTACCCCAACGGAAACTGGGTGGGCCCGACCATTATTAGCAATGTGACACCAGAAATGAAGTGCTACACCGAGGAGATCTTTGGACCCGTGTTGGTCTGCCTCAACGTGCCTACGCTCGATGACGCCATTGAGCTCATCAACAAGAATGAGTATGGTAACGGCACTGCCATCTTCACCAAGTCGGGTGCTACGGCCGAGACGTTCCGCAAGCGGATCGAGGCCGGACAGATTGGTATCAATGTGCCGATCCCCGTCCCGCTTCCCATGTTCTCGTTTACTGGTAACAAGAAGAGTATTGCTGGTGGAGGTGCAAACACATTCTACGGACGTCCTGGTATCAACTTTTACACACAGTACAAGACTGTCACAGCCATGTGGGCCAGCGCGGATGCGATTTCGACCAAGGCCGATGTCGCCATGCCGACTCACAACTAAAAGTTGGGCGGATGAGTAAACCTTTACTGTGAGATATAAAAGAGGAATAAAAAAAAATTGTCCAATCTGGCTGGGTTGAGCGAAAGGAGTGGCATTGAAAGCATTATGGATTATGACTTGCATTTGACATATTTAGTCTGATTGCTCATGAAGTAGTAAATTTGACAAGACGTGGTTGTGAATATGGCTTTCTCCCCCACCACAACCAAACAGCAATAAATGAAGATGAGAACTTGTGTCATGTAAATCCAATTGATTGTGTAAACATTTATGTTGGACAATGTCCTGAGTAAGCTGAAACAGTGCATCCTAGCAAGGCGTCGTGATGGTTCAGCCGCGGCCGTGGGCAGGTAGTAGTGGGTAAGTGAGTCGGCGGTGGTGACAAGACTACCTACCTACTTACAGTATAGAATGCCCCCATGTTCGCCACCCAACTTCAACCAGTAATTCTCATGCTCACCGTAAACGATGCTGGCAAAGACGGACGCCGACAAGTATGACCAGCGTCATCATGCAGGGGATAGTCAAAGTGTCAATAGCTGCGACCACAGGCAGCAGCTGGTGGATCTGCCCAGCGACTTGTTCCTGCTTATTATTTCATACCTGTCTCCCGAGGACACGTTCATCTGCCGCCGTGTATCCCGGGCATGGCAGCAGACATTCGCTTCCGAAGATGTCGCTTGGTATTTGATGAAGCTACACTTTCCCCGCTCGCGGGAGCTACGGATGGAGTCCACCGCCTCAGCACGGTCGGACCGGACGGCCATCTACACCGAGGTGGCGCAACGGTATCACCACCTCCGGGCAGCCAAGCCCAGGAGTACGGAGAAGATTGAGATTGCCAGACAGGACAAGGACAGCACAATGCTCTATGACGTGGCACCTTGGAGCAGGTTCTTACATTTCAACGACTATACGGCCCCTTTCTCGCATCCCGACCCGGTATGGTGCATGGCCGATGGTCTCGTCATCTACCCCAATGCGTACGGGCACTACTGTGCTCATGACCTGGAGACACGTAGCACATTTCCCGTGCCATTTGATGCAATTGGCAAGACCATTAGGCGTGTCCGCTTGGCTTGCGGGGTGCTCATCTTTGAATGGTGCGAGCGTGAGCCATACCATCAGCTCAACGACGAGGAGACGGTCCACCGACATTTCGCCACGGCCTTTGACGTGGAGAGATGTGCGCCGCGGTCATCGTCGAGATCACCCAGGTTCTCCGTTGTCCGGTCAGAGCCGGGGCCGTCCAAGTGGAACATCACATTCCGTTCCGAGTGGAAGATTCACTTTTTGGGCTTCCCGCTGAACCGCGTGGACCGCTTCTTCTCAGCGCACACAGCTACGCACTACGCACTATATACATGGCAGCCCAATCGGTCGCCATGGGGAGAGGCAGACCCTCCAGAACAGTTTACAGTATGGGACATATCATTTCCGTCACAATACTGCCCTTCTACAGACCCGACGGGTCGCGACAAACCCGACGTAGACCTCGGACCGCACGTGATCCGGCGACTCAGCTGGCGGGATTTGGATTTCCTGGGCCTCCGCCAACGCGATACGCCGTCGTTTAGACAGATTCTCCTAGACGAGCACAATGTCTACATCCACGAGGAGGAACATCGGTGGCTTGCAGGCCCTCAGTCTTCACTTGTGCCTCCACGGCACCACCTGGTCCGGTGCACCGGCTTCCCCATCATTGGCATGGGTCCAAGATGGTTTGATGAATGCTGCGCTGATGGGGACGTTCACCTTTCCTTTTGCCCGCGGTCCGGCTCCATGGCCCGGCTCCGCGGAGGCGGGAGTCAAGATTCGACAGTGACGGCCGCGACTTACACAAAGGACTGGCCGGGTTTCGCGCCTTGTTGGCGACACGAGGAATTCCCATACTTGACCATGAGCGAAATGGTTGATGCCCCGGCCGGGGTGAGGATCGTGGCCCGGCAGTGCTTCATGGTCGAGGCTCTCTCCGTCTTTATCCTGCCGCGCATCAGCATCCAGGCCGAAGACGCAGACGGGCGCGAGGACGGCGACGAGGTTAGATTCACGGACGATATGTGGGGTGAGTTGATGGGCAAGGGCCGCATTTGTGGTGATGAGCGTTTTCTCGTAGGCGAGGACATGGAGGGCAAAATTACAGTGGTGCGTTTTTGATCGATGTACTGATTCGCTAGAGAGTCGGATACTCAATTTGAACAACAATATACTGTGACAGACACACACAATTGTACTGTTGGGTGTGGTGGAACCTTGCTCCGCTTCCCGCAACCCTTAGCATCTATTCATCCCCTCTCTTTTGAGCAATAGACCGGTCCAGGCACTCTACTCAAAATGCTAATCGGAACCGCCATGGTTCGTTCTTACGCCGAAAGAGAAGAAGGGAGTAGCAATCCAACAATGTGCTTTATCCCACCAACCTAACCTAGATAATTGATCATATGCTTACTGGAACAAAATGAGGCCCAAGAGACAATGTTTGCCAGTATAACTAAGGAGCGGGGCTAATACTCGAACAAGTCATGGGAAATATAATCCTTGTATAGGCTGGAAGCTTTCATGTTACTCATTGAGAATTCCGATTCATGGCCACAAGCCGCCAAGTACATAGTATTACAATCAGATCCATCTTATCTCCCCGGCACAGTCAAGTCCAAGCGTTCAAGCGTTGTACGGTAGCAGCCGGGCATAGGAGATGCCCGGAAATGCTGTGAAAAATGTTTTCTACTGCAGCTCCCCTGGCTCCCTCGCCTCGTGCCGGTCAAGGTTAAAATGTCTCGGCATGCATATTCTCTCCACCATGGCTCCGGAGCTAGGACTGGATTGGGAGCTCAACTCCAATGTGGTGACAAGCTTATCCTCTACTCCGCATACTGCCATTGGCCAACCGTGATGTGGATTGTTACTTTTACACGGAATCGAATGGACCATTGCTACTATCGACTCACCTTCGCGTGTGTTGGCTGGCGGCTAGATTGTAAGAATACACAGTAGGATGGTTGGTAGGACAGGGTCTCTCTCTCTCTCCTCTTGTAAGACCGAGTCCCGCAACCGCCCATCTCCGAGAGCGTTGCTTGCAAGAGCTTTTTTTCAACGGCTCGGTATCCCGACCTGCATATTGTAAGTCGCTGTTGTAGTCTTGGGCGGGGTATACAAATTCAGCTGGAGAAACAATACTTTTATACATATATAATTGATCCGGCCCGCTTCAGAATTTTCACGTTTCTGTTTCTTGGATGTTCTGCTTTCTGTACTTGATCCAGACCATCTCTCCCAGATCGGCACTCCTAGCAGACCAGAGAAGTGTGCCTAGACCTCGATAGCAGCAAAGCTCCAAGAAACCATGGCCAAGCAGCTTGCTCTTCTTTCCCTCGCGGCCATCCCGGCCGTGAACGCCGAGACCATCCTCGGAGTTTACATCTTCTCCCGACACGGAGACCGTACGCCCAAGGCTCTCGCTCCGGCCAACCTGACGTCGTTGGGCCAGGAGCAGGTCTACCAGTCTGGCAACTACTATCGCAACAGATATGTCGCGGCCGACGCCAGCTCGCCCATTTTCAGGCTGAGCGACGACATTGCCGTGGCAAGCCAAATGACCATTACTTCGCAGGTCGACACTGTGTTGCAAAGTTCCGCGCAGGCTTTCATGCAGGGTGTATACCCGCCCGTCGGTGACCTGTCTGTCGAGTCGCTGGCAAATGGCTCTACGGTTGAAGGAACCCTGAGCGGTTACCAGTATATTCCCATCAATGCCGTTGCCTCGGCCTCTTCTTCGTCAAACGCCGAGAACAGCGGATGGCTCCAGGGCAACTCGGGATGCGGCAATGCCGTGGTCAGCTCCAACAACTACCTCAGCTCGACCGAGTATTTGAGCACTCTGAACAGCACCAATGACTTTTACCAGGATTTGCTGCCCGTCATTAACACGACCTTTAGTTCGAGCCAGGCCTCGTTCAAGAATGGCTACACCAGTAAGTTCTCTAGCTAGATCAGGCACCACCTTGAGCCAATGTTACTAACCATGGCACACAGTCTACGACTACATCCATGTGGCCACTATTCACAACTCGACTATCCCGTCCGAGGATCTCCTGACCAACGACACGCTCAATGAGCTCTTTTGGCTCGCCAACGAGCACGAGTGGGGTCTCGCCTACAACGAGTCGGACACGATCCGCGCCGTGGCGGGAGCCACTCTGGCCGGCCAGATCGTGGCACAGCTCAACACGACGCTGACGGGCAAGTCCAAGCAGCCACTGGCCGTGCAGTTTGGCGCCTACGCGAGCTTCATGTCCTTTTTCGGCCTGGCCCAGCTGCAAAAGGTCTCGGACGACTTCACCGGCGTCGTCGACTACGCCTCGTCCATGGTGTTTGAGCTCGTGGCCGACGCCGACAATGTGACGAGCGCCGCGTACCCGGCCTCGTCGGACGTTTCGGTCCGCTTCCTGTTTGCCAACGGCACCGCCGCCGCCAACGAGCCCGTCGCGTACCCGCTCTTTGGCCAGTCCGAGACCCTGCTCCCCTGGTCCACCTTTGTCAGCGAGATGAACAAGTTTGCCATTGCCGACACGGCCGACTGGTGCAAGGCCTGCGGCAACTCGACGGGCGTGTGCGCCGACTATGCCACCAGCTCCGACGGTAGCAGCGGCAGTAGTGGCGAGACTTCGGCCTCTTCGACCTCGGGCAACGGCATCTCGCTGCCTGTCGCCGGTGTCATTGGCGCCCTGGTCACCCTGGTTGTCATCCTCGGTGTCGAGGCCTTGGTCTACCTCTTGGCCGGCCTCAAGGTGGTGAAGAAGTCAACCCTGGCAGCTGCTACTGCCGCCGGTTCTTCCGGGGCCGTCAAGGCATAAGGTTAAGGGGCTTTTGATTTCAGATGAAATTGGACCGAAGCAAGACGGATTTACCCATGTACTTATGAGATATGTTCTGACTATGATACCAACGAGGAGAGCGAGCTTATCTGGGCGAATTGAATGAGTATATTAATTAATGAATAAAATGGTATATAATCTTATTATTTCCGGTGTCAAGTCACCACGAATATTTTAGACGGTATATTGTTGCTTAATGGAAACATTTTTCGTGGATTCCATATGACACGTCCATGGAGGAACACGAGGAAAGTATAACGTAGTTTTACGGACGAACAATTATCAAAATAGATTCCAGTGCCCTATTCCTATACTAGATACACTTTTCAAGCCACCACGAATCTTTTATTTACTTCCATCACTAACTATCAGCAGCATACGGATATTATCAAGGAAAGTTTGTCAGTACTCCATAAACATTTGACATAATATGGATTGGCATTACACGTGATAATGCAGGTGTCAGATTAGACTTGGAAACAAATTTATGAATAGTGTAAATTCATTTTTTAAGCTCCTACGGGTGGCCACCCTGACTTCTTTAAAGGAATGTTGTCTATGCAATGTCCGTACGCTTGTAATCATGCTCCATACGCTCCATGTCCCATCGCATGTATGCTAACAAATCATGGAATCTCGCTTCAACTCAAAAGTAAACCAGAATCAGGAGGGTTCTCCATCACGAGTTTGACAAGTCCCAGCCGGGATGAGTGCAACGCTTTAGCGGGGACCAAGGGTGCAGCTGATGGTGGTCTGGACCTGGGGAGGACCAACGTCGACGGTGCCGGGGCCGTAGGTGTAGGTGTCGCTGCCGTCGATGCCGTGGGCGTGGCAGTTGAGGCTGGCGGGAGCCGGGTCCAGCACGGCAATGTGGGAGACGCTGAAGTCGGCGTAGACGGCGCGGTCGACACCGTCGGCAACGACCCACTGGGTGTAGACGGCGTCGGCGGCGCCCTGGAACTGGACGGCCACGGTAGGGCTGCGGGCCTCGGGGGCAGCGAGGCCGGTGTGGGCCAGGAGAGCGGTGGCGGCGAGAGTCAGGAACTGCATTTTGATGATTGGTGAAAATGAAAAGGATGTTTTTTCTTGTGTAGAAAGGTTTTGTCTGTGAGTTTGAATGGTGAGTGCTGTGATGATTCAAAAAAGACCTTCTGGGAGGGCTGTCTTAGGTCTTTATATATTCATCAGTCCATGTAGACTGCCCCTGTGCTTTGAGCACATCAATGACATGACGAACCATGATCATGTTCTGGTCGGAAGTGGTGAGCCTTCAACACTGCCATGCTGCGAGGTCGTCGGACATTGTGAAGTCATCCACGAAGCCACTTTCTGAGAGCTGAAAATCGTCGACACGAGCACGGGCGTTGAGTTGCTCCCTCTAGTACAACGTTGCCTCGAATGATATTCCTCTTCCCGTACTCTACATGCATGTGACTGGTGTATCTCGCCGAGCTACACACTCAGTCGTTCACTGACATGTACATAGTTGTTTGTGAGATTACCGAATGCCAAGAACATGATAATGTGTGGCTTGTCGCCAGGCATATTTGCGACCTCGCAAGTTCATCCTCCGAGAGCTTTCCATTTCTATTTTTAATTAGCGTAGATCGTATTTTCATTGAGCTGTTGGCTTGTGTACGTGGGAGATGTTTGACTATCATGAAGGATTCTGTTTCCTCTGGTCGGCAGGATGTGTTACTTGGATGTATAGGCTATCAGTACCCACACGTTCTCAATGGCTATGGTAGATACCCCCGACTTTGCAGTATCATATGGTAGCAAGGAAGTAACTGACTCCATCAGCCTTGCTCTTATTGCGCAGCACTGCCATATGCCGGATGGCAGAGCCCCCAAACTGTCAGCCGCCACAAGAAGAGTCCAGCTTAAGGACCAGTTCCGAAGGACTTGGATTGGTCACTAGGAGAATTGGGTTACTTAGGGTGACGAGTAAGTTGCCGTGCTTATCGGCGTAGTCGGTTGACAGCTCATCCGATGACGCTTAACTAGCGGCGGAATCGAGTACGTCTGCGTGAAAGGATATCCTAAAATACATCTGCTGAACAATTAGCTGCCTCCCTCGTAAGTCGGGAGCTGTAGTTTTACCGTCTTCCAAAAAGCGACTTGGAAAGATGCCATGTTTGCAGAAGAGGGTATTTCCAAGGTCCTATCAATAATGTACTCATGGTATACATACTCCATCCTATGTAGACCGGCAATTGGAGCTTTCCTGAGCCTCTACTTACTAGGAAACATGTTCACGTGAGATTAGATGCGGGTTAACATGGACATCAGCAACAACGCAGCAGCAGCAGCCGGACGTTGAGAGGCGGCAACTAGCCAATCAATCAATTGGATTTCGTCCTACGGGTAAGCGATGACACGAGATGTGCTTTCTGTTCTCTTTAAGAAATGAAAGAAAGAAAAAGTGCCCCAGTCCAACATTCTCTTATCCCGTTTGGTTGCAACGTTGTTTCCTGTCGAGCTGCTTCAGCTGCGCTTACCCCAGATTATAGGACCCAAGGACCCTTGAAACCCCACAAAAACTGGGCTGGGCGACAGTGACGTGGGGTAACAGCTGCCTAGGGTAAGGTACCTAACCTAGCTAGGTATCTAATCTAGTACTCTGCAAGTACGCTTGGAACAAACCACCCATCATCCTTCGTGGAAATTTGGAGTGCCAAGTACATTTCAAATAACAAGGCGATAGACTGTTTGCGACTCTTCCATTAAAGGATAGTTGTTATACCAAGTCAATAGCTTTGTAGTCGGCGTTGGAGGAGTCCGCCGGTAAAATCACCACATCCCTCTCACGGCACCATCGTTCAGCAAGAGACATCGTTCGTGTCACTCGGCAGAGTCCGTCGCGGAATATGGCGTCCAAGAAATGCTGGCACATGTTGGGTAAGGCTGACGTTGAACACCACATCACAGCCCACCCCTCTTGGTTTTCTTTCCGCTTCCGCTGTTGTACGGAGCTCAGCTAAAACGCCTCCTTGCTGCAGAGAACAACCCCGAGGTCATGGACCAATTGGCAGCCAAGCTGGGTTTGGGTGCAGGAGAGCTCAGCTTCTACGATGTCTACTCGCTCGACGAGCCCGAGCTGATAGCCCACATTCCTCGCCCGGTCCTGGCTTTGCTGGTCATCATCCCTCTCACACCCGCATGGGACAGGTAAGACGAACAGTTCTCACAGAGGTCTGAACCAAGCTCACCTTCCCCATCAGAGACCGCCGCGCTGAGGACGCTGACAAGGGTGAATACACTGGCGTGGGCCCCGAAGAGCCTGTCATCTGGTTCAAGCAAACTATAGGTCACGCCTGTGGCTCCATTGGTTTGCTACACTGCGCCATCAACGGCCAGGCTGCCGCCCATATCCAGCCAGGCTCGACTTTGGAAAAGCTACGCTCAGCAGCGCTGCCATTGAAAATGGCGGAACGAGCTGACATGCTCTACAACAGCGACGCCTTTGAGCAGGCCCACAAGTCTGTCGAGCAGGTTGGCGACACTGCTAGTCTGCCCACATCGGAAAATAATGGCCAGCACTTCGTTGCCTACGTGAAAGCGGGAGGCCGCCTCTGGGAACTTGAGGGTTCACGAAAAGGCCCGCTGGATCGTGGCAGCCTCGACGAAGATGAAGATGTCCTGAGCCCGCGAGCATTGGACTTGGGCTTGAAGCGCATCATAAAGGTAGAGCTGGACAGCGGTGGTACAGATCTTCGCTTCAGTTGCATTGCTTTGGCACAGAAGTCTTGAATTCTTCTAGCTAGAGCCCAGACTGGCGGCTGACTCTACATAGTCCATCCAACATAATCATTTGCGAAGCAGGCCGAATAACGTGAATTTCCCCCTCAAGCCAGTCATCTCCAACAAATCATGACGGTGAAAGAAGCTGCGATTCCGCTTGCCATATACATCTGGTGGATGTCAGTCTACGGCTTGCTGTAGATAGTGTGAGGCTTGGCTGTTGGTTGAGCAGTGACTTACACATGGGAATACTCAGCAGGCAGATCACCACCTGCACCGATGCGAGCGCGATAAATGTCTCCTTAATACCGCCCTCAACCAACCAGTCGTACGCCTTGAAGGTCAAACCAAAGCTGAACATGTTTTTGAAAATGATCAAGCATGTAAAGCCCTCAACGGCCAGATCACCTGAGACCAAAATTGAGCAAAACGGATAACAAGGAACAATCTCTCCATGATGACTTACGATATGCATCAACAATATACAGCGAGCTGGCCACCGCCCCAATGACCATACCACACACCTCGAACCCAAAGAAGATGATGGGCACGACCCAGTGGTATTCGCCTCTCAATGTTCCCACGCTCGTAATGGCAAAGCCGTAAAGCCCGAGACATCCAAATATGAGCTGGGGCACCACCAGCCAAATGCGGAACTCTGGCTCATAGATGCCGCCGTTGCGTTTGGTCAAAAACTTGGCGCTCCAGTCGGCAAGGAGGCCAGCAATCAGGAAGCCGAGCACAGCACCGAGAAAGGGCCCAACATAGGCATACCCAGTCGATACTTCATTCCAAAAGAGCGGCGGGCCCAGGAAGATTGCGGCCAGAACGACTCCAATGAATACCGTCCAGCCAATCATTGTTCCTTGGATTAAACATGCCCAGAGAAAGGCAGGCTGCACAAATAACGGAAATGGTCGGAAGAAGAGTTTCAAGAAACTCTCATCCGTCTTATAGCCGTCAAAGGGAGACAGCGACTGCCAGTAAGTCTTGCGAGCCGGAACGGGCATGGCATGGTTGCTATTGGGAGCTGACGAAGGTCCTGTAGCCATCTTTTCGTGGTCATGAGACTGTCGAGAGTCCTCATCAAAGGCAACAATATCGGTGTTGAGAGCAGCATCGCGCCTAAAGGATGTTTCTGGGCAGAAAAGAAACACGGCAAAGAAGGATACAGCGCAGAAGATCGCCACGAGATAAAAGGTCCACCACCACCCGATGGTGTGTGTAATCTTGCCTACCACGACGGGGGTGAAAAAGGCACCTCCAAACACGGCCAGATTCGTGAAGGCCATGCGCTTACCTCTCTCCTGTAAGCCAGCGTCGAATGAGTTAGAATATGCCAAATGATTAGGGAAACTGCCAAACCGAGCAATGCACATACATGGACAAAGTATAAATCTCCCACGGCAGCATTCACGAGCGACTCGAATGGTGCTGTCCCGACTCCCTGGATAATCCTGGACCATAACAGGCTGGTATAATCCCTCTTCCTCCCGACAGCACCAGCCCAGGCACTTGATGCGACCAGAAGCAACAATCCTAGCAAAAAGGCATGTCTCTTTCCCCATATCCTGCTCGACGGAACGAAGAACATGCCGGCAAATCCCACACCCAGCAGGAAATATCCGGTCAGAACAGCAATCCATGTGAAATTAAGGGTAAAGTACAAGGTCAGCGTCAACGTGTTTGCTGCCAGAATCGGGCCCAGAGCTGTCGCGAAGATGGCCGTCACGGAGAGTATGAATGTGATGAGATCGCGCCTCCACAAAGGCCAATTCAGAGGGTCGTTGGGATCGTCCGATGGTTGTGGATGCTGTGCGCCATTGCCATCGTAGGTCAGATAGAGGAAGGATGAGTGGAGCAGAGTATAGGATATCAATACGCACGAGTATAATGGGTACGGTCCCACTTCTGTCGCATTTCAAACCTCGGGCATCTGCCGTGTCCGCAGTTTGCGGTCTGTCTGGATCGTCAAAGTATCTCGTCGTCCCTGCCACATGTGTTTTATCTTAGCATTCACAGACATTGCTCCAAATGGAATGAATCTCCACGAGTTCGCGGTTGCGCCCGCGGACGGATAAGGCGGCTAACCTGGGACGTGATCGAGGACAGTGTCCTCGAGTATACCGAGCCCCATTTCGACGTCAACAGTGCAGAGGATGGGAGTTATGCTCCCGAGAAGAGACAAAGTCTTTGCCTACACTGGGCGGGGTTTGATGTTTGATGTTTAGTTGACGCTTCACAAAGACGAAGACGCCCACTGCCGAGGGACCTTGTTGGGGGGGTGGGCAAAGGTTAAAAATCGCTATGGTTTAAGCTTCTTTAGCTGAAAGCTGGTGGCGCCTGCAGGTTCCCCTCGCTCTCTCGGCAGGGTGAGTAGGTACACACGTCGCGTCGTACTTGACCCTATATCGATTCAATATATGTATCCTTCACGGCCCTGGCTCCCGCTACCCCAAATTCATGTGATGTGGCTGGCTGCATTGGCTGTCCTTTCTTGTCTCTCTTCGCACAAGTATTAAAAAAAGACCGCAATGTATATTTTATTTGTAGACTGTGGTAATTATTCAATCCATCATCACTTGCTACTAGGCTGCAAGAAACACCAACAACAGCATGTACCGCACAACCAGAAACGTCCGAGCGACACGAGCGAGTGTAAATGAGATGAGGGGATCTCAATTCCCAGCGTCTAGGCGCTCGGCTTGTAATTGGCTGATTTGCCAACCACCGAGGCTTCTCGCGGGTTGTTAGAGGTGCAAATTGGGGAAAGCGAGACACTGTCAATGCAACCGTCTCTCCGCTTTCCCCCAAAGCAGCTACATTGACGCACTTGCAACCATAGCTATCCATCGAGCTACCTATCTTACCCCAATGTATGCTTGCTACCTTAGAGCTGTGTTGTGTATGGTTGAGGTAGGGGAGCAAAAGGGTAGGAGGGAATGTGAATGCACCTGAGGACCTGTCTGGCCTCGAGTGGCACCAACAAGAGCCTATTTTCAGCCCTCCCACGTGCTGCCGTTTTCAGCTTCCCGTCCCATCTACAACACGTTTTGTTTTTGCCGAGAAACCTCTCTGTACGGCTTCTACTCGTAGACCTATCATCTTCCCTAGAGTCAATCACATTCTTTACCAAGAACATCATGAAGATTCAACTTCTCTTCACCACCATCGTCGCCCTAGTCGCCGCACAGGACGGGCTACCGGATTGCGCAGTAAGTGTTTCCCCGCTGTCGCCTCTGAGCTACCTCCTTCTCTCCAGCAAAGAGACAGCCAAAAAAAAAAAAAAAAAACTCACTTCAGTACTAGCAATCGTGGATGAATGAATGACTGACATGACCCTTGACCTGTAGAAAAACTGTGTAACTCAGTTCACCACTGGTGACAATATCGGCGGCTGTCCCCAGATAAATGCCCAGTGCATATGTTCTCAGCAGAGCTTCATCAGCGGCATTTCATGCTGTCTTGCCGACGTCTGCAGCGAGGCTGACCAGCAGGCTGCCGTCGACTACGCAGTCAAATTCTGTGGCAGCTTTGGCGTGACCGTACCCAGCGCCGTCTCTTGCACGTCGACGGCCACGTCGACGGCGGCGTCGTCCACGGGCAGCTCAACAGGATCCGCCACCGGAGCTGGGAGCATCACTACTGCTACCACCGGCACGGCGGCTTCTGCTTCGGCAACGGCAGCATCAACGTCTAGCCAGAATGCTGGTTCGTCAAGCGGGTCGTCGGGAAGTGCAGGCATTTTGGGTGGCCTTGCCGCTGCCATGCTTGCTCTTCTGTAGATTTGAGGGAGCCAGAAAATGAAGCTGGGGATGTGAAAAATCCACATGAGTAATCAAAGTATCAGACCGGCTGGCCATGAAGAACACTTGTAGGGAACTGTGATATCACACAAACCAAGAATGAGACCGAATCTTGCCTCGAACTGGGTCGAATGGCAAAGCTAGACTCACAGATGACAACATGATGAACAAGATGTTGCCGGGTGATCAAGACGCTGGGTGTCCTTTGTGAGCGTTCAGGTGGTGCAAGTCAACAATGAGGCTGTCTTGATTAGCCCCCCCCCCCCACATACCCAAATAGGAGATATAAGAGAAAGGGTTCTTTTGCCAGGTCGAGTCAGACTCTTTTCTCCATGTTTCCTGCTACACCATTTGTCCAAGGCTTTCTAGAAATCCAGACATGAGAGATTTCGAATCATCATAGCTGCTCCAAGTTGCCAGTGCTAGACACGTTACTCAAATTAGGAACAGGGTGTCACTAGCCATGGAGCGACTGATGACATTCCAAAAAGGGGTCACATGTTGTACGTGGCTGTATGGCCTCATGATGCCCAAAAGTGATTGCAGTCATTTAATATCAACTCGATCTCAGGCACCAATCTTGGCTTTCGGGGGCTCTTTGAGATCGTCAGAGAGGTTTTTTCCAAGTCCATATTTAGTACATGAATGCCAATATAGCATCCAAGGCTAGTATGTATTCGCCGACCAAGTGGACGGGTTCATTGAGAAAGGGTGATTGGATAGGTTACGGTGGCAGGAGTTGCTAGGGCTGGTAATGAGAGAACAATCTACATGGCTATCCCCCGTTTGGAAGAAGCATGGCAAGCCCAATTGAACGAACCCGTGGCTCTATGCCTTTACAGGTTGTGATGAGCCCTGGAGGGACGACTTGAGCGGGTCCTCGTTTTCGTATAATTTACGAGAGGCAGTACGTGCGGGCAGTAATCAATAGAGAAACATGGGACCGGAGCCGGTTCCGTCTGTCCACTCGGGCCACATAGTCTAGCATGTCCGTGATGCGGGAAACTCATTATTTTGGCGTCCGCGCGGTCGGGATTTGAGGAACATTCCTTCAGGGGCGTGTCTTTCTTCCTTCTTTTCTTCTCTTCTCCAAATCCCGCGGTCCCAGTCATGCCCGCACCAGCGATTACCCAGATCGGGACAGTTCGGTACGCTCAGACGTTTGCTGCAGATCCCAGATGGTGCCCAACACTGGGGGGCAGGAAGAAGAGGTGGGCAATAATGGTAACAAGTCGATTTTCATGGCCCAAACGTCTGATTTTGCGCTCAGACAGTAGGCGAACCCATTTTCCATGTCTCTAGCGTGCATGGCACAAAAAGGCCAGGCGGAGCTGGGAAAGTCAGTACCTCTGCCGGTTATCGACGTCTTGGGTGGACTCTTTGCGTAAAGATATCAATTGTATTCACGAATCATGAATAATGTGGATATCATTCCCAGGGTCTCCCCGCCATTCTTTGATGTTACGCATCATCGTGGGTTGGGGTTGTATAGCAGAGTAGATCCGACGTCTCTCCATTGGCTGCCACTTGGCTGGGCTTTGTTGTGAATTTCCTCTTCATAGTCATCATGACATTCCCCGTTTGCGTGAGGACAATCTAGGTTACGTACATGTTGGAATGTGGAACACCAAAAAAAGGAAGAAAAAAACCCGAGTTGAGCACCGACTTGTGGGTAAGCAAAATCGTTTGGTCAAAGTGCTTTCCTAACGCATAGTACAATGCTTAGAGCAGAATTCTCAGCGTCAGATATTCCTAATGTAGCTGGACCATGTCGACTCGCGTTTCCTCTCGAGACGCGCGCCAGCTTTAGTGGAAATCGAAACTGCACTTGTAATATTATTGCCTACGTCAAGTTTTAATAAACGCCGGCCATGATGGGAATCCCTCCGGGTAGCCTGAGTAGATAATGATCACAGAGTCATTAGTACATGTTCCAGAAGTACGCAGAGGGAATTAGGGCAGAAGAGGTTATTCCATGAAGAGCACGCCCGTGCCCATGCCGCTCAACTCGCCTAGTAGTTGGCTCTAGATTTGCACCATGCTATGAGACACAACATACCCTCGTTTGGTGATCGACTATTTTCCCATGCCGCTAAGGCTGCCAAGCTTTTCTTAGAGCCCGTCCGTTTTGCGTCTAAGTGATTCGGCCCTGTTTTTCTTTCTTTCTTCCCCCTTCTAGGTAATGTAGGTAGGTTTGGTAAATAAGGGCCTCGTCAGCCAAAAAAAAAGTTTTAGTATTAGGTATTCTGTGTGTGTGATCGCTGAGCCGGCGCGCCTTGCTAAGCTTCGTCTGTGGGCACGTCGAGTCAATGCGTACATCAGTCAGCGATTTGGCAGCAACGGCAGTTGTGCAAATGCCGCGAATTTTCTTTCTTTCTTCCTGAATCACAAAGAGAGAAAGAGAGAGAGAGAGAGTGTGTGTGTGTATGGGAGAGTGTCATAAGTACTAGGTAGCTAGTTGGGTAAGGGACAAAGTGTCGGAGGATACATGTATCGTTCAAACCTATAACCTTTTTGAGACAGAGACATGCTTCCATGTAACTCGTGTCGTTGGATCTAAATCATGATCCAAGGCTGGATCCGAATTAAACACTTCAGTGGACAAAACGCCCATCGTCTGTCTTCTTGGACGTTGGATGCGTATTGTTGAATGACAGATGCCGATCCGTGTATAGTGAGAACAGACAAATGCATCGGAAAACAACCGGAACAATCACTGCCCCTGGCATCTTGGCTAAACAAGATAGTCAGGACCTAGCTAGCATTTAGTTTTTCAGTATGATCCTCTTTGGCCAAGTACATGTCGTGCCTCTTCCTCTCCTGCTTTGCACTAAAAGCGGGAGGAAACGAGGCGGCGAGTCGGGTGTGCCTGTGGAGGGTGGAGGAGGCGGGCTCATGGGATTTTAGTCTGTCATGATTAGTGCCGATTCGCACGTGGCGAAGGGGGGGTTGAATTCCGGAGGCTGTCCACCGAAACCCTCTTCTCTCATGCAACTTGTCGGCGCTTTCTCTCCATCGTCATGAAGCCGTTCATTTCTACCTAAAATCTTAGTCTTCTCCCCTAAACACCGTCTCGTGGCCAACAAGCGTTCCCAAGCGCATGGTGCCCCGATATTGCTTCTTTTACTGAGGTGGGTAAAGCAATGACAAGCACGTGTGTTTATACGCTAGGTAATTATATCCGAACACGACTGAATGGGCTCCATAAATGACCGAATCATTCATACCGCACTTGCCTCTCGGAACTGTGATCCTGTTCCCGACGACGATAAAAAGAGATCGGGAGTGAGCTATTTTAGTAGTACTCATGTCTCTGTCAGTGCTGGAGATAAAGTAGACAGGACGATGGAGAGAGACAAACACAGAGGATCAAGAGGGGGCGAGGCTCTGGACCTGGATGGAACCTTGCTGCAGAGGGGTGGGGTTGCAGTCTATACTCCTATGTACACTTGTTGCTACTGTATCATGGCGAAAGACAAAACACATTGCATTCGGCTCAGGGCAGCCACAGGCTCAGCCAACCATGATTGATGTACGGATCCGAATCGGGCGAGGCGATAGACGAGATCATGCTATAATTGCGGAATGGACGCGCAGGCGGCATGGACGCAGCACTAGAGTATGCACTCAAACACACTGCGTACATACAAGGATAGGTAGGTAGCAGGCAGGCAGGCAGGCAGGCAGGCAGGTAGGTGGACAGCCACAACATAACGCCGGGCTGGGCTGGCTACAAGTATATTATGTGTGTGTAACTATGCCAGCCTGGCAGGTAGAGAGATGAGGAGGAGGAGGGGCAGGAGGGGCGTGGCCAATAGATAGGTCGATAGTATTTCGACCACGTACACAAATATATTGCTCCGTGGCGATGGAGATATTGTTATGTCATGAGACTTGGCGTTTTTGGACCTCCTGTTAGTCGATTGCCCATAATATACAACTTCAAAAACATCCTGGGCATGTATAATACGTGGGTATGTATTACGGAAGCATGGACAGCACATACCAGCCAGGCGGGAGCGGAGATGGGGGTTCCGCCGGCCGCAGTACATACCTACATGATCATCACCTTGATCATTGATCAGCCAACTACCATGTAGAAGGGACTAACAAGAAGCCGGGATGGTTATCTGAGGAGTACAAGCTATCTAGAAGAAAGAATTGATAGAACCGCCATGGTATACACCCATCACGACACTACAAATATCTGGTCTTTCTCGGCCTTGACTCAAACCTCTTGGTTGTGGGATGGGACAGGCTATAATCTAGCGTCACCAATGGGCCGGAAGCTGCCGATGCGAAAGTCTACTGCTCTGTGTCTCGAGAATTACATACTGAGGCGGCGGAAAAGGCCGCCGAGATGGCCGTGATCTCATTGTCGGGCGTCGCAGCAAAAAACGACCGACAGGCGGGACGACAACACACACACGAACACAACGTGTAGATAAAGATATATGCGGAAGGAGAGTGGGGGCACACACCTACACGTATTCCGCACTCCGTAGCCGAAGCCATTCATGGGTTGGTTGTTTGGCACTTTGTTTCCGTAGCGGTTTTGTACATGGAAATTTGACTGATAGGCCGCTGTCGGTGTTAACAAGAATACCTAGTAATATAAACATGCAGTCATCGTCTCCCGTCAAAGGTTGCATTGTGAGTTTTTTTTTTTTGGGGGGGGGGGGGGGGGGGGGGGAGGGGGCTTGTAATCGACATGGAGTGTCCCCAAAATCTTGGCTAGTGAGGCAGGGTAAGATATTAAGTTTCTCTCCCGCCTTTCGCAGTCTGGGGTTTGCCGAGGGGACGGACCTGGTGGTAAGTGTTTTATCGTTAAACTCGTCCTCATTGCGATTATTCACATCACTAGATGTACCCGCTATTCAAGCAATAGAGACGGTATTATCAGGACCGCACTGATGACCGTTTTCAGCTTTGTGCTCTAGAGGTTAATCAGGAAATTGAACGAAAAGGGCCTAGTATCA